TTCAATAAGGAAAACTTCTTTGAATATCGCCAAGGATGCTGGTATCGTGGCTTTAGTACGGATGAAGAGATTTCATGAGATCTATTACATGCCAGTTGCGAATTGTTGGGGATGCAGGGGATCGGGAAAACCAGATGTCTTTTTCTTGTAGTTTCAGCTTCGCGACCGAGAGAAATCCCCATGCAGTGACAAAGTAAAATAGCAGCCAGGTGTGTGGGGTTTTCTTTTCCTGGGGGAACAAACTTTGGTCTGTTCTTCCAGGTTTTGCTTTTGTCCTTACTTGCAGCAGCAACAACAACAAAAAAGCAAAAGACTCCGGTGTTGGACTCCTGACTTTGTCAGGACAGGGTTCAATTCCCTGCGGTGTCGCTTTTCAGTTTTGCTGTTTGGTAATGGATTGGAACAAATTATGGGTTTAACATCTCTTTGGTATCATAGTCCTAATAACAAAAGGTGGAATAACTGCATTTATGAAATCACTTTTTTGTCATTTTTACTATGTTTGTGGACCAGTCTCTTTAGTTTGTTCAAATGTAATAACAACAGCTCAATCTCCATTTTGGCTGAATTTATATAAAAGAAAATGTTAAAATTTCCTTGGTATGTACAAATGTGTTGTGAAGGAAAAAAAAGACCAATGGAATAAATTATTTTAGCAAATTATGCATAGTTTAAGAAAGGATATACAGTGGCAAGATACACTAAAGTGTGGAGTTGCAGTTAATGACAAGATACAGATGACTATAAGTAATGTAACTACTGGATGTCCACTGGGAAGAATTTTTTTTCAATATGGCAATTGTCATAGAAATGAACAACAACAAACATTGCTGCTAAACAAATGATGCAAGATTTTCAAATGTCATTATGAATAAATTACATTTAATTCCACCAATTTGTCTTTGTGCTTGTTCATATACATTTTTACAAAGATAGGTCTGTTTTTTCTGAATTTTATGGCATACAAAAGGTTTAGCTAATATTAAACCTGTAAGAAGTTAGAAAATAAAATGTGCTTTATTGAAAGGTCAATTAGCCAACAGAGTACTGTATTACTAAATATCAGTCTTTCTTTCATCACAGCCTTGTTTGAGCCATGCAAGTTAATGAACAAAAAATTAGCTCCTGCAGAATTGTGTACATTTTAATGTTGTTGTACATTACAAAATGCATGTACTAGTACCTAACCTGGCTCATGTTTAAAAATCAATTATTTTCCTTTCACTGTCCACATTACAAATTAAGGGGGGGTGGACAAGTATACTGATAACATTATGAAATCAGTGGGTAGTTTATCAAAATACAATGTTGTCAACACTAAATCATTATCAGATAATGATCATAATTTACATCTGGGGTGTGTCTTTTGCTTTTTACAATATGCTTTATTTTGTTGATTTTATAATTAAAGATTTTAAATATTGGGTATCAGCAGAACCCACAATTTTACAGAATGAGCAGGCACTTTGGTGACAAATGGAAGAAAAAACAAAACAAAATTGAACAAGGAGTCTTTCTGATGGCAGCAGTGTTTAGCCCACTGGTCTTACATCAAGGTCATCTGTTTTGAACCCTGGCCTTTCTGTATGAAATTTGCATATTCACCTGCGTATTTTTCCTTTAGCAATCCAATAACATGCCTATTGATAATGGGTTGTTTGACTCTCGGCATGGTCCTCTAATGGTCTAGTCCAGTGATTCTCAAATGTTTATACTCTGTACCACCTGAGAAAACGTTGATCTCTCTGAGTACCACCATGATGACCAACATTAGAATATAGCAGCATAGGCCTTCCCTGTTAGCTTCCACCACACAGGAGAGATATTTATAAAGATATTTATGTTTAAATGTTGTATTAATTGTGCATGGTATGTTTCAGATTTATTCAATTGAAAATGTAAATAATGTAGAAATATGAATTTTCCCTGCGCACCACTAGAGAGCGTACCACAGTTTGAAAACTACTTATCTAGTCTATTCAGGCATCCACCAACTCTGAAAAGGATTAGGCTAGGCGAATAAGATTATAAACGAAATCTTTTGCAAATTCAGGTCCAGAGTGTTTGTCATCGAACCAAAGTTAATGCTATTTTTCTTGTCAAATCCTAAACTAAATTAATCTAGCCAACCTCTTCATTTTTCCAGCACTGACACACGGATCTAGAAGAAAGTCTATTGCAACGTATAAGAGAGATAATACGAAAATACTTTTGAGTGTTTCATTGTGTGTGAACTACAGCAGGAACGGAAGGTATGCTAAAAGGCGTCATGAAGGAAAGTAAAGAGTTAGTAAAAAGCAGGTGCCGGAACTATACACAAAACAAAGTTCCTGCGGAGCCATTTCACGTTCGTACAATTTGCTAGGTATCCTCTCCCAGCAGTCTGTAGTTCTCCGTTCGTTGTGTGTTTCATGAGGTGTGGAAAACAGGGGAGATGTGGTCCTTTTTCGCCAGGGATCCTGTCAAAGACTTCGCGTATGAGATTCTGCCAGATACTCAAGAAAAGTCCGGGATATGGAGTTTACACCGGGGGAAACGGAAGGTAAAAAGGAGGAGTAATAATAGATGTCCCGTTAGCGCTTAGCTCGACTGCTACGGCGGCCTGTTTGTCAGTTAGCTTTGAATATGCTCGTTAGTATTGTAAAGTCGTGCTGAAATGTGTTTTTAAACGATATTTGCTTCATCTGTTTGAATGTTTTGATGTCACGGTCGGTCTCGTTTCCTTTTACCTGTATACAAGAAGCGAATTCCGACACTGTTTATTCTCACACTCAGACACGTCTTTGTCGCCACGTCACCCGTTTTTATATCAGTTAACGGGTCTTATTAGAGCCATGTTTGTTATAATGTATGATCACACAAATTAATGTGAGCGTTTTGTGTCGCTGACAACAGCTTACAAAATATAATTTTATTGTCGCCTAGAAAGAGGTGATTCTACACAGTCATGTTCATCACAACAGGAACTCACAAGGACAGCTGAGTAGGAACATCCTCTTTTCTGCAATGTTCATTTGGCATCGATGCTGGTCTTCAGTTGAGGACAAAGATGTTCATGGCAACAGTGGGGACCCCTGATTAAAAATGGAACAAGATGAATTGAGGAAAAAACTAATACCTTCACTTGTGTCTTGACAGTTATTCCCAGGTCTTCAGACAGTTTTCTTTATGTTTACTTTACAGAACCATGTGTTGAAGATCATATACTCTTTTTAGCTTTGTGTAGATTCTTTTTTCTCCTTTTCTCTCATTTTTTTTTTGTTAAATTTCTTTTAAAAATGTATCTCAAAGAAAAATCCTTCACGTGAATCTAACAATGTTTGCACATAATTGTTGTGCCATTGATAAATAAGTAGATCTATTAGTAAATGTGAAGATTTTTTGCATTATTTATTACAAACACCTAAAGTCCCTGTCTGACTTGTTTCGTGAGATGCCTGTGGCTTAATTTTTTTCTTTTTGATTTGTCCATAAATCATTCCATGGAAAGTATTTGTGGAAGGTGTGTTTAAATCATTTATTTGTCCATTCTACACAGACCAGCGGCGAGCCGGTGTCTGTGTTTGTGTACGAGGTAACACAAGGAACAGAGCAGCAGACGCAGCTCGCCAAGGCTGCCTTCAAGCGTATGAAGACTCTGCGTCATCCCAACATCCTGGCCTTTGTGGATGGATTAGAGGTGCAATACGTAATACAAATTGATGTCTATGTTAAGTATGGAGATTGCTGGTGTAATTGTTTGACACCCCTAGTTTTAACTGTTCTGCTAACACCGACACAGTCTAGAATAAGTGAAAGGATTTTTTAATCTGGCTCATTTAAACTCTGGTTCACTGCTTTGATCAGTGTTACTAATTGCTCAATCTGCTTGTTCTGCATCCACTCAGATAGAGGTGAGTGGGATTGTGCCACATGGGGCAATGTATATTCTCTCCCCTACACGTATTATTGCTGTAAATAGAATGGTATAGTGGTATGTGATTTGTACTTTTGTTACATTTTGTAGCTTATTAATTGTCAGGTCACTTAGTTTTTCTCTCTAATGGTAATTGAGGTAAATAAAATAGATAAGACTTTATTCATCACACACTGGGTAAATTCAGTTGTTACAGCAGCAGGATAGACACGGTGTATATGTGTATTTCAAATGTATATGTATATAAAATAATGGATGACGGGATGGCTTCTCATTCCCATAATATATATTAAATATGAATAATGGGACCTGAATTATTTATACAATTATAAAATATATAAAAGAGTTTAGTTTTGTTCTTTGTAAGTAGTCACCAGATCTATATCCAACTCTTATCATTTGTACCTTCAAGACCTTTTGTTGTCTTTGACCTGCTATTGTGTAGTTGTGTTTCTGTCCTGGCCTATCATCTAAATGAGCTTTTAGAGCCTTTAAATGTAAGACACTAATGAACTGGTTGTACTTTTATTCCTTTCTAAAGCCCTTGTACAGTATAACTTGACAACAAGTACCACTTTGTCTGCAACAGACAGAGAAGAGCTTGTACCTGGTGACTGAGCAGGTGACTCCTCTGGCAGTGCACCTAAAAGCCCAGTCAGAGAAGGGCAGTGGAGGAGAGCTGGAGATCTCCTGGGGACTTCACCAGATAGTGGTAAGAAAGGGACTGTGCACAAGTCAACACTTTTAAGGACGCCGTTATTTAGTTGTTTTTGTTTACAGTTTTTTAAGCTGTTTAAATATGCACTTCTGCAATGTTTCTCCTCTCACAGAAAGCTCAGAGTTTCCTGGTGAATGACTGCCACTTGCTCCATAACAATTTTGGTGTGTGGTCAGTTTTCGTGGACCGAGCTGGAGAGTGGAAACTTGGGGGTCTTGAGCATGTGGCTGCTGAGCAAGGTGACCCGAGTGGGGTTTCACTTCCTTCCCCAAAGGACGTTTATCCAGACATGGAAAAGTATGACCCACCAGAGATGTCCAGCAGCAGTGGCGAGAAATGGTAAAAGAATATCCTTAATTCTTTTGGAGAATGTGGATGTATTTACCGTAAGAACACATTTATTACAAGATTATGGGAGAGACGCACCAATAAGCAATAGAGTTAGAAACTTTAAAAAAATGTATTAAAAATGCCTTTCTGTTCTAGGGCTGGGGAGGTGTGGCGTCTCGGCTGTCTGATATGGGAAGTGTTCAATGGGTCCTTACCTCGCACGTCCTCTCTTCGCTCTTTAGGAAAGGTACATCAGCCCCACATTTTCATGATGGCATCAAAACAAAAGCATTAATCACTTTCCACAATGTGGCCAATTCAGTAAATAGCTGTATTTCGATAAAATATGCTCAATGTGCTGCCCCCTGTTGGAGTTAGAGTCCATTTTTACAACATTTTTATCGGCTGTGATTAGTAACATGTTAGCTCCATTAATGCATTTCTCCACTAATGTACAGCATTTATTTTGATAATGATGATTTATCAAGCTGAATTACGATTGATCAGCATTACTCATGATCATGATTAATATTTATTAATCCACAGCTACCCTTTGAATTAATCATATTTAAACATGTTATTGTTGAAAGAGATTATATTTAAACTAAGACCAAATAAATATAATAAAAACCTTATTTTTGTAGGAGGTAAATCTATCAATTATACTTTTGCGGCTTAATTTTATATTTCAAGTTCCAAAATGTTTACTTTGCACTAAGCAGCTGTTTACATCCATTCACTCTGTGGCTTTTGTAGTGAAAAGTTGAAAACTGAATCTGAAGTTTTACTTACACAGGTGTGTCCTCTCCTGTTTCCTCTTTGTCTCTTCAGATTCCTAAGACCTTGGTCCCTCATTACTGTGAGCTGGTTGGGGCCAACCCACGCACTCGGCCCAATCCGGCTCGTTTCCTCCAGAACTGCAGAGCCCCTGGGGGCTTCTTGAGCAACAGCTTTGTAGAGAGCAATCTTTTCCTGGAGGAGATACAGGTACAGTGATGTCCTAACTTAAACTGACTTAAGTTAAGGTACTTCAATTATATTATAATTATATATGTGTATAGTTTAGTGCTAAATCAAGCCCATAGTCCAAACTGCAGGGTGAAAGAGCTCTGTTACTCCAGCCTTACGATGGCAGACACTGTAAAACATTTCTTTAACAATATCTCTGTTAATTTTCCTGTCCAGATCAAGGAGCCGGCAGAGAAGCAGCAGTTCTTCCAGGACCTGAATGACAATCTGGACTCATTCCCTGAGGATTTCTGCAAACACAAAGTCCTGCCTCAGCTGCTTACCGCCTTCGAGTTTGGCAGTGCAGGCGCTGTCGTCCTCACACCGCTCTTTAAGGTAAGCGCTACTGTAAAAACTGCTCCATATATTTTGTTAATATGGTATTACCTGTTCAAACAGTAAACACTGAATTCATTCTTTTCTCTCTCTCTCTGTGTGAGCAGGTAGGGAAGTTCCTTTCAGCAGACGAATACCAACAGAAGATAATCCCTGTCATTGTGAAGATGTTCTCCTCTACAGACCGAGCCATGAGGATACGACTTTTGCAACAGGTGTGTTCACTATAGTTGCTTTAATGTAAATGAGTACTTTAAATAAGTAATATTGAAAATAAAAGAACTAGTTTTTTTCCCTTGTGATAAAAAAATTGTGTTGAAATAAAGAACAGAATATTTGTTTTTTCCCCTAATCTCTCAGATGGAGCAGTTTATTCAGTATCTGAATGAGGCAGCTGTCAACTCCCAGATCTTTCCTCATGTTGTGCATGGCTTCACAGACACAAACCCTGCCATCAGAGAACAGACTGTTAAGGTACTGTGCATACCACAAAACAACTTACTACAGAGTTTGTATATATTATACGTCATCCTGCTGCAACACCAACTCTCATCCTTTTGTTTTTTTCTTCCCTTCAGTCAATGTTATTGCTCGCTCCTAAGCTGAATGAGACAAACCTAAACCAGGAGCTCATGCGTCACTTTGCTCGACTGCAAGCCCGGGATGAACAAGGCCCAATTCGCTGTAACACCACTGTTTGCCTGGGCAAGATCGCCTCCTACCTCAATGCTGGGGTAAAATTATCTCGCACTACAGTGTCACTCGTCTTTCAAAGTCCTGCACAAACCCAGTTCAAATATTCAAATATTTGATCTTTCCTTTTCACAGACCCGACAGCGTATTCTGGTTTCCGCCTTCTCACGGGCCACGAAGGATCCATTTCCAGCCTCGCGCTCTGCTGGTGTGCTGGGCTTCGCTGCCACACACAATTACTACAGTCTCACAGAGATTGCTGCCCGCATCCTCCCCACACTCTGCAACCTTACTGTCGACCCTGAAAGAAGTGTTAGGGACCAGGTAAATGTGTGCTGCAAAAGATGTAAGCAAGTAGATAGCTTTGTCCTAGGGATGTCCAATCATTTTCTGCTTCCTTTTTTTTCTCTATCAGGCATTTAAAGCTATTAAGAGTTTTCTAACAAAGCTTGAGACTGTGTCAGAAGATCCAAGCAAGCTGGCTGAAATAGGTATGGCCTTAATTAAATAGTTACCATAATACAATAGTGATTATAATGTATTGTTGTTTTTTTAAGATTAAGGATTTTTAAACGAAAGCTAATAAAAACATCAGATTAAGAACCAAAATGTTTCTCTCGCTCCCCTATTTGTCCTGCAGAAAAGGATGTAGCATCAAGTGCTCAGCCGGCGGGAGCTTCGTCTAGCTGGGCAGGCTGGGCTGTGACTGGCATGTCCTCCCTGACATCTAAGTTGATCCGTAACGCTCCAGGGACAGAAGGAAGTGCAGCAGCAGAAGAAAGTGGTCCCAATAACAACAGCAGCCCTGCAAGTACCACCGCTGCAGCAACTGCACCTGGTATACATATACAGAAACTGTCATCACATTTTGTTGTATTTCATATCTTTGTGTTTTACTACAACACAATAGTCTCAAGAGTCTGGTGTTTTGTTTCAAACCTCCACTCCTGTGTTGTTGTGTTTGTTCTTTCAGTTCCTGAGGATAAAGCTCAACCATCATCCTCCCTGAGCCAACATTCTGCCTCAAGTCATGCCAGCCAATCACAGACTCTTGAAGTTGCATGTGATGTTGATGAGCCAGTTGGTGATCGCTGGGATGATGAGGACTGGGGAAGTTTAGAGGTTTGATTTCTTTTTTTCTTTTTACTTGTGTGTTAAAATGTAGGCAAGGCCTTTTTGTTACCGTTTACATCAAACTAATGCCAAATGTTGTCCTGATAGGAGGCAGAAAAAGGTCTCACTGAAACTGATGACTGGAACACAGATTGGTCAGGAATGTCATCATCCAAGAAGAAGTCCAGTGAGAGAGGAGTACGAGTCCTTCAAATATGATTCACTACCAAATATACTCACCTATCTCTGGGGCATTTAATACCACAGGAAATAGATGTTGTTCCTTGTAGATATTTATATATTAAAAAAATGCTTCATTCTTGTCTTTCTTTTTTTCCTAATGTTATACAGGTGGGCAGGATGGCCTCATCCTCCATGACTGTGAAAAAACAGAGCTCTGATTGGAGCAGTTCTGGCTGGGATGCGGATGACAGCTGGTCTAACGAGAAGGATGGCCAGGGGCAAAGCTCGGCGGGCGAGGAAGGCTGGGGCAACGACTGGGCAGACGAGGAGACGGACGCAACTCTGACCAACAAGACGCTGCCTCTGCCAGATGGCGTGCGGCTAGCGAGCGAGTACAACTGGGACAGCAGCACGTTGAAGGGAACAATTCAGAACGACCTGTTCGCCAGTGTATCCCAGAGAAACACTTCCAGCAATGCTGCTGCCATGGTGAGGAGAGGAGTGGAGTTACAGGCAGATGGGTTCAGTCAGTAGTTATTTAATGACATCAGTACCTGTAGTGATTATGTCATCATTAGAATATAACACGCTTACAGTGAAAGATTGAAGTACACAGGATTGCCTTGAAGTACTACAAATGAAATCAAATTATCTGTGGGCTACATGTTCTTATGTGGCTTTTTTACTGGAAAGTCCAGTTTCCTCCCAATGTACAAAAATAGTTCATTGTTTGTTCTAGTGATTCTATGTTTACACTTTGTTCAGAGCAGCCCTGGAGGGGAGGAAGTGGATGTGTGTCATCTATAAGGGAGAACAGGATGTTGGTACAAAAATTTGCATACATTTTTTTGTTCCACTTTTTTTTATGACAATTTTTGTAAAAGTAAACAAAGTGGAGATTAATGTGACCCATTATCTATTCAATTCAGCAGATGTCAGCATGATTTTGATGCAATGTAGACATCTACTTCTTTGAAAATATAGTTTATTTATGTTTTGAGAGTCACCACAGTAATTCCAGCAGTATAAACTGAATAACGATATAATAATGATTTGATGGATGATATGTTTTTTTTTTCTTTCTTAGACTGGAGATGGTTGGGGCACAGATGCAACAGGAAATTGGGGAACTGAGGAGAGCTGGGAATCACTGGAAGGGAACCAGGGTAAGTTCCTCTAGCTTATGAACAAGAGCAATTCAATTCTGTGAATAAGTTGCAAATGGGGGTAATTTAAATTAGGAAATATCAAACTTAAAAACATTTGTTTGTGCTGCTGGACTACAAATGTCATTCCAAAAAAGGCTGCTATGTTTTCTGCAAATACAATTCACATTAAAAGTGAAATCTGGTAATTTACTTAAACCTTTGTTGATCACATTAGGACACAGAGGAAACTTTAAGTGTTTTTTTATCGACCATCATAATTCAGTTTCACAATGCTTGCGCCACACTCCAATCAAGTTGGCAAAACAAGATAAAGAATAGAGACAAAAATGATATACATTGTCTAGGGGGAAAATGTTAGGACTGATCTACAGAGCAAAACCTCAAGTATAACAGATCACATCGAGGAACCACTGACCTAACATGTTTCCTGTAATAGCCTCACTAATTACTTTCTGTGCTTTTGCGTGCATCAAACACTTTCCTGCCGCTCAGGTCTCAGCAAGGCTGAGTTGTCCAAAAAGAAGCGAGAGGAGAGGAGGAAAGAGCTGGAGGCCAAACGGGCGGAGCGCAAAGCTGCCAAAGGTCCTCTCAAACTAGGGGCACGCAAGCTGGACTGATGATGACATGAAATAAGGAAGAATGGAGATGTACGAGGAGGAACATGGTTGCAGAGCAGAGCAGACAGAGACTCTTCATTCCACACGTAAAGGACCAGGAAGTTAAAGAAACTGAAAAGCTGCTCTGACAGAGGTGTGTAAACTGAGGAGATGTAGATCCACTGTTGTGGATGAAAAATCTACACCCTCCCCATGAATGTCAAAGTGGTGAAGGAGCAGCTGAAAAAGGTGGAATACAAAATCACCAGACACATGAAAGGGTTTGATCAGCTTTTTACTGCAGCTTGAGAAACTTCACAGAATGTCCCTCTGTGTCTTACTTTTCTGTTTATTTTAATCTGCAGTTGTAAAGTAAATGTATATAAACAGTGTATCCTGTCTGGACTGAGACAGATGATCTTTTTTTTAAAACTGAAAAATATAAAGTATAGAATCAAATGTTAATAATGTCACACGCACAAATGTCCAGTGGATTTGAATGTTTGTTTTTCAAAAACAGACATAAAACCTAAATTAGTGCATGCCATTCATTTGTGCGACTAAATTGTCTCAAGAGAAATTTACAACTGATTTATGTTGCACATTTATCGTCAATGTGGGAAACTGTGTCATTTGGCTGAACCCAGACCTGTAGAAGTGGAGACGAGACCCGCTGAACTCTGGATTCCATACGTAATCCTACGTATCTCAAAGTTTAACAAACTCGATTAACATTTAATTTGAAATTATTTTAAGTCCATTTTATTGTGATGAATTCCACAGCGCTCACTGACTCTTTGAGAGAGTCTGTGGATCTGGTTGTTTACACTGCACACTTGTTTTAGTCAGTACTGGTCAGAGTCTGGGTTCTCTGGGGCTTTTTTTAATCTTATTTGTGAATTTATTTAATCGCTTGTCAGCTCTCATCAGGAGGAGTTACACTGTCAACAATCAGCTGACGCAGTTTCCAGTGAACCGTTCGATCCCGTGCACGGTCTTCTGTATTAGGTCAGTAGTTTAGAGTGACTCCGGTTTAGAAAGGTCATCACCACGACGACAACAGGAAACATCCTTCTCCGTGGTTTGCGTGTGAGAGTGAGACAGAGCTGCATTGTTCCGACTGCAGTAAATATAAATCACGTAGCATGGAAGCTGTCGATGAATAAATTTTAAATAAACATTCAGTTGTGCCTTGTGTTTAATTTTCTTTCTTTTTTTGGACAATTGTTTGCACTAAATGTCTGGTTAGCTTTTTTACCTTCATTTACAAACGAGCTAAAGCCCGGTTGCCTCCGACACAGGTCTGTGACTGTCGTTCACACGCGGTCAGAGCAGCGCGACCGAGTGAAGCTGACCACAACTGCTGCTTTGAGAACGATCTTTTAAAAAGTCAGCACTCTGAGCAACGGGTTGTCGTCATTACTGTGAGCTGCTGTCGCCGAGAAACAGGATGGAACAAACGTTGAGATATGTGTAAAAAAAACTTTATTGGGATTTCATTTCCAATAGAATAATGTTTTAGAGAATAACAATGCAATGTAACTCTTTTGATCATGATTCTCCATAACAATCCTGTACTATACATTATTATTATACTCCTACGAATTGATTCATGGGGTTTTTTTTCTAAAAAAATGTGTAAATCAAATTAATAATAACCATGGATGTGCGTTATTATATTTACATGTGACCCAGCAAAAATACTAATAATAATAAGCACATAGCTAAGGTCTTCTTTTTCAAGCGTCACCAGGGATTGGCTGCTTAGAATGAAAAGCTGTAAAGCTGTAAAAGTGCCGTATGATAATATTACACTATTATATAAAATATAATGCTGCTTAAAATCATGTATTGTTAGCTTATGGTGAGCCATGGTTTATTTTATTTTGTTATTGTGTAACTTGTGCTTTATTCAAATGTCACATTGAGACAATATGAATGGGTGAGATCTATGTCACATTGAGACAATATGAATGGGTCTCTAATCTCTAAAGCATCTTTCGTCATATTAGATATTAGCCAACTTTTTACTATAGTTTTCGTGACATAAAATCTATTAAAAATGGTTAAAAAGGCAGTTTCAGAAATTATAAACATTGAAAAAGGCACGTGAGAAAGCACGTGGTTCTATTAACCAGGCCAGTTAACAGGTGAACCCAGATCATTCTGTGTCGTGGCGTTTTTCCTTGTCTGGTCCAGACAGGGTTCCTGCAAGAGCAATAATCCCGAAAATAGCAGTTGCTGCCAGAGTTGAAGCAAGAGCCACATTTGCTGCTTGACGCACCTACAGTTCCAAATACAGATATATCATAAAAGTAAGCAGGACAATGATGACACAACGACTCTTCACACAAGAGAGGTATCCCTGTGGTACAATGACACTACAGACCGTAAAATAATTAAAATAAATAAATATTTAACCAAATGGAATGTTCTTAAAGAAAGGCAACCAAGATGGCATTCTGTGATTTGTCAAGGAAGTGATATCTCATCCTCCTTAACATTTAAAACACTGTATAACATCTGCTGTTGGTCAACTACATCCATCCATCCATCCATTTTCTTATCTGAGGTTCAGATGCATCAGTGAAAAAATAATCATCGCCATCATACTGTTGTATATGTAGTCACTAGACACCCAACATTTACTAACAAATAATTTCAAAAAAGTAAGAACGAAGTCCTACCTGACGGGACTCTGGTTTTCCATATCGCAGGTTAGTGACAAAGTGCTCACAGTTCCAAGAGATGACATTATATCGCATCACTCGCCCCACCCAGGCCTTTGCCTCTTCAATGACCACACAGGTTGAGCGAGGTTCATACTCTTTATCCAGTAAGTTGTCTACTCTCCAATTGCTATTTCCCACTACATCCTTTAGTAGCTCTTTCTTCACCACAGCCCTATCGGCCACCACAGACATTAGACTTTGGGCACCTGCATTTGCAACCTCAGCTGTGAATTACATAATAGAGAGAATTAATATTAGTATTTGATTACTTTTACCTTGTAATGAGCTGATTGAGTATAAGCCTCAGAAGGTGCTTCTTTGAGCTCTGTGATTGACTGTGACGACACACCATTGTCAGTCAATACTTACAGGGTGGAGCAAGGTGTACAACATAGCCACCTCCAATGTACAGCGCCCAGTGTTGATAACAGGTCCGTTCAATTCTTATCAAATCGCCAAGATTTGGTTCTTTATAATACTATAATTAGAAAATAGAACAAAAATGTTTGGTGGCGATCAGGTTCTTGTTTAGCCTTGCCCAGTATTTTTGTTAACACACTGAACTATAACTTGGAAATGGACACTTTACTGAAATACACCTTGTAAATACTGTCTAAAAAAGAAGAAAAAGTGAATTATTTGTCATTGTGACACAACACACCACTGCACACACAACGACATGTGACCTCTGCTTTTAACCCATCACCAAAGTGAGCAGGGGGCAGATTTAAGTGCCCGGGGAGCAGTGTGTGGGGACCAGTGTCTACCCTGCTTTTACTACTACTTGTCTATCCTGCTGCTGTAACAACTGAACTTCCCCAGTGTGGGATGAATACAGCCTTATCTCCTCTTATCTGTACTTATCTAGTACAAGTACAAGTAAATTAAGCTTAAGTGCCCAGTGAGCAGTGTGTGGGGAGCGGTGTGTGTATCACACTCATTTGAATCAATAAATCAATAATAATACATAAAGTGGTGAGAAAAACTATATTTTTGTACAAACCACGTTTACAAAAGTATTTATTACCCGAACACAGACACACGCATACTCACACACACACATATAATTTCATACTTAAAGTCATAACTAAATTTGGCACACAACAAGGGAATACATTTAAGAAATCGTGTTATTATTGCAATTAAAATTGAATTAGTTGCTCAGCATTAATATTTTTTGCTGTAAGAAATCTGGGAGAGAGTTCTGTACAGTGGGAAAGTGAGATCACATTTTCTGTTAGTGCAGTGGTGGCCTTTGTCACAATAACAAGTAGTTCTCCAAGTAGTTTTCCTTTCCTTTTCCTTTAGTTTTTTTTATACTCACCTGAGCTCTTGCCATCTCCGCTTCGTTTAAAGTAGTTCAGTGGTTCGATCTGTAAAGTAAGTCAGTGGGTTAGAAATAGCAACAGTAGCAAACTTTTATTTTGTGTTGTATATGTTAAAAACGTTTTGTTCTCATCCGTGGCAAATGATGTAAAAGTAAGCACGACAGTCACATTAGCACAAGTCTTTGAGTTATTTCGTATGGAAACTTTCACAAGTTCAACAGATGGCTTTCTTCAGAAACATTTCTTGTTAGATCTTATCAATCTTTTATAGATATACATCGTTTCGATTTGTCCAATCCTACCTTCTCGTACTGACTCGCTCCGGCGACAGTCTAACCCTAACCCTTCGTAGGGTGGGCCGTTATATACCGGACCAACATCCCACCCTCACTGATCTTTGTAACAGCCCTTCAGAATAAAATAGTTATTCGCTACTACTGCTGACCGACAAACCTACCAACCATTAATAGTGACATCGCCGGTAGCTGTAATGTTCGGTTTGTGACGTTTGTGTACGTGTTTGTGTTGCGTTCAAAGTGTACGCGAATTTCAGAATTTCCATCTTAAACCTGAGCACTAACATATACAGGAGGTGATGAAACAAATCACCCCAAGGAGCCAATATAAAAATATAAAATACATGAATACACAGTATAGAAAACTCTCTCTCTCTTTCCCCCTTTCTCTCTCTCACTCTCTCTATCTGATAAATGTATTCTGGTATTGCTGACAGCTTGATCCACCCAGTTCAAAATCCTATCTACACCCCTGACTTAGAAGTTACTACAAATTGTTCAAGCAATATATACAAACAAGCAATCATAAAACAATGATTTGTTGATGTAGTGGTGAAAATGAATATTGACACACTTATTGAGTCGGCACACAATAAACTAAAGTTTACTTTGGGAAAGAAACGGATGTGCTAAAGATTGTTATAATATACATTGGTAATAATTAATAATAACAGTTTTAATAAAATTGGTTATTACACAATTATTAGTAACGCAGTTATCTGATGTTGTTACGTTCAGTCTCAAACTAACTAAATAACTAACTTTAATCTCTAGATGTCGCCACTCGCCCTTGTTGTCTGGGGCCTATTCTAAAAGACGAAGAAGTGTCGTCTTCCGGTGTCCGTTTGCCGTTTCCTTGTAGTTGTGTTCAGAAACCGGGTTAAAGTAGATAACAAAAACTGTCGCAGTTATTCAGGTCGAAGCCGAGGGACCTGGCCGAGGGATTTAATGTGAGTTTTTTATGTATATAAGACCAAGCGATGTCCGTAGTGTTTGACGGGAATCCGCTGACGGCGATGCAGAGCTCCCACTCTCAAAGCCCGCAGACCGCGCTGAGGTGAGTGCCGGAGGTTTAGACTAACAGGACCGTCAACTGTCCAGTCGTCATCTTTACACGCAAACAGTAAACGTAAACAGTGGTGCATGAAATGTATATGCCACAACTGGACTAATAATGTATTCTTATTAAGTTACAAATATCATTGTGCATATACATGCTTTAATCACAACTATGCCAGTGTTTGCTAAAGCAGGCACTGGGCTGTTGACTGGAAAATTAATAATTACCTAATTATAAACTTGGTACTACTTTTAGTTCCTCATTAAATACATTTAAATAGTTTGTTGTTTTTTTGCCTTGAGAGGTTGGGGTAAATATTTCAATGCTTCTAGTAAAGTAGTATTACCATTTTACAAGCTAAATGAAAAGTATGAAGTTTGTATTCTTTTCTGACGATATTGTATTAATATATTGTATACAATTATATAATTACGTGTCACTTATGTAATAATACTTTTTAAATACTTTTTTTCATTGTTTTCTGTCTGTAAATGCTTATCTTTCCACTCTACATATTTTAATATTTTATCTATTTCTTGTCTAGTGCGCATGAGTTGTCTCAAGAGATCAAATCCTTTATCAGCGGTGTTGATGCCGTTCAGGGACGAAAACTCAGTGTTCGGGAGCATGCTCGCTGTGCTGTGCGTCTTCTCCGCTCAGTTCCCACCTGTCGAGGTGCAGTGCTGGAGCATCTGAGGAGTGTGTACGATGAACATGTTTCGGCCTTCCTGCACAATCTGGAGACAGAAGGGGACGCCGGCTCTGTGGTCAGCTCCAACCTGGAGGACATTATACAGGTACAGTGAGTATGATGTGAGAGCAGCCCGCTACGAATTCAATGATATTCAACCACAACAACAAAAAATTCCATCAGTATTTAAAAACTAATATAGACTGTCATTCATTAAACCCATTGCCCCTACCTCTATCTCTAACGTACCCATACACATACAAATATACATAGAAATTAAGCTGAACTTCATTGTTGTGACATCTACAATGTTTTAAGAAAGTCGTTTTTTTTCTGGTTCTTAAAATTTTCTGCAGCAATTGCTCGCCCATGTCGACACATGCACAGCTGCTTCTTTTAAACTCCACCTAACTTTTAAATAAGTTGTAATTCCTAAAACCAGATTTTCTCGCCAAAAAAAGTAAAAATGATTCAGTGATTTGTTTCCACTGTGACACAAATAGAAAATATAAAAAAAAAATGTATCTGCCCCTGTTGGCCTACAATGGACAGATTTAATAACTTGAACAGTCTTAGTTTATTTGTTCATTGTGGAAGCAAAGTATTGAAGAAGTGTTTAGCGACAGAGATCTATGTTAAATAAGTGCAAATGTATCTAGTGTTAAAGGTATTCATTAAAATAGCTACATTGCTAAGAAACATGTTCTAATGATTCACTTGTCTTTAGGAGGTCCATGGCGTGCTATCTGAGTTCATTCGACTTAACCCTCGTGCCTGGGCCCCCCTGGTGTCCTCCTGGGCGGTGGATCTTTTGGGCCAGTTAAGCAGTAAACACGCTGGTCGCAGAATTGCTCCACATTCTTCCAGCCTAAATGAGCTGCTCCAACTCTGGATGTCCTGTGCTGCCACCCGATCCCTCATGGAGGCCTACTCACAGTGTTTGGCCGCGATGCTGTCTTGGTGTCCTGATGCCTGTGTCGATGCACTGTTGAACACTTCAGTCCAACACTCTCCACACTTTGACTGGGTTGTGGCTCACATTGGGTCTGCTTTTCCAGGTACTATTATCAGTAGAGTCTTAGCTTGTGGACTCAAAGACTTCTGCTCTCATGGCGCAAAAGAACAAGGGATAATGGTTATGGGAGGGGATAAAGGTAATAGAGTGCCAAAAATTGGCTCTGTGGTGGGAATCCTTGGTCATCTTGCAGCACATCATTCAGATAGCATCAGGAAGGAGTTGCTCAGGATGTTTCAAGAGAGTCTGAGTCCTTCTAGTCCTCTTTCTCCCACTTCATCCTCCACCTCTTGGGAAAGTTCACCTCAGCTCCGCCGAGCTGCAGTACCATTTCTGCTACAGTTGGCAGCACTTTCCCCAAACCTCTTTGGTGCTGTGTCTGCCGAGCTGGTTGAGCTGTTAAACCCACCAGTCCTGCTGCAACTGCAGGCTTTACTCCTGGGGTTTCCCAGAGAGGAGTTAGACAACATGCTGGGTCTTGCTGTCCACCTCATTAGTCAGAGTCCATCGGGAGGTGCTCGGGTGCTCCGCTTCTTGGCTGACACTGCGACTCCTGCATCTGTCATCATCTCTGGTCCCACATCCTCCCCTCATGAAGGAGTCAGAGAGGGCTGTGACAGACTTCTCCAAATGCTTCTTCTGCATCTCCACAAATTGGTATTTAACCGCTCTGAAGGAGGAGAAGAGAAACCTCATCAATCTGTTTTATCTCAGCCTCAGAGGGTCATCCCCTTCTTGGAGGAGCTGCAGTCTCATGTCGGGGAGCTTTGTGCTGAGACCCTGCGGTTAGAAAGGAAGCGCCATCTTTGGTTACACCAGCTACTGTGTCTGTTGTCTGTCTACGGGGGTCCCACAGTGGCCACTGAAGCCCTCTGCCAGCTTCTCACCCAAGCACGAAACCCAGAGGAGCTGGCCCTGGCCTGGCAGCTTCACACTATGCTCTCTTCCTGTATGGCTGGTCTCATCCCTGCTGCCATAACACGCTGTGTGGCCCAGATCCATACACACACACTGGGGCTGCGGCAGTTGAAACAACTGCTACTTAACCTGGCTGCAGCCATTCAAAGTCAGGACGAGGAAAGAAGAGGATCAGCTGGTGCTCTGTCCTCCATGGCAGTCCAGGTGTGCTCAGCAGTCTCGGGACACCTCCATGACTTTGGCCCACTTCTTCTTCATGGTGACCCAGCAGTATCTCACGCCACAGTACGCCTCCTGTCCTGTAGCCCCTTACCTCGCACCTCATCCCCAGCACACCTGCTCTTACTTTCGCGTGCTGCTGTCAGCCACTTCTTTTTGGCGTTACGCAGACGAGGCAAAGGGACAAAGGTGGGGAGAGAGGGCGGTCAGGCAGTTGAAGCAGTTAACTGCTCTGTCTTGCTCCTTTCCCGTTTAGCTGCTTACTCTCCACTTACATTGAAAGCAGTGCTTCAGCAGCTGGTTGAGGGAGCACTACATAAAGGCAATGCGGAATTGTTTGGAGGACTGATAGCAGATATGTCTGGTGCTCCCGTGCCTGTCTCCTTCGTGTGTCCAGATGTTGAAGCCTCACTGCTGGACATTAACTGTCGATTTGGTACCACTGTCAACTTTTCTGGCAGTGTGTGGTCTGTTTTCCATGCGGGTGTAATTGGGAAAGGGCTTAAGGTCCGCACTGCCACAGAGCTGCCTGATCCATCTGGAGTCATTCAGGTGAGATTTAGATTTTTTATAACAACATTTCTTTATTATTTATTTATTTATTATTTTTTTAATACAATGTTTTCTTGTACAATTTTTTTTAGCATTTTTAAGTGCCCAAATTTAGATAGATAACCCTTGTAACTGTTTTCTTCCCTTGTGTAGAACATCCAGACTCTGCTGCTTATCGTAGTCCAGTGTTGCAGTTCCTCTGGTCTAAACAGCTCCATTAATGGTTCACAATCATCTGGTCCTGATGAGCCACCACCAATCAATGCTGAGGCAGCTAAGGTTGTTGCAATTACACTTGTAGAGAACATCTGTCCCGATGTGTCCAATGGAGAGTTGTCCTGGCCCCTGGAGGAGCATGCCCGCACCACAGTAGAGCGGGACATCCACATTCGACGCTGCTTCGAAGCCCACCCAGTGATTTTCCCTCTATTGCAGGTGGTGGCAGCAGGACGCCCTGCTCTCTGCTACTGCTCAGCTATGCTTCGAGGCCTCTTGGCTACTCTGCTCTCCTACTGGGAAGCATCCCGTGAGATGTCATCCACAGATTCCCCATGGCATCTCCAAGCCTCCTGCCTTCTGGTGTCCTGCATGGGGGAAGGCCAGCTTCTGCCCCCTGTGCTGGCCAACGTCCATGAAGCCTTCCCTTATCTTACTCCCTTCGAGGTCAGGCTGTTACTCCTCGCAGTGTGGGAGTATGTTAGGGGCAATGGACCGATGCCCCAGAAGTTTATCTTTAGTTCAGAGAAGGGTGTATTCTGCAGGGATTTCACAAGGGACGGTGATGTGGCAAGATATGTGGCACCAATTCACAGTGTCCTTCATAAAAATATTGACCGATTGGGACACCTGTGCTGGAGATTTCAGCTCTGACCGTCAAAGGACAGAAAATTGAATGGAATCTGCATTTCTCGAACGTGTTTGTGTATGTTTTGTATCTTTTTCAACTTTTCTAAAAGGGCTGTCAAATGTGTCAGAAATGTGACAAGTGTACTGAAAATGATTGCAATATAAAATGTGACCCACGTAAACAAAAACGTGGGTCACATTATGTCATTGGGTTAGGAACGTGCAGTTTGGTGCAATTGTTTATAAAGGCTCTTAAATATAATTTCAATTTTATTCCAATACAACGATTGGTCATGTTCTTTAGCTTTTCAAAACAATACAAAATAAATCCTAATTTGTTCTGTGTGCTTTGAGTGTTTTTGTACAGCGTAGAGAATGCTACAGAATTTGGGTATAGTCTGGGAGGTGATCTCAATGTAGCTTTAAGTCAATTTTATCTGAAGAGACACTGATACGCAGAGAAAAAGTGCTGTTGAGAGGAGTTTCAGTAGTTTAACAGCAAACCTTTCTTTTGCAAACATGACAAACTTAAAGGTACATGCCTGGGATTTATCAGTATTCAGTTTTGTATTAACATGTAGGTGGACAATTGAAAATGTCCTCATTAAATATTATAACTCGTTCATAAAATAACATTAATTATTAAATGCTAAATGATGCCTGTCGTGTGTTAGTATAAACCCAGATGATTAAACACAATGGCCTTCATACAGAGACACATCGTTATATTACTTTAAATGTAAAGAAAGAGTTCGCATTGGGATTAAAAAAAATCACATACGTTTGGGTCAGTGTATATACACACATGTATGAATAAAAAGTGATTAAAAAAAAAAAGTCGCTGAACACATTATTTCACATTGTGGACTGAGCCTGCCATATCGACTATCTGCACGTCTACCCCCAACTACAGGCAGGCGGGCCGTTGGAAGCAGTTGGATGACGTGGGTTTGTTCTGCTGAGCTGGTTTCTGGAATATAGTTTGTGGAGCGCTTGTGTTCTTGCGCACAGACGAGACGTATTTAGACGAATTACTCACATTCCAACAAAGAGCTACATACTATATCATAAATTGACGTAACATGGCATGCCATGCCATTTCTGGAATATATACAAGGAAAAATGTATTCCTCATCACATACGTTCCAAAATAGTTGTAGTGTGATAACTCTTACTTTTAAACGATCTTCATTGCATCCTGAAATGGGCGGAGTCAGCTGCGAGCATAATCAAGATGGCCTCCTTCACAGAGAGGTAAGACAAAGCAATTCCGCTATCTCATCGTTTGTTTGACGTGTTATCACTGCAAAGGAAGACAGACATAATCGATTCGGTGACACATTCGGTAAACGTCGAAGTAATCATGTCAATTTTGGGATAAACGGCTGCTGTGAAGGAAAAAGATGATACAGGAAAAGACGAGGAGCCCCTTCAATTGAATTAGCGGCTTGACATGCAGCTTCTTAGCACAAATGTATTTAGTGTGGCAAAGAGCGTAAATCACAACTGTGTGCCTGTAAAATTGCTATATGTTCTTATTATTAAATAAACCAAGCTCTTATATTTGAACATCCCCAGTGCGAACGTTTGCTTGTCATTTATTAGAAATCTGCTTGCGGAGGAAGTAGCTATCATTAGCCCATACTTGAGCTACTGCTGTCACTTCCAGTCAAAGAACATAAGTTCCCCTTGCTTTGATAAATCTTTGTGGGCGAAAAATAACCACTGTGTGCTTGATTTGCTTTAGAAAACCCTGTAGCTAGGATTTGAGGAAACAGGATATGGTTATGTCATGTACAGCTAATGATAGATCAAAGTCTGTCTTCGTGTGGGTTATATAATTGCTGTCGTACAACAACGATATTATTTATATTGTGCAAGTATGGATTTTTGCGATTTGTTGAGTTGAATGCGTATCGTAAAAATGTAACAATAATTGGTAAATTACGTTGTGCGGTTTAATCTAAATAAAATCACCATTCCTTATTCCCTCAAATCTCCTAATCTTATTATGCATGAATAAACTTTTGTCTACTGTCAGTAAATGTAAAACAATGATGTTGCCATTATAGACGCCCCAAAAATTAATTAAAACCAGAGTGGTTTCTATTGAAGAATCATAAAAACTAGTATTTTGTGTAACCCACTGTTAAACAGATCTTTGTTCTGTTTTCACTTCAAGTTTGAATGGATTAGAGGAAGCAGGGTGGAGTGGTGAGATCTCATTAACTGGTATTTGATAGAAGGAAATATGGAAGATTAAACCGTTTTTATAAGTAATTGAGCATTTGATGTATGGTTTGGAAGTCTAAAAAGATAGATAGATGGATAGATAGATATTTCTATATTTTACCTTTATGATTTTATAAGTGGGTGTAGTAAAAGCATTTATAATTTAAGAGGGATAAGAACAGATTATTCACACATTTGTACTGGAAGTCATTTTAAAGCATGTTTGCAAATAACAAATTTTGAAAACTATGCTTAAATGGTTTCTCTCTTTCATTCTAATTCTTGAAGGATGGCATTTGTCTTGGTGATGGCCTTGTGCCTCAGTGGGGCGTTGGCTGTGGACAGGGGCAACTTCAAGACCTGTGACCAAAGTGCCTTCTGCAAGTAAGTGCAACATTTAGGAAAACACATTATCCATCCTGAGGATTATTTCCACCAGTCAAAATAGCTTCACTGTCGCCATTTCTGAATTGAGCGTTGAATGAGTTTAGTTAATTTGGAAATCTTTAGTTTTAATCAGCTCTCCCTGGGAAAAAGCAACATAGGTTGAACCTGTGTTTCTCCTTTTGCTTTCTATATTAAATTAGTCATTTTCAGTGACAACACAATGACGTGATGCTTATTTATTTTCAAAGGCGTCAGCGAGCATTAAAGCCTGGTGAGTCTCCCTATCGAGCTTTGCTGGAGACCATGGAGCTGACCAACACCAGACTCACACTGCAGCTTATCAATGACAACAACAAGGTAAGATGCTTACTGTGCTTCCTCACTCTCACTGTGAATATTAGTATTGTTTTTGATATCTTCTTTTGATTTTCCCTTCATTTGTTGCTATCATCTTCTCCTCTTGACTCTCTGTTTGTCCCAGGTGCGTCTGCTGCTAGAGCTCTATCGTCTCCAGGGAAACATAACCAGGGTGAAGATAAATGAGTTGAAGCCACTAAAGCCTCGCTTTGAAGTCCCAGACGTGCTCGTCAGGGAGCCACCCACTGAGCCGTAAGACTCTCAATTCTGATGCTAACTCTGGTGCAACTGGGTTTTGCAGATTTGGATGTAGGTGTTTGAAAAAGACTACCAATGATCACAGTTATAAAACCGGGTTGTTAAATCAGGTGAAAAGATTGCAGAAGGTGGAACTTTGCAAGACATATACAAGAACACATACATAAAGAATAACAGGTCCATATTTTCTGAATTTAATCTTTAATGGTCATCCTTTAAGTATTTTTGTCTGTCAATCAGTGTTAATAAAAAACATATTGTAAAACCTTGCACAAAATCTGTCCTTGATATTAAATGATATCACGGATGTTGTTTCCCCGTCCTACTTGGTGTAAAGCAGGCAGATTACATCAATCTTGGTATTGTACTATATGCTGAAGATGTGTTTATTTCTAAGGACACAGGGAAAGCTGTGTATCTTAATGCAAAATATCATTACAGCTTAGAAAAGTGTATGCACTGAAAAAAACTATACAGTACATTTTAGGTGAATGCAGTTGAGGTAAACTTCAAATAGCTTATTTAAGATTTCCTGGAGAAATCAGTAAGACAAGTGTGTTATACGTAATTATACTAATGTATTTGAATAGTATCACATGTTACTAACTCTCTAAACTGCTTCTTGACATCCTGGCATTCTCTCCTCCTCTCTGTCTCAGCCTGTCCCTCCTGTCCCAGGATGAGAACGGGGTGGTGCTGTCTCTGGGAGCAGAGTCTCAGAGGGTTATCGTCAGTGCCCGTCCCTTCCGACTGGACATCATGGAAGGACGTGACGTGCTGATGTCCTTGAACTCTCGCGGCCTCTTGGCATTTGAGCATCTGAGGATGCGCAAGGACACGTGAGAAAACCACGCATGCATACACATGTTTACAAATACGAGCAGTCTCTTTTAAAGACGCACTGTGTAGGGTTTAGCAACATCTAGTGTTCACATCGACTAATGACTGTGGTCGAAGGCTTAGAGAACTGCCCTATTTTTGACTCTTTACTCACCTAAAACAAATGACAATGTAACTGTAAATATGGCAGGGACAAAGTCCAGCCATATTGATTTAGTCATCTAGACTGAGGGAACAAATGGGGGCACGAGCCAGTTGTAGCCGTGTTTGTTGGCTAGAAGATGGGACATGTAAAAGGAGATCCAATCATAGTAAACGTGCCAGGTGGTAGAATAAGCAGAAGTCAGTTTGAAGCCAGGAGTTGGATTCATTGGTCAATTTGTGAAATTTGAGATTCACACAAAAGCAAAGCTGGTGAAAAGATTAATGTGTGCATGCCTCGGACAAAGGCATGCACACACACCGACAAACATTCCTCACACAGTTGTTGTGTGTTATTTTTAATGATTGTTTGGTGTGCGACCTTCACCTGAAATTTCATTGGAAGTTGTCTGATAAAGGTCTTTAAAAGTCATTCTTAAAATTAAGTCGGTTCCCTGCAGATAGTGACAACAGTAGTCAACATTGTGCTTGCTTTTCTAATATATATAACATAGAGGAAAGACTGTAATGTAAAAAAAAAACAACCAAGTTAAATCTTACACGGTGCACCTTTAACTCTCACTTGTTCTCACTTAGTGGATGATTTCTGATTTGTTCCCATTAAATGAATTTTTTTCTTTGAGTTTTTGAGAATTGTCTCTGACTCGTTGTTCTGTCCTCTTCTCCCTATCGTCCCAGTTTCTCCTATAAAGTAACTAGCACAGTGGCTAGTGTGTGGGATAATATCAAGAGGGTATTCTCTAGGTAAAGTCCCTTAAGATTTGTAAGTGTGTATTCTGTTCCTTGTGCCAATGCTGCCAATAGTGACTTCAAAATTCAGGGACTGTGATTGCAGCAAGTTCTGTATTTATCCTTAAATAATGTGAGAGTGAAACAGAGGGATGTGTGTGCATGGTGGTGCTTGATCAGATTTTTAAATGAGGGCTTAGTCCAGTCCTTACTGTTTGACAGGTCATTAAAGCTAAGTATGTTGATTACTTCCCCCTCAAAAACAAATAATCTCATCACCTAAAAGTATTAACAGACAGTTGTCCCCGAACACTGTACTGTGGGCACCTCTATGATTATATTTTTTCTTCAGTTTTGTCACAGAGGTGGCTTCTCTTCTCAGTCAATCTAACACCATAACTGCATGACTGGACCACTACCTGTTGATTATTTATTTTGACAACATCATTTTATTCTTTCTCAGTAAATATAAGGAATAAATCTCAGGAGTATGGAGACAATGGTAGTGAAAATACAAAATCAACTTTTTTTCTGGTTTCTTATACACACCCTTTCTGTCCGGGACTGCTGTCTTTAACATCTGTCAGACCCATCAGTAACATCTCTCTTTGTTGTTATTGTTTCTATTTCAGTAATCATAAGGTGTAAGGAATTTCTTTGACTTGGTGATTTTTACTATAGGCTGTAACAAAACTTTAAAACTCAACTTTTTTAACGCTGCTTTTTGCATGCATTACGTAGATAAAGCAGTTCAACAAGTATATAACATTTCAAAAGCAAATTGTTAAAAGTTGTTGGTTCTGAACCTAAGGAACCAGGTCACCTCGAAATATGAATGTCAGGTTTACTGGATATCTAAATTTGTTTTTTTTTTGTTTGTTTTTTAACAAGTCATGGATCTGTTTCTGTACTGTACTTACTCAGCCTTTTGATCAGTTCCTTTATCTTTACAAGCTATTTTTTAAATAGAATACCTAGAATACCTACCATTAGTTGTTAACGCTCCCTAGACCCCCTGTTCTAGCCATAGTGTAATCCTACCCCACTAAAACACCTTCAATTTTGTTTGAGTGACTTCTCACTTCGTCCCATCTCTGTGCCATGAAGCAGTCAAGCGGACTCAGAGGCTGAGAAGAAGGAAGAGGTGGATCCAGCTAACCCAGCTGAGGTACTGCACAGCTAAATACAAATCCTGTTTGGAGAAAATACTGGTACATCCAGAGGGGAACCTTTAGTCACCAGGCAAAATGTTGGAAGGAAACCGTTTCGGTTGCTTTCACTGACCAACTAGAAATGAATTGATAATTGATTCACACCAACAAAAGACAAGAATGTTTACCTCAGAGTTTCATTGACCTTAACATTTTTGCCCATTAAATAAACACTGAGGACACAGTTTTGTTGTTGTGAGGGGTGTAAGTCACTCAACAGTCTGAGTTATTTCTTTCTCTTCACAATGCATAAAACATCAGACATTATTCTTTATTAAAAAAATGTCTGTAGGCAGCACGGCCCAATCACTCCACTGTATATTTAAGAAGCCACTCATTGAGGTTTTTTTAATCTTTTTTAAATGTTGGAGTAAAATACCAACATAAGCCTATAAATCAAAACAACCTTGATATAAATCAAACAATACAAATAGACAATTAAATGCAGTTTAAACTCAGTATAGTCAAAGTGATAAAAGTAAGCTGCTCTGACTGGTGACCTGCTTTGTAACCAACCAGATGTTCTGACAAGTACTTAGACACAAGACACTGTCCATTAACATGCATACTATTATTTTTATATCTATTAACTTCCCTGTTTGTCCAGCAGACAACCAAAGACGAAGACGACAAGGATGAAGATGGGATGTGGGAAGAAACATTTAAATCACACACGGATGGAAAACCAAATGGTGAGTGTGTTTGTGTTGTGTAATAGTGTAATGGTGAGTGTGTTTGTGTTGTGTAATTGTGTAATAGTGACACCCAGCTAAATTCGTTATCTACTCAAACTGATTGTTTTCACTCTATAGGTCCATCTGCAATTAGTTTAGACTTCTCATTGCCAGGGGTGGAGCATGTTTATGGCATCCCGGAACATGCAGAAACGCTCCGGCTCAAAACAACTGAGTAAGTGTCACTTCACGTTGTTGATGAAGGTACATACTGTTCATTTGACTGGACTAACTGTCAGTGTGTGTGTGTGTGTGTGTGTGTGTGTGTGTGTGTTGCAGTAATGGAGACCCATATAGACTTTACAACCTGGATGTGTTCCAGTATGAGCTGTTTAACCCCATGGCTCTGTACGGGGCTGTTCCTGTGATGTTGGCTCATAACTCACAGCGCACCACTGGCATCTTCTGGCTCAATGCTGCTGAAACCTGGGTGGACATTAGCTCCAACACAGCAGGAAAGGTATTGTTTCTACACTGCAGATGTCATCGTCACAGAGAGGGGAGCATCAATTCACATGAACTGGGGCTGCAGACCATTAAAGTCTTATGTCTTGTCTTTGTTTTATCTTAATGCAGACGGTGTTCGGAAAAATGCTGGATTACGTTCAGGGTTCAAGTGAAACCCCACAGACAGATGTGCGTTGGATCTCCGAAAGTGGCATCATTGACGTTTTTATTATGCTTGGACCGACACCCAAAGATGTGTTTTCTCAGTATGCCTCTCTGACAGGTGAGAAGATGATTGTTCTTTTGCAAGAATAAGAATTGGTCAAAGCTTTTGGTTGGAAACCAAAAGGGGCAAGTTGTGATTCAGATATTCTAAGCAGTCTAATCACTTGAGCGTTTCCTTAAATTAGGGCTGCATGTGTTGCACTTTACTAAAGTAGAAAGTTTGACTGTGGGCCACTCTTCTATTTCTCTATTGCTATTGTAGGCCTGTGTTATGTTTTTTTTTTTATACAGTTCTACTGCATTAGAGTTCTGTCCTGCATTCCTGGTGTCAATATTACATCACCTCTAGTTCACCTCTAGACTATCATTGTTCATCGGCACCAACTGAAGCAGTGGTGACAATAATTTAGAAACCTACGGCTGCTCTGGTTAATGCCCATTGGAAACCCTGCTACTTGCCAACATGACAGATCAATGTTCTTTTTCTGTTCTTCCTCAGGCACTCAGTCCTTCCCTCCTCTCTCCTCCTTGGCTTACCACCAGTGCCGCTGGAACTACAACGACCAGGAAGATGTAAAGCTTGTAGATGCTGGCTTTGACGAGCATGACATTCCTTATGACTTCATCTGGTTAGATATCGAACACACAGATGGGAAACGTTACTTCACCTGGGATCCGCACAAGTTTGCAACACCTAAAGAAATGCTGCAAGGCATCATGGACAAGAAACGCAAGGTTCACTTGATTAATACCTCAATACCGACTGCCCTATAGACGACATGCATTTATTTCTTATCTTTTTAATTATGAACTTATGTTTTATTAGATGGTGGCCATTGTGGATCCCCATATCAAAGTAGACAGCAACTACAAGATCCATAATGAAATCCGCTCACGCGGTTTCTACATCAAGAATAAAGATGGTGGAGACTATGAAGGCTGGTGCTGGCCTGGTAAGAGACTGACCTCTAACTCTTCTTAAAGAACATTCTCTAAATTAATTTGAAGAAAAGCTAACATTTCTTGCCTCCTCTCTCCTGGAAATATCTTAGGAAGCGCCGGCTATCCAGATTTTACTTGTGCAGACATGAGGTCATGGTGGGCCAGCATGTTCGCCTATGATCAGTATGGGGTTAGTTCAACCAAATCCTTTAATTTTTTCTCTAGGCTGAGGAAGTTTCTAGTAGCCCACATCTCTTGTTTCATTACCAAGTTTGACCTTGAATTTCTGTCCTATTCCCAGGGCTCCATGGAGAATCTGTACACTTGGAATGACATGAATGAGCCTTCAGTCTTTAACGGCCCAGAGGTCACTATGCACAAGGATGCTATGCATGGAGCCTGGGAGCATCGGGATGTTCACAATCTGTATGGGTTCTACGTGGTGAGTGCACTAAACTTTAAAAGAGAATCATCCTGTTAAACTTTTTGAAGTGTTTTTTCTTCTTTCAAGTCAATTGCATTGTAATTCTGTATACATTTGTGATACTCCACTGATTGTCATTGCTTAACAATGCAGCAAATGGCCACAGCAGAAGGTCTGATCCAGAGGTCTGGAGGGGTTGAAAGACCATTTGTTCTGACTAGGGCTTTCTTTGCAGGGTCGCAGCGTTATGGTAAGTCCTTCTCTACTTTAATTACCTATTTAACAAATGGAGCTAGTGGATTCAAATCCTTATCAGTCTTGTGCGTGAAATCCTTTTGTGTGTAGGAGCTGTTTGGACTGGAGATAATGCAGCTGAGTGGGACCATCTGAAGATCTCTATCCCGATGTGTCTCAGTCTGGGCCTGGTTGGAATCTCTTTCTGTGGTGGTGAGCATTATTATTATTATAGCTCAGATTTAGTTTAGAAAATAATCTCCACCTCAGTGTTACATTTTGCACTTCATAAATTCTTCACAAACTTAAAAAAAACGTCTATTATTGGAAAAAAAAATATAAAAGGTAACTGATGTCACAGATGAGTATTTTCAAGCACGTTATCTGCCATGTCATCCTGTTATACATCCATGTAATGAAATAAAATGGTATTGTTGAACATTAATTACCAACAGACTTCTGAACAAACAGGATTTGACATTTTTGGATTTGGAAACAATTTTTAATTTTCTGTCCACGTATTTGGTACTTTTGTTTAATCAATGTAACAGTGATTTGAGAATGTATTTGGTGACCCATCCATACCCATTTAAAGTTAACATTAACAAGTTTAACATTAACTAGTCGTAACATAGAATAAAGTTTCCTTCTCTGAAACACTTGACCATGAGCCCTGTGTTTCCACAGCTGATGTTGGCGGGTTCTTCAAGTCGCCCAGCAGCGAGCTGCTCGTGCGTTGGTACCAGACCGGAGCCTATCAGCCTTTCTTCCGAGCACACGCCCACCTGGACACACCTCGCCGTGAGCCCTGGCTGTTTGGTCCTGAAAACACTGCGCTGATTCGTGAAGCGGTGCGCCAGCGCTACACCCTCCTCCCCTACTGGTACCTGCAGTTCTATCAGGCTCACTGCACTGGACAGCCTGTCATGAGGTACAGGGAGAGAAAAGACGAAACATGTTGTTATATTTTTGTGCCAGAAGCTGTAGTTGTTGCAGTTCCCCTTATTGGTCTGTAGATGTCATGAATGTTCTTGACTCACCTGTGTCAATGTTGCAGACCTCTGTGGGTGGAGTATCCTCAGGACCCTGCTACTTTTGCCATTGATGACGAGTTTCTCATTGGTAAGGCAGAAATAAAAGTTGCCTTTATTGACCACAATAATTATAGAACCTCAGCAGAGCAATACATAAATATAACTATTTTGTTTTTTATTTGGATACAATAGTTATAATGTAAATCAAACTGAGGAATTTAAAAACAGACGAGTCTAATAATTAAACATTTTTTCTGCGATATTGTAATAAAATCAGACATGGTTTGAATGATAAACCAGCAAATTAGACCAAGAAATGAAAGTGCCTAACTTAAACCTCCTTTACTTGTTTCTCCTCCTGAACTACAGGCACAGACTTGTTGGTTCACCCAGTGACAGAGGAGGGAGCCAGAGGAGTCACTGCCTACCTCCCTGGTAAAAATGAGGTAAGAGTAGAGAACCCATGTCACTGCATCTCAAATGTACCCCAAACAGTCAGGTGCAGCAGTGTTTTCCAGTACCCGTTATTAACAAATGTATTTAGTTGGTCAAATCATGCCTTGCCCTTTTTCCCCGTGTCTCAGGTTTGGTTTGACGTCAACACCTTCCAGAAGCACAATGGGGCTCAGAACCTTTACATTCCAGTCACCATGAGTTCTGTATGTTTCACATACACATATACATGAGATTTGTTTTGCTCTATTATATGTATAAGAAAACAAATTTTTTATCAAATGTCTCCTTTTGTCCATTTTCAGATCCCTGTTTTCCAGCGAGGAGGTTCAATTATTCCCAGGAAGCTTCGCGTCCGCAGGTCGTCCACCTGCATGGAACATGATCCCTACACTCTTTTTGTGGCTCTGAACCCCCAGGTAGATCAACTGTTTAACCGCTCACTGAAATCTTCAACTCTGGTGTCATGCTGCCTGGTCTCCTTCTTTAAATGTGATATCTTGTTTACGAAAAGTATATAAAGTTGTTGCAGGCCTTATTTGGTCATCTGTCGTGTGTACTGTTAGATGTCAAGTCAATAGGTATTGATTTAACCATCAACTAGTGGACTGCTTCTAATAATAATGTTAGAAATATATATATATATTAAAAACAGACATGGTTTGAAAAAATTTTGGCTACGCTAGCAGTTTTATGGTCATTAACAGCTTTCTGACTGAATAAGTAACTTGTGTAAAATTAAAAAAAGGTGTTTATATTTGTGTTAATTCTGTAACAACCATGTATTTAATTGTCTTTGATCCCAAAGAGAACTGCAGAGGGTGAGCTGTACATTGATGACGGTCACACATTCAACTATGAAAAGAAGGAGTTCATCCACAGGAAGCTGTTCTTCGCCAACAACATTCTCTCCTCAATGTGAGTCGTGTAGCATGGAGTAAAATCACTGAGTAAAGCAAATGAATGAAAGAAAGATAAGATAAATTCCAAAGTAATAATACATATTTAACTAAACTATACAAACACGTGCATATTTAAAGTATTTAATTAAAATCCATTTGAAATTGTATTACAGTAATCTGGCTCCAGACGCCAAGTTTTCTACCCAATCTTGGATCGAACGTGTTATAATCCTGGGAGCCAGTAAACCCAGTAAAGTTACTCTTCAGACTGCTGGTAAGTGCTGGAAGTACAATAACTTCTTATTATTCTAAGACATTTTATAAGGTTGTATAAACTTATTTGATAAAAGAAGGCTTAAAAATTAAAAAAGACAAAACAAAAAAAACCATAAACCCGTAAACATGGTTTTGTTGATGAAATGTAAATTCATGATGGGAGTTTTTGAGGGAGAGATGTTGTCATGATGGAGATAAAACCACTGTACCACTGTATCCACTGTACAGACATTGTATTCAAAACTCTTTATTTAAAATGTAAAAACCTTTAGAACTTACAAGAAGGAGATTTCAGGCATTTGTTCAAATTTCTGTCCAGATTGCAATAATCTGAACAGCCACACAATCAGAGCTACCAGGATTTGAACTATTTTATTGTGAATTGTAAAAAAGAAAATTAAAAATTGAATTATTTGAAACTAAAATAATAATAAAATAAAAATTTAAAAAAATTAAAATAAAATTTAGAACAACCTTTTCCATTGTAGCTTGCTTTCCACAGGATATAATCAATAAATGAGGAAGTTGAGAGTTTGCATTTTCCAATGATTGTCAAGCTGCTGCCCTTTTCTTTCTCATATTGTCTGTTTGTGTTTGCAGATGGTCAGGAGAGCCAACTTGAGTTTGAGTTTGATTCCTCCATGTCTGTGTTGACGCTCCGCAAGCCTGGCATGAACGCAGGAGAAGACTGGAAAGTGATGTTACAGTAATCAGATGAAGAGGAGAGCGGGGGAACATGACTGAAGTGAACAGAGGAGGAGCAGGAGCAGGAGGAGCGATCAGAGGAGGGCACTGATATTCAACTAACAAACAAAAGATAGCAGGGTTGTCGCCATGGGAAACTAAGAACAAACACAGTACAGTGAATCCACGGTTTAAATTCTCTCTCCACAAACACAGACACACAACCACACCCATTTATACCTGGTAGTTTTACTGAGCCACATTATCTTTATCATGTCACCATTTAATTCTGGTCAGTCGCACTTGAATACCTAACAGAAAGGGTTACCACTAGATGGATATTTTGCCTGTGATATTTTTTTTTTTTTTTTAGAATGATAACAACTGAGCAACGCAAACTTTTTTTTCTTGTTATTAATCATAAAATTCCAGTTTAAAAAAGGAAAATCTCTGGCACTCTGACTCTCGGTGTATTGTATCTATCCAGTTGTCTTCAGAAGGAACATTACTTGGGTTGGACTGCCATTTAAAATGAAGGGTCATGCTCACACGCTCCACCTGCTGGTGTTGCCAAATAATTATACACTTTTGAAACAGCCATTCCATATACCTTATGTTTTTGTTTTTAAAGCTAAGCACTTCAACAAGGCCATTTAGCCTCGACCATCTTTACTTCTAACTTCTGATTCCAGGGAGGCTATTATTATAGCCAACTTGCTTTACAGTCAATTCCTAACTTTTAATTCTTGATTTGTCTCCCACTGATATTGAAAACTTCCTGTACATGGAATTAAGTCATTATCCTCATTGGAGCAGTTAACTGGTTATCAAACTGCACTAATTTTTTTTGTTTGTTTGTTTGTTTCTAAAACAGTCTTGTTAGTTGGAATTACTTCAGGGACCTGAAGCACTGACATCGCTGTGGATTATTCTGTTTAGTTTCTGTCTTTGTTCCATTGAGTTCTTTTGTTGTTTACTAGATTATTTCTAATGCACTTAAGAGAGAGGGTGAAAAAAATGTTTAGATATTTCATGTGTTAATTGGTGTTAGGCACTGGACATCGTTTCCAATCCTTTTTCATCTTAGATTAAGTTTTTAATTGTTTATTATTAGAAGCTATTAATTAAAGGCCCCTGAATTTTGTCCAATCGAATAATTTCACACTTTCAAATGTTTGCTGATTTAAAAGTTGCTGCAGTTTTGTTAGTGATGATGAGATTCAATGGAAATGGAAGGAAAGGAGAACTGCTGTCAGTCAAAGTTGTACTTTAAGATGAGACCAAGTGAAAAAAATAAATTTGACCAAATGTGAATTACAATTTTGACTGGATTGTTGTCTTCTCAAATCTCAATATTTTCGCATTCATATTTAAGACAATTTATGCATGTTTAGCTGTCCACGATGCATGTGTTTGATCTCTGGTCTGTTTAAAATCAGGTAGATTGTGAAGTAATAGAAAAGGCCAACTGCGGGATGTTCAAAACACAGGCTCTGTACAGCAAAGCAGGGATAACCCCTTGGCAAAAAAAAAAAGGCAAGGTGTGTCTTAGTGATTAATCTTGACATGGAGGGAACATACTTTGTTTTACTTGATTCATTTTCATCGCAATCGTGGAACAAAACGTTTAGGAATCCATGAAACGCCGTTTCTGAAATGAATGGTCCTGTCGCACATGAATGACGTAAGCACTTCGGTCCATCATGTCGGCGGAAGGCAGTGAGCAGCTCAGTGGTCACGGAGAGTTTCAAGAATCTTCAGGTTCGTGTGGAAAACCTAAATTAGTTATACATGCGCGTGTAGTGTTACGGTTATCTATGTGTTTCGGTGTCATACACTGTAATCGTATTAAATTTAAACCACAGGCTACATCGACTTAAAGACAAAATGGAAAGCTAATGTGAGGCTAATGTGGTTTTCAGCTAAATAGATTTTTATCTACAAGCTCACTGTAAACCACCAAAAAACAAAATCGAGCCCAACCAAGCAGTTTTCCATGTCCTTTCAATAACTAAATTAAGCCAATTGATCATTGTTTGGAGTTTTGTTACTGTTTGTTTCCCAAACCTGGAGGACATGCTGACTTTTTCAAAACAGTAAACATACCACAATCTCACGTGTTTGCAGTTTATAGAGGCATATTTTAAATGTTGAAATGTCAAAATGTGATAAGGTTATTTAAAGACAATGATGTCTAACAATTATGTAAAACATTTTTACATACAATTTGCTTTGCCATTTACAGTATATTAGATGGTAGTAGCACCGTGAGCTAGAACTGTTCAGTAATGATAAAGAAACTTCCATCTTCTTCTTAGATATGGAGGCCTCTGATGTTCCTGCACCGCCTCCAGTTGAAATGACTGAGATGTCAGTAGAGAACGGCAGTACTGCTGTTGACCCTGAGGCTCCTGTGGGCCCCAGCCTTCGTTCTGTCTCTGAACCTCAAGCTGCAGAAGGTGAGGAGAGTGGGAAACCTGAGTTTCATCGGCTGTGGAAAGCAGTCACTGACAATCCTTTTGACTTCACCAGCTGGACGGAGCTGCTACAATACTGCGAGCAAGAGGTTTGTCCAGAAGCACCAGACCTCTAGAGTATTTAACCACTAGCATCGCCAGATGTTGAATCCACTTTTTTTAGCCTGATGGGACTTTTTAAAAAAACTTGCTTTCCACCTGTTTAGAATCACGTCACAGCATCGCGTCAAGCACTGGAGGCATTTCTGGCTCGCTACCCACTCTGCTATGGTTACTGGAAGAAATTTGCAGATCTGGAGCGACGTGCAGGTTTTAACAGCAGAGCAGAGGAGGTACTGTGAATAAAGAGCTAGATTTTACCATTACAATTCACCATGTGGTAAATTAAATTATTTTTGTGAGTTTGTGGTGATAAAAGTCTTGTGCTGTTGTCAGGTATGTGTCCAGGGTCTTCGGGCCATTCCTTTGAGTGTGGATCTCTGGATCCATTACATCAATCTTCTGTTGGGAACTCTGGACATGAACCTGCCAGAGTCGGCGCATCGTATTCGCAGGTACTTAATATTGTTTTTTTTTTGTTTGTTTGTTTTTAATTTAAAAAAAATACACTTCTTTAATGTATGTCTATATAACATTGTTTATGGATTAGTTTAGCTATGTCTATATAACATTGTTTATGGATTTAGTTTCTTTGTTTTGTAATAGTTCACAGAAAATCAAAAATCTATGTACACCATTGGACATAAGCAGTTAACTACATGCTGCCATGTCTACAGTGACCTCAGTAGAGTTGTTAATAAATCTGTAATAACTCACATTAACACATCAATGTGTTGATATGAAGCCTTATTCAGCAGTTGTTGATTTAGTGTCTAACACCACAGTGAGTTTTCTCAGACTGTTCATAAGAATGGGACGGAAGTATCACCAATGCAGGTTATGGTTTGATGGTAAAGCCTGGCTTTGGTGAACGAAACGAAATCACGCAATTACTGACCGTCAGCGAGGTCATGTCATGGTCATGGTTACTATTAGAAAATCTGTCAATCAAACATCATGTCTACTCTAATTCCACCTTTTCTGTTTGATTTACAATGATAACTTTCTCTTTTTCTCAAAGGCAGATTGTATACGACCCAATTAACATCTCCTTGTATAGAACAAGACATGAAACTAGTGATTGAGATGCGAGCTAAAGGATAGCTCTGTCCAGTTCTTATGTGCAGTTTATGCTCAGAATGGTGTACAAAATAAAAAGTCATTTTGATGTTTTAATCGTTTCCTGATCTCATTGCCCAGTGTGTTTGAGGACGCCCTTGCGGGAGCAGGTTTGGACTTCCACTCGGACCGCCTCTGGGATTTGTATGTAGAATGGGAAAAGGAGCATGGAAACATGAGGAAGGCTGCAGCCATCTTAGACAGAGTCCTCAGAGTTCCCACTCAGCTCTACAACACACACTATGACAAGTAATGGCCACTCACATGCACCTTCTGGCTTTGTCAGTCTTTTGGTTTAGCTTCATTCTCTCTCTTGTCCCATGCTCCGTCAGGTTTAAGGAGCATCTGAACAGCCACGAGCCCAAGGCGGTGCTCTCTCCAGAAGAGTACCAAGAGCTGAGGACTCTGTGTCGTCAGAGTCAGAAGGTAGAACAGGCTGAGCAAACTCAGGAGGATAAGGCGGAGCGGCCACCAGGAGAGGAGGAGCCGGCCACACCTGAGGACACAGACACAGTGAGTAGCATCTAACCAGTTTAGTCAGTTTTTACAGAAGCGGTGAAGCCTTATTCAAATACTGGTACCATTATTTAAAATTGTGCTGATCAAGTGACCTAATGCTGCTCTAGACATTTTCTGTTCAGCTGGCTGTAAAAACTGTTAAAACAGTTTTAAAATTTAATTTTATATTATCATAAGTTTTATTAATATTGTCTGACTGACACTTTGTTTAAGAAGAAAAATGTAATTCCTTTTGGACTAAAACAGTTGAGTACACAGATGAAAATACTCTAACTGGTACTGGCTTGTAAAAATGGTGTTTGGAACGGAAACATGACAGGTGGGCGCGACAAACGGGAGGAAAATTTCTAGGTTTAAGTGATGGCACAGCTGAACTTTCGTCTTCTGTTTTTGAACTTGTGTTGTTTGATGTCATTGATTTTGATTCATTATAAAATATGACATCACCTGGTGTTAGTTCAGTAAATTTCAAAAGTCATTTTTTAATATTTGTATTGTATTTGTCAACAGTATTAACAATTATTATTAATAATATTATTGTTATTTCACTATGTTGAAGGAAGAACTGATGCAAAAGATACGGGAAGAAGTGCTGCTCCATAGAGACAAGATTTACCAGTATAACGAAGACGAAGTACGCAAGAGATGGCAATACGAAGAATCGGTGAGTTTTTTAAAAATATGTTTAAAATATAACAATGATTTGTTTTTTCTCCTTTTGTTTTTGATGCACCTACTAGATGCACCCCCCCAAAAAAACCTGCTTTGCCTTCTTTCTTCATCGAGCAGATCAAGCGGCCGTACTTCCACGTCAAGTCTCTTGACCGTATTCAACTCAGAGCCTGGCATTCTTACCTGGACTGGGAGATCGCTCAACTAAACCAAGACACAAAAAACTCCAGCCAGGGTGAGTATATCAAAAATAGCATCTCATTTGTGGCTGTTTAGCATTTGAACTTCTGAGACCACTGTCTCCACACACAGTGGATCCAAACGCAGCGTCCACACAGGGGTCAGAGGCCACAGCTCAGTCTCCTGAAGTGTCAGAGGAGACTGCAGTTCCTAAAGACGACCACAGGGTTCGTGTTCTCTTTGAGCGTTGTCTGATTGCCTGTGCTCTGTATGAGGAGTTCTGGACAAGGGTAAGTGAACATGTGTGTGTTCTTTAAAAAACTCTTTTCAACACTGAGCCAGTGCATACATTTTTTTCATGTTTGTCTGTGTGGCACAGTATATTCAGTATGTTGAGCCACAGAGTGTGGACGAGGCTCGAGCTCTTTACAGACGGGCCTGTGAGATCCACCTGCCGCACAAACCAAATATCCACATGCATTGGGCCACCTTCGAGGAGAGGCATGGTACGAAGGAGCAGAACACCTTTGTTTATTTATTAAAAATATTTCCAGATTCATTCTCTTAGAGTAAACTTTACTAACATGTATGGAGTGTATAAATATTTTTTCTCAAAGTGACATTTATCCAGCTAATACTCAGCCTCTGTCTGTCAGGTGATTCAACTGAGGCTCGGCGTGTGCTGCAGGTCTTAGAGAAAAATGTGCCTGGGTTAGCAGTGGTCCGTCTTCGCCGGGCTGCCCTGGAGAGGCGAGCAGGCGACATAAACCAATCAGAGGCCCTGTTACAGGAGGCAGTGGCTGAATCAAAAGAAAAGCCCACAATGCACGCCTTCTACTCCATTAAACTGGCCCGCCTGCTGCAAAAACTGGGCAGGGACCTCAGCAAGGCCCGCAAAGTTTTACAGGAGGCGCTGGAGATCAGTCCGGTGAGAGAACCTTCAAGGGCCCTTTTCAGCACCAAAAATACAATTTGGCCAGTAATACCATCATCAAGTTTTTATATTTCTTCTATTGCCCCTTTCTCAAAAAGATTCAAATAATGTGAAAGTAGTTTTGCTGAACTGTGAATAAAATTTATTTACTCTTTTATTTTTTTGACACCAAACTTTCAGATGGACCATCAGCTACACTCTGAGTCCCTTCAGTTTCTTATTAAATGAAAATGCCTGTGGTAATCACCTTATTTGCTGCATACACAATGTTTTGCACACCATAAATTACATCTTATATTTTTGTAAATATTGTTGTTATTGTGTCTAAAAAGAAGAGAAATCTTTAACCTGTTGTGGCTAGTTTTTCATGGCCTTTCTGCCCCTCAGGACAATGATAAACTCCATCTGAACCTGTTGGAGTTGGAGGTGTCAGGAGATCCCTGGGCCTCAGCTGAGGCGGTGCAGGAGTGTGTGACACGAGGGCTGGCAGCTCCTCTGAACCCACACTCCAAGATCCTCCTGTCACAGAGAGGCCTGCAGTTTGCAGAGGACTACGGTAACTCTATCCAAAGGTCAGAGTCCAAAGGCAGTAATTAAGCCTGCATAAAACTTCAATCGTATTGAAATGTGGCCTGAAGGAGACTGTTTATTTTGGTTGACACTGATGTTTTTTCTTTTGCTTTGTCCTCTTCAGTGTGCTGTCTATGTATGAGGGCCATCAGAAACTGCTGCAGGAGTTTGGTGGAACTAAGAGAGAAGCAGAAAATGGGTGAGATTTGAAGACAGACAAAAAGCTGTGTTTCCTCTCCCTGTTAATTGAAATAAGAACCTTTGGTCCATTGAATATCAGTTTGTTAAGGGCACCAACTCTGAAACTTTCCAAGGCAGCATTTTATAAAGCAGTATTTTGTCTCGTGCTGAAAATAGTTGTCGGGAGTGTAATACACCCCCTCCCAGACACTGATTTTTGTTTTGTGCCCACTATATGTAGATGGAATGTATAAGTACCTTAAGTACTATTGCAACTCTGTCTAATCCTTTGTCTAATTGTTATTTGGTCTTAATCCCAATTTTAACTCTAAATAAATAAATAAATCCTAAAGTCAAAAGACTTTTACTCAGTGGAGACCTGCAAAATGTGCCACAAAGACAACAATATTGTTCTAAATTAAATGTCCATACAGGTATAGCTACACTAAGGGGCAGCAGCAGTTATACACCTGGCATTTTCAAGAAATAATTTTGTTTGACTGCATTATTTTATAAACGTTTCTTCTCTGTGTTTTGTGCCTTGACCGTCATCCACTATTGTATTTTCAGGGACGAGGATCCAGAGAAACTAAGTAAAAGCGAGGACGCCTCTGCTGCCGATGTCTCCGCACAGGAAGCAACCACCATGCCACATGTTCCCATCACCACCCCCCCTCCTCCTGTGATGGGCACAGACATGAGCGCTGGTTATGGAGCATACAACAACTGGTACCAGGTGAGAACCGTTGATGTAAAACTGTTGGGTTTTTAGATATATATTTGTAAGTGGGGGCTTGAGGGTTAAGGTCAGTGTCAAATGTCAAAGTATAGGTCTCCTGATTTACTCTGTTACTTTGTCGACTCATTCTCAGCAATCCCAGTATGGCAGCTATGGTTACCCGAACACCTGGAACTACACCCAGGGCTACTACCCTTCAAGCTAAAGGGAGGGATAGATGGGCACACCAGCAGCTACAGGCAGACACTAAACCACATTGTCTGTCCTTCCTCAAAGTCCTGGTTAAACCGCTTGAGACCGGACATAAATGTGTTTAGTCAGAGCAACCTGTGGCAACGCCACAGAGTTATTTTCAATGTCTGGATTTTAATGAAAACTATTTTTGTATTTGCTTGCAATGTGATCGGATTTACTTGTTTTAAAATTATTCAGATAACACATAACTTAACAGATGCTTTACTACTTTGACATTTTATGCACCCATCATACACAAACAGCAATTGTTCTTCGTTCCTGTGTATATAAAGTTGTTTTATAGTGTAAGAACTGTCCTTTGAGTTTTTGCCTTTTAGTGATCAGGTTGGAATATTCAGCTTGTTTCACATAAAAGTAAGTTTATTACAGCCAGCAGAAGATTTAAGATGGTTAACAAAAACAACAGCTGGGTAACCGAATACTCTTGGGTTGATGCAGTGGTACCATCTCACTGGTGTGAAGGAACCATATTGACCTTCTGTTTTATTGTTTTTAAATGGCTTTTTCATTGAAGGAAACAGTTGGCATTAAGACTACATCATAAATTGTTTTCACCGTCTGCATCAATCTGCAATTGAACTCGGCAGTATCCTGGTCTGACAGAAGGTAGCGCTAAAAACCTTGCTGTACACAACGTGCATAGCATCACCAAAGGCATTGAAATCAGGCGGTGATCAAGATGGAGTAATCACCTGTCATTGATCATTTTGACTCTTAATGATATATAAAAAAAAAAAACCTTTTTCCTGTCTGTATTCACTCAGTTGTTTTATAAGTGCTGCCTGTTCTAAAAGCTCTCGTGTTTAAAGTCAGGTAAATAAAAATCTAGTCCTTTTTCAAACTCTCCAAGTCAGGTTTATTTGAAGTATATTCTTGGCAATTATATATAGACATAACTGTTCCATATTTTAAATTATAAAAAAAACTGTCAAGAATGTTGCACAATCAGGAAGATGCATCAGAATCAATTCAAGCCCTCCCAAAGATCTTTGTTACTTTGCAGGAATGGGCCAAAAAGGGAACTTTTTTATTGGTTTTTGTAAAAAAAATGTCCTCACTTTGTTCCAAATGGTCATCACTGTCCACACCAGGCCACACTTAGAGAAACTTAGTGACAAAGGGATGCCTTTAGCATTTTTTTTTCTTATCATACACAGCTCAGAGTACTGGCTTACTGATTTCAAAAATATGTCAGTTTCTGTTCTTTTCCCTGGTGTTTCTGGTGATGTAGTGGAAGTCGTGAGGTAGGCTCAGGGAGCAGATCCTCTGGATTTCACTTCTTGGCTACAAACAGCACAGCTGAAGGCACCAAATCTAAAGAGACCAAACATAAAAATACAGATATTTGATAAAATACATTTATGAAGAGGTAGCTTTTCAAATGGTCGGGATAAGTCTCTAATCCTTTTATGGTTGTAAAATCAGGATAATGAACCAGAATGTTAATGATCAATGCTTTTTAGTGCAGTACATGGTTTAGCCTAGCCTACCCCTCCCCTGAACCTTGAATGCGGGGTCACTGTAATGTAAAATGTATGTAGTGTGGTTCTTACTCAGCTCTTTCAGAGGCTTCTCCATGTCCAGTTCTGTGTAGACTTGACGGGGGTAAGGTGACAGCAGCATGAAATCCTGTCCCTCTGGTGTGTTGCCGTTCATCTGCACATAAACACGAACCGCTGCCAGAGGCTCCTGGGCCTTAAAGGATGTTGTGATGGTCGAGCCATCAAGCAGACGAATCTTTTCAGAGAGAAAAGCAGCAGAAAAAAGGCATATGGTGAGCATTTTATTTTGAAGGTTTTTCTGTTAATATCATTTGACGGAAAACCTTCAAATTTCTGGTACAAGTACTGTATTGCCAATATACCTGTATCTTAGACTCTTCATACTCCTTCTTAGAGGGTGGAGGACCCTGACTGGTTGGAGAAGTCGGGGTGGGCTGTGCAGGCCCTGGCACTGCTGGAGCTCCACCTCCAAACTAGACAAAAACAGTCATTACTATTCGACCAATGTCAGTATAATGCAAATTTAATAAGAAAGGACCAAACATAACAGCTTTACCTTTTGTGCTCTCTCCTCTCTGTCTCGTGCAATTTTGTCTTTAACCCTTTGCCTAATAAATAATGAAATACACTTTTAATATGTGCTTTAAAACAAGGCCTTGTTTTGTTTACATTTGACCATTCTTTATCAATGTACCTCTTACAATAAAATAATTTTAAAAAACTTCTACTTTTATTCTAGGGCCAAGTTTAGTTCCTGCCTGGTTCCAAAACTCACAGCCACATTTGTGATTTTTGCCTATTTAAAATATTCTTTTTCTTTTAAGTATGTGGAACTTCTTGTCTGCTACATCGTAGAAACTGCTTCAGTTTGTATTAGTTCATCTCTTCTCAAAAATACTTCACCTTGCTAATTTATCCTCCATTTTCTCCTTTCTACGCTGATCAGCGAGCTTCTTCATCTCATCGTCCTGCAGTTTTTGTCGAACCTGCTGCAGTTCTTGGCCATGCTTCCTTCTCTGCTTTTCACGATCCACCTCCTCTGCCCGTTCCCGCTCTCTCCTCTCTGCCTGCTTCGATCGCATCAGCTCTTCTAGCCTGAGAAAGGAACGGAACAAAACTCAAAATAATACTCCAATAGCGCTTCATCTGACTATCTTGTTTTACTAAACCACGCCGACCTTTTGACTTGTTCACGTTTCTCCTCCTCTGTCATTTGCATCTTTTCACCATCACTGTTCTCTGTAAAACTGCCGTCTCCAGCTATTTTCAGTAAAGAATAGAGAAAAAAAATACATTAAACAGAAAACATAAATCTTACAGCCATTGCACATATATATACAAATATATGTGTATATATATATTGCATGCACATTGACCTTCAGTGGTGTCGACTAATGATGATGGTTCTGTGCTGGACTGATTTGTTGTTTCCTCTCCCAAGATGTTTCCCACAGGCTGAACATAGGGCTCGTCAATGTCAGGATCATCTTCATGCTCCATTAACCTGAGGGAACGATGTCAGGTGTTATCATTCTAACCATTTGTATTATTCGGTTTTACTGTAGCTGTGGAATAACATAGGAAAAAGAAGAAGACTGTAGATGTGGAATAACAAACCCCAGTTTGTTTTTCCATTGCCAGACTCACCAGTCCATGGCTCGCTCTATCCCCTGATTGCCTGTGTTGGCCACTGCCCTCTCCCTAAAACATGAACAAATCAGCACAAACTGAGTTATTGTGCTGTTGCACAGTTTAGCCCAAGACCAAGTCGTATTTTTGAAAATACTCACACTCTGTTTCTGCCAAAGCCCATCTCTAGCAGGCTCTCAAGTGTCGTTAACTCTGCCATTTTTACCTGGAACGAGTTGTAAGCATGGCACTGAATAAATAAGAGACTTGATGTTTTCATTTTTGGGTACGTTTCACCACAGTCGTAATGTTAACGTCGAGTCATAGAAACATTTTCACCCAATTTAGATATATTACACTAGCATTTCAAGTAAACACAGCACCTCTGACCTCTGTGGTTCTTTCTAAAACAGCGAATCCATGTTGAAGCTATTTATTGTCACATCTAACGTTAAGGCTAAAATTAGCATTAATGTGGCTAACGTTCAAACTGCAGTAGCGAAGCTAACTGGCAAACATGAAATTAAAATGACCGGAAATAATTTAGAGGTCTCTATCTGTGTATCTACCATTATCTGTTTATATATCAGACATTTCCGATGTCAGAAGTATGATTTTATTGTTTACATAAGTAATATCGCTTCACATACAGTTGAAAACAAGCACTCACACATTCGCTAGCACCGCCTCAGCACTACGGTAGCTCACAAGGAACAAGAATGCCAGAGTAAAATCATATGAACCTTTGAACCTTTGAATTTTTTCAACCAGAACCTAGTGCGGTAATTAACGAGCACGACTGCAGACAGCTAAAACCAACAATTTTGACCTAGCAGGCCATAATTTTATATTTTTATTTCAGATCTGGTGATCCAAGAATTTGATGCAATCCCACACATGTACAGATACCGGCTTTTGTACCATTTATTAACAAGTACAGTAGAGGTTTTCAACAGGAGGTTAGCCGCCCCTAACTTTTGCTAATTTCTGACGTATACTATTTTTGTGCATATAAATGTTTACACAGTTTGTTATGTAAAGTACAATATTGATTCAAAATATTTTGTGACTAAAACTTTTAATCCACCCTATGTTTACTTTGCATTCACTGACATCACTCCATATGTTTCTGGATTCTTTGTTCTAAAACCAATTTGCCTCATAACCCAGAACAAACTGAACACACTGTACAGAGACATCCTTTCTTAGCAAAATTTAATTTAGCTGTTATTGATGTGCAAATGTTCAGGTTTCATCTCTGTTCTGACAAACTGCTACAAATACCACACTGCTTTGATAATTGTACATACAATAAGTTTATAACAAAGTCTTAATTGGAATTGTCACACATTGTATTGCATACAGGTGACACCTCAACAAGAAAATCTTTCCCTGGGAGTGTTGACAAGAAGTGAACAGAGAATGGTATGAAATAGGAAATTAAATGGGAGGAATTACCTCCTGGCATAAAAAGTATGATTTAATGAATTTAGTATCATTGAGTTGACTTGTAAGTTGTGTTGATTTTACTTAAAACATCTTAAACAAGTTGAACAGGTTAGTTGTTGTTTCCTAACAAATTATAATTATTCATCCCTTTTTCCACATTTAAATTTGTGATCTTTTTATTATACGTAAGTGCCCTACATGGCGGTCATATAAGTAGCAGATAAAACTGGGCGACAGATGTGATGCTCACAAGTGCTTTTTGAATAGTTTCAGGGCTGCACGGTGTCTTTACTTGTTTGTTCTCGAGCTTCCATGACTAAATCACATCATCGTGTTCAAACAGACTGCAATTTGCTGATTTTTATGGCTTCTGTTACATATTCACAGTAAGTGTAATGATTGATTTTTTCTCTGCCCCCACACAGTCTTAAACAGACATCTTTCACTGGTCCACCTTCACTCAGAGACAACAATCAATTCTGTCTGGTCACCTGAGCTTAACATTGTCTCTCTTTTGCACATCAAGACTTTTATCTCACCTTGTATTTTTTCTACTTTTCTCCCTCTTTTGTCACAGAACTAAATGTATGGAGTGTGCTGTATTGACATGGTAAGTATATGCTTTGATTTAAAATTTGCAAGTGAACTAAAATTATAAATGTATTCAGACTGTTTGAACTGTTTGTCCTTGTTCAATATTTGATACTGATTTATAAAACACTGTGTGGCATTTAAACAAATGTAATTTTTGTACTTGTGTGTTAATATGTGTTTGTTACTGTTTGTACATTTAATATTGGTTATTAATATTGTTTAATTAATACAGGTTAATGCTGTTTAAATAATACTGTTGCATTTGTTATTTTTTTCCAAAGATTTATAATTTGTCAACGAAGAAGGGAAAACAAGGACAATTTAATTACCCTACACAAGATTTTTGTTATATATTTGGTTGAAGATTCATGACAAATACTTGTTCTTGATGTTTGTATTTTTGCACTATTTTTGATTTACCTTTTTGAAGTGTAGTATCTATTAAAATTTCAGTGCAGTATTTTTTTTCAGGGAAAAATACATTCACAATAAATCTGTGTAAAGCATTGGATAAAGTGATTAAAGAACACCAAAAGGGCAAAGATCTTTCTACTCTAACCTGTAACTACTTTATTGCTTTGTTTTTACAGAGAGGGAGAGGTGTAAGGGTGAAAGTTCAGCCAGGATAAGTGAAGGGAGTACGTGAGACATTCTCTTTTACTGCTTTTCTCCTTTAGCCCTATCAATGCCCATGTGTAAAAGATTAATTTTAGTGGACTTAAGAATGGTATTAATTTATTCCAACACTCCTTTACACCTATCTCACCTCTGAGGGCATGACCCCGAATTTATGGGAGTCATAAGTGTTACTCAAAAGCAGTTAAAGATTAGGATCAAGAAGACCAAGGCCGTAATGGATCATCTGTTACTTTACTATGACTTTATTGGGTGTAAAATGTTTGGCCACATGATGGCTTTAATGTTAAATCTGACATATAATGTTTTGACTAGAAAAGATTAGACTCTTCCATTAAATACTCAATATCACAAATTAATTTGTGATACATATTTAAATAATTGAATAATTTTAACAAAACATGTATGCATTTGAACATTCTTCCAAAAAAAGACTCATGTTTAGAACATTTTATGAAGAAGAAAAAAACGATACGGAAATTGTGATACCTTTATTAGGTTGTGTGATGGTGGTGATTGCTGATTACCGTCTGATTTAAAACAAATGCACAATAAGAAATCACCACGAGTGGCCAAAAGATGGCAGTATTATTACCAAAGTACGTTATCAATGGTGTATTGGTGAAGTGTTATGTAATTTTGGTGATTGGGCAATTGTTGTTTTATTGCAGTGTAATAACAAGTCGATGGCTGTAGCCACAATGAAGATAAATATTACTGCATTACTCTAGTCTTTATATTGTGTTACAGGTGATAAGTAAACATGGCATGTTTTATATATAATTTTTTTTAGTTGTTTCAAGTAGTAAAAATACTGTCAGCTGTGTTGTTTCTATGGGTCTAACCAGCTGTAACAGCATCTCCATATGGAAAAACTCTGACTTCCAGTGGAGCTGCTGTTATTTCTGGGGAGCACCTTTTACCCTCAATATGCTGCTAAGCCTCCAATACACCATCTGACATTCAAATGGTAAAAGGACATATGTATTTGTAAAGGTTTTTTTAAACCCCTTTTACATTTCTTTTAAAGTACATTTCAGTTTATAGTTTTTGAGTTTATTCCTCATTTTGATGATATAATAAAGCTAATATTTAAACCTTCAACAACTTTGGTCTCTTATTTGTACATTGTTATATTATACTATTACTATTTAAAGCTCACAAAAGAACCTGAAAGTATGACTGGTACAAAAATCACCTAATCCCATCCAAGAAATACCAGTCAGTGTAAGTGTGAAAGTTAAATACAAAACTGAAAATAAAAGTAAGAACCATTATGACTATATTAAATGAATGTCATCCACAAATCCAGGACCACGAAAGCAATATCTGCTAACAGTATGTCCTTTCCATTAGTAGTGACTAATAAAATTGGTTTTCTGATCTGATCAAATTCTGATCAAATTAATAAAATATTCGAGTTAGACTTTGTCCGGTATAACAACCAAAATGGTTGAGACTTGTATTATGAAGTGCATAGCATTTCCGGTGTATGTGTGCCATTCGCCTACTGTGGTATGGTTTCGCTATCAGCCGTGCATCGAACTTTTTTGTTGATGCACAAACTAGCAACTATGCGCGTTCATGTGCTGTTAGCGGTTGTGTATAATGTAATTACTCTTTTTTTATTAGTCCTCTGTCAAGGACTTTTTAGGTATAGTAACAGTTTTATATTATTATCATTAATATTATATGCTTGTTGGCTTAGGGTCACTTTCAGATGATGTTAGTCGACTGGTGGAAGTCAGTAGAGTGGGGCAATGTCATTGAGACCAAATATGGTAATACACCAAAAAGGTCAAAAAAGAAAAAGAAAAAATAATTTGTTTAAATTATTTCAATACCGTCACTCAAGGACAAATGGGTCGCAGTTCTCTTAAATATTTTTTCTTGCCATTCTGCTGACACAGACCGGAAGCCGCTGCTGACGACATGACACGTGCTCGCGAGAAGAAAACCATTTTGTCCAGTCACCAGAAGACTCGCAACACCGACAGCTATCCTGGTTAGCCCTCAACAGGGTTGATTCACTGTTTTTCTGTATTGGTACGTGGGGTATTTGACTACGTCTTGCCACCCAAAACTTGACCCTTTTGCTGGGGTGTGGTTGCCTGTGTCTGGTGCGTCAAAGTCAGCTGAATAGGGAGTTTTTTTCCTGAGAGATTGAGTTACAAGTGTGTGGCCAGCTAGCGATTTTAGCCTAGCAGAGGGTGGAGACAAAAAAGTTCCAAGACCTCGCCCCAGCCGTTACTTCATTCTAGCAGGCAGCTACTCTCTCGACTCTGTGAGGGTTCCACACCACTTTCGCCGATAGTTTCAAAGGGGAGACTGTGACACGTCGGTGTCAACGAGGAAAAAACCAGTAGCCATGTTCAGGAAAAACTTGAAGAAGGACCCTGAGCTGTTCCAGAACGTCTCAGATGGACTGCGGCGGCTATACCGGACCAAGTTATTCCCTCTGGAGGACACGTATCGATTCCACGACTTCCACTCCCCTGCCCTCGAAGATGCAGACTTCGACAACAAGCCCATGGTTCTCCTTGTGGGCCAATACTCAACCGGAAAGACAACTTTTATCCGGCACCTCATGGAGCAGGACTTCCCCGGTATGCGGATCGGCCCTGAGCCGACCACAGACTCATTCATAGCGGTAATGCACGGCGAGCAGGATGGCGTGATACCGGGGAATGCTCTGGTAGTCGATCCAAAGAAGCCCTTCCGCAAACTCAATGCCTTCGGCAACGCATTCCTCAACAGGTAATGCTGACACCAAGACCCCCAGACCATATTTAATAACTTATGTGAGAAATGTAACACCCTTTGATTGTCGATCATTAGTTTCGATATGCTATAATGTACCACCCTACGTGTCTGCTAAAGTTCGTCGTATTGGTCAAATTTAATGAGGACAGTTAAGACATTTAACCTTTTACCTTAGACTCTTTAATTCAAATAGGTGAGACCTGTTTAAGAAACAAATCAAGTGAATTCAGTTAACTGCTAAACTGTAAAAGACCCCCCCCTCCACGCACATACACCTGTCACAGCAACACATCAGCTGTAGTTAAATGTCCCCACACACATCCTCACTTACATCATCAATTCATTGTTAAAGCCAGTTGCTCGAAGTTCCCAGCAGAAACCAGTATATGTTAAAGTTTTCTCTTGAATCCTGAGAAAACCTGTGTTTTGTGTCAACAATAGGGTTGTAGCTCCAGTCTGTGTATGTAAAAGCAAAAGATAACAATGGCCATCCCACACCCTCCGCACAATTCCCATCTGCTTTAATCTTTTAATGAAACCTTGATAATCAACACATCTTTTTCCCACCATCATACACTTTTTCCATTAACCAAAAGCAGCTGACACAGTCACCTTTGACAGATGGTTTTGTCCAAGAGTCTCAGCACTGGCTCCTTTAATTCAGAGGTAGTAGTTGCAAGACATGTTGCTAGGCAGCAGGTTGACCTTGCCCTGTCCTCAGTGTGCCACATTAATAGAAGTCAATCAGACACTGTCTTTTATTGCATGTGAAGGTTAGGGTTAGCTTATCAAGAACTTATCAAGAACGGTTAAAGGTTTTGAAGTAGTAGTACAGTTCTGTGGAATCAGCAGGTATATTTACGCAGGCACAGGTTAAATTCTCATTTGGTTAATTGGATTTTAACTTGCATATCTTAATGTTGTACTAAAATGTCTTTAATTGTTGGTTGTACTAGTATCTTGTGAGAAAGTTAATATATATATGCTATGAATTATTCTAATTGTTCTCCCAAACCCATTGGCTGTTTGTCACAAAACCACAGTAACCTTTATGAATCACTCATTACTGAGTCGGTCATTCATTCTAACAAAGTCAGCTGTAGAATTCCCACGTGGCAGAAAATCCAGTGACTCTAAAGTATTGCTCAACAAAGGTTGCAAAAAACCTGTTACAATGATTGAGAAACAACAGAAAGCATAATGTTTCTACAACTCTCTTCTATTAACTCAAATGGACTCTTTTAAAAGTATTATGTTTTCATTAACTATCCCTTACCTCACTATTCCTGTTGGAGCTTACCAAATTCCACATGGTTGCCTTGTGTTCCCATTAAAAATGTAATTTTATATGTAATGTGAACTAATGGGAAAACAGTACATAGAACAAAAATATGTCTTTTTCTGGGATAGGTAAACAACAAATAGTTTTTACCCACAAATCTGTTGAATTAAAGTACAACAAGAAATCATAATCTATAAACAGATGACCTTGAAAATTCCCGTTTAAGGTGAGACTACAAGCGAAACCTGTTATGAGTCAAAGGGTAAAAGCATTGTGTGTATTCATGTGTGTTCAGTGACATAATAAAAGTGACATCCTAGTGTTGTAGCTGCCATTTCCAGTGAATGGATGTCATATGGGTATATCCCTTTCCTATAGTGTTGTAACTTCCTACACAGGAGTAGCCAAGAAAAAAACAAATTACTATTTTGTACTCTGTCATGATCTTAATTTCTATTTATCTGGAAATTATCTGGAAAGCCTCCTCGCCTTTGTAGTATTACTACCCACACCCCAGTGGCTGTTTCCTATGAGCCATTGAAATCCTTTCCTTCGATTATGTGGGGTGTTTGTATTATCTCATGTCAGTGCAAACTTTTGCCAAACTCTGAAGTAATACATTCCACACAGCATAACAGGCTTGTGTGTGTGTCTGATTGCTGTTCTGGGGGTGGGTTATTAAACAGTCCACACACACTGCTCTGGAGTTTATTACAGACTTGAAGGGAAACCAGATAAGATTGTGCATAAACAAAGCATATTGTCCCGCACTGCCTCATTCATTAAAACTAGAGGACTCAAACATGGGATCATGTGATATACAAGACTTGTGTTTCTCTTTGAAATCATTCGGCATCTTTGTCTCAGAGGCATGGGCTCAACCAGTCACACACTGACTTTGAGAAAGCTTACATTGTTATACACAGCAGGATAAGTCTTTATGGCAGTAGCAGGTGCATGACCTGCTTTCAGAGGTGTGTCCTGGTTAATATGCCACATAAAAATGCCTTTATTGAAGTAATTATACAAGTGATTTCAGTACAAGTCTGTTTCACAAATTGTCTTTTCACACTGGCAGAGCCCTACTCTGGTGCTGGTTCATGGATCAAATTGGTTGAAGTTACTGCTTTCTCTACACAGCAAATGAATAGATTTGAAACCTGAAAGGTTGGTTCCCACTCAGTTTACATGAAAATCATTAGTGGGTGTGTCGAGTTAAGCTCTAAATGAGCATAAGAAAGGTGCAACACATCAGTAAATAATGCAAAGGATACAAACACTACAGTTGTCTCCTCCAGAAACCTGATCGTTATGGTGATTGGGATTTACCCAAGAGAAACTTCACAGATCAGTTCAGGGGAAATTAGGCAGATGTTGTCTGATGAGCGACACAATCTGCTGTTTGACAAGACAAGGTATTCACCTCCATGTCAAAAGTATTTGAACTCTAGATGATCTGGTGGTTTGTTTTTCTCTTCATAGAGGTGGACACAGAGATGTGTGTGTGCGTGTGGTGTTCTTTAACCATAGTCCTTCAACTTCCACATTAGCCCTTAACTACTAGGATTTGCCTTTTGTATAACCAATCATTTATGTACACAGTAAATACAAATCAGTCTAGACTGGTTCTCACACTGAGGGTTTGTTGTTGGATAAATGCAAAAAGCATTTTTTTTCCGTTTCATACTGTGAACAGTGTTCATAGTTGTGGTTTTTCTGTTTGCCTTGTTAGTCTTGCACCTTACCATTTATACATAATGTTTCCGTTGAATTTTGTGTTACTCTCTTTCATTTTCACTTGCATATTTGTGTGTTCTTAATATATTTCTGGTGTGTGTGTGTATGTGGGTAGGTGGGTGTTTACACATCAGTGCTCTCTGGGAGCCATTAGTCATTAGAACTAGAGTCAGCAAAGTTGAATTTCCGCACCCTGACCCTCACTATCCTGCTTCGTCCTGCCCTGCTCACAGCCTGTTATTTCATTACACTGACTCTGGATTTTAAATTGAGATTAACAGGCTCCCAGGTTTTGGGATCACGTAACAATCAAATAAACATAAATAAACATATTGATTTGAGAATCAAGAATACATTTTAACAGAATAGGTACTGCAATTGTGGAAACCTGGCTGTGTTGTAACTCCACATCAGTCTTGGTGACAGCAACAGTTTCCTCTTCTCTGTAGGAAACAGGGTTATAGTGTGGGGTGGGGGAGCAGGGCTTATGGGGCAGAAGAACGGCAGGACAGGAAGGTCTTCTATTACAAGCTGGAGCCAGGCTTCCAGTGCCACTGTGGAAAATCAACCCAATCTCAGGGAGGGTTGGCTTCTCACTTTCTTTAGACATATTTGTAGAGATGACTCCGTGGGCCCCCTGTGCCTGGTAGTGTCCTGCTCTGTTTCTGAGAATTCCAGCTCCAGTTGAATTGAGCATTCTTTCCCCCACTGTGTGGAAAATGTCGAGAGTGATAGTTAAATGTAAAACCCTGTGCCAAAATTCCAACTGGATATTGCACACCAACAGCTATGGGAGGGAGATTAAAACAACTGTATGTTTGTCATCTTTGCCAGCCACTGCTATTGTATCGTAATCTCAACCATATGATCCCAACGCAAGTCTTTTTTGACTCGTTCATTGTCTTTAGATTTTTCCCTGTCCCCCTCTGCATGTGGTGTGCAACCTCTGTTGGGGTTTGTGGCTTAACCATGTCTGGTTATACAAAGAATGTAAGCTGGGTTCTCCCTGTCTTATGACCTCGTGCCTGTGAGCTCATGTAGTGAGTATCGGTTGATTCAAAAGGCAGCAGAGCAAGAAGAAGTACTCTCAGCCGTTAGCTCAGGTCTCTGAACAATTGTCGTCTTTGTTCAGGGAAGGACGCAATAAGTTTTTGCAAAACCACTCGTTCTTTTTTCTGTCTTGAGCGAGACCTTGTCTGTCTGTGTTTACGTTCACGTCTGTGTCCCGAGTTTGTTTCTGTTACAGAGAGAGTTTACATGGTGTATAGAGTTCACACCCCAGTGTTTTAGCTGAAAGGATGCTACTGCACTGTGAACGTGAATTACATTGGATAGATTTAGGCCCTTTAGAGTCTATGAGTAGTACTGTAATATTGAAAGTAAAAGTTTGAGGCATGTTTATTCCCATTTTAAGACCAAATGACTATCAGATATATCAGTCATGTGTAAAAAATATAACCAGTACTTCCTACCTAAAGTAGATTATTTTCCCAGAACTGTAAAAGATCAATGTAATTATTCATCTGGTTATACAGATTTCAGTTTATAGAGTAAGACGCCAACCTCTGTACTTTATTTTCCAAGGTCTACAAGACATCGGCTAGTCCTAATGTAAGACGAGAGAATTTCAAATCACTCCTTTTAGGGCAAATGTACAGGAAAAGAGCTGATTATCTCCCCTCCACATGCTACACAGCCATATCCTGTTTCTTAATCTTGTTCTTCTATGATGTCTACTGTACTTTATCTCAACCTTGTTATTTGTGTTTGACAGGTTCATGTGTGCCCAGATGCCAAACCCTGTCCTGGAGAGCATCAGTATCATCGATACTCCTGGCATCCTGTCTGGGGAGAAACAGAGGATAAGCAGAGGTCTGTGTAACACACACTGCCTTTTACCCACACGTGTCACTTTCTTCCTCTCTGTTGATGAAAGGCACATCTTACCATTTTAGAAAATGTGAAGTAGAATAATTGAAAAGGTGGCAAGTACAAAATTACCCACAGAAAGTTGCAACTAGCTATTTACAGAGGAAATATGCACCAACAACCTGCCCCCCACCTCGCACTCCCCTCCAAGAATTCTTTCAGATATTTGTCCTTGAAATGTCCTCTACTTAGCTGACTTCAGTCCTGCATGTGGTCTGAGCCACATTTACCTTCAACAGGTAATGTAAAAACAATGGGGGGTTTCACATTGTGACATCAGTATCCAGATTTTCGCAGCCTTCTCAAGTTTCTACTTCCCGTATCTGTGTCTGCAGGTTAGCCTGCAGTTAGGATTATAAATTTGCTAAATTAGATTAATGCCAGAAAATTAAAAAAAACGCTTCCTCTATGAAACTGCTTTCTTTAGCTCGGTGTACTCTGAATGTCTGACACTGTACCATTAATCACAGACATCTGACTCTTTTCCAAGAATTGCGCAAAAACATATCATTAATGTCATTACTTTTGCCGTTATTTATATGATCAGTAACAATGCTGTGACCTAGGGGGTTATCTAAAAAGCGCCACATCCACAGTTTTGCTAAGTCAACCTTACAGAACATTGCCAAAAAATTCACAGGGCATCTAAATACAGCTTCTGCTTTTTTTAAATTTCAGTCATTTTTAAGAGGAAGCACATCCACAAGCCGTAGCATTTTTTTACTAAAGCTACGGAAATTGAGTAAAAATGACTGACGAAGCATAAAGTTTCCTAAGACCCACCATTAGCTGTACTTCTAACAAGAGCTGATCAACGTTTTTATTAGTAATTTCAAAGGAGGAACAACTTAAATAAAAACATCTTCCTTCCTGACCTTTTGACACAGCAACAAAGACAGTTTAAATTATTATTGAAACATGGTAGAATGATATACGGGTATATTACAGGGTATTATATATTCAGGGTATTTGTGTGTTCCAATGCAGAAAAAACACATTTTAATGTATACATTTCCAATAGTGCCTATGTCATTGTGCTTTTGCATGCAGTTTTCAAATAAATGTGTGTTAATGAAAGGGAAAACCCAGCACAGGCTAAAGTGACTGCTGTAATGACAGAAGGAACAGTTGAAATCTGACACCTCACAACACGCACTGCTCTGCACACAGATGTAGACAAATACGTTTGTCCCTAAAAGGAGCATTAGCACGCACACACACGTCATCCTCGGCTTTGTTTCCTTATAAACACGTATTTATATAAAATACCGTATTTCAAACACCTTTTGTACTCACTGTATCGTACATAAACATAACTCACATCTGAAGTGTGACTGCTTTTTATTTATGCACAGGCGTGTTTGCTATTGTTAGCCGGCACTTGGCCAAACAACTTTTACTTTAACAGGAAGTGATGTTCATTTTTCACACTCTCGCTTAGTATTGCAACTTTTTGTGTGTGTCTTTTTGACTTGCTTAACATGTTAGCCAAGTATTCTTAGATCTTGTAGAATTGAACAAACACATATAAGAACAAATACTGGAGCTCTCGGACCACCTTTTCCACAGAAGGCTGGTAAACTTAAGAAATTGTTTGACAACTGAAATAAACCAGTAGTTCCTGTCTTGGTGCAAACCAGTGGAAATGAGAAATGAGCATTGCAGATACCAGTTACACATTTTCTGTGGATAGCACTGCAGATGGTCTTCATTCTCGGCAGTTAGGTTTTAATGACTATTTCCCCCCATGTAGAAATATGGACCTATTTGATAGGGGAAAATATCTTCATAGTTTTTTCTGACGATTTCAGACAATGTTGGGTGCACAAAACTCAAAAGTAACTCTGTGCAAATGTTGTTTATTACATATCTATTTATTTATATGTTTTCAAGACTATTAAATGACAGTGATTTCCTAAATTTGTCCTTGGCCTTTGTGGTTTCTGATTTTGTCTAAAGGCCTAAAAGTCATGCACATTCAGCAGTAGTTTCTGTCCCGTACCTTTACACCTTTCTAATCCATCTTTAACCTCTGGTAACTTCTTCATCTTGTGAGAGACAATCACCAAGCCTGGGTGCTCTGTGCCGATGTCACAGCACTACCTTATTCACAGACAGTTTTCCCGCTTGTTTAGGAACCACACAAAAGGTCAAGTCACTCATCCAAAAATTCTTACATCGAGGGGAAATGGACGGAGTAGGTTTATGAAGACGTTTCACCTCTTCATCCAAGAGGCTTCTTCAGTTCTGACTGACTACTGGGAAATTCTGGTATTTGGCCTCAAAGAGGCTGCATACCCGTAACAAGGGCCCTTGCAGAAAGCAATACTCTAATAAGGGGGACTGAAGGTGTGTTGGACCACTCCCTATTTCTGCCCCAAAGGCTGAATGTGAACTCACTTAACATTATAAGCTGTTTTTAATCAACCAAACCCCATTGTACAATGAAGAAACACTCTGCATTTATTGTGTTTAAATGTGAGTTGTTGGTTTTAGGGCGTGGCACCATGTGTTGAGATCTCCCCTTTTCAGCAAAAAGAAAAAAAATCAAATACATTTTTAGGATTTGTTTTCGTTATTTAGTGGGGATTTTCTTTGAATTCTATGTCCGTCGCTGGTCTGCCCATGACTTTAACTGGTGTGAAGTAGGTCTAAGCTGAGCAGCTGTCTGATTCTCTAAACCTATGTGTTAAAAACAGACTTATGAGAAAATGCCCTAGTGTCCTCTGCTAAATCCCACTGGGACGTCTGACTCAAAATATTCCCCATTTTGTGAACATCGTCTACAGAGTTACTCACTCTTGCACAACATCTCGAATTACAATTCTGTTTTACTTTCTGTTTTACGAAGCTGCAACTTTCTCTTTATGTCCTTTTTAAAGTCATCTGTCTGTCTCAGTTCTTCTGTGCTTATTCACTCTACTCCTCACTTCTCTTTAGTGGCTATGTGTTCTCAGGCACACACATACAAAAGACATTCTGGAAGGGCAATGCAGCATAACTGGCTGCTGTGATTGTGCAGGAGCTGAGATGAACCCTGAGAGCAGCTGCATTCTTCTGTGATCAGATGACACAAGACTCAAATCAAAACCATAATGTTCTTTGCTCACTTCCTGCCCTGCTTATCCAGGCTGTTGAGCACTCTTAAAAAAAAAAGAAAAAAAAAGATGTATTTTTAATTTGATGTATTTTAAACACTTGAAATTAGACTCCAAAATGTCGTAAGTGATTTGATTTGACAAAAGTATATTTAAAACAAATCTTTGTCATTATGTAAATTAATTTCTATGGTTGCCTTAAACTTTGGTTCTTACCAAACAGTCATTTGGTTCAAAGAAATTCTGCTTCAGATGTTCCTGTGAATCCACATGCTGCTCTCTCAGTAAAACTAGTTAATTTATAACCAGAGTTGAAGCCCTTATCTAAACACTATTGGATCCACATGAAAATTATACCTGCTGACCAACGTAAAACATAAATGGTGGGACTTAAAATTCTCCAACACCTTTTATGGACTGATTGGATCCATTAATCTTCCTGTCGAGTTGAACTTTGCACACAGATAAATCTTCAGCTTGACTCAGTGGAAAATGGCACAGATAAAATGACTGAGTTGTGCAGTTTGTGGTTTTTGTCTCAAATTGCTGGAATCATGCTGAGGAAAAAACATGACTGTAAGAATAAAAGATGGAAAAGAGCTGATCCCACACATGAATCTAACATCTTATCATTAAATCTATGATGGGGAGAAAATCAGGTTTTTTGTTTTTCTCGATGTAGCTACAGATATTTTGTCAACTTTTACAGACACTGATCAGCTTTGTATCACTTTCACCTTAGTTTGAAAGAATTTCATCAATGTCGGGCTGTCATGTTCTTAGCCTAAAGCTGTTTAAACCAAGTGGAACTTTTCAAGTCATCTCATAACAATGCATGTACCCCTGGCAGCATGTGAGTTATTCTGAGGGCTCATATGGTATTTTACTGAAACCTCCCACGCCCCCTGTGTTTTCCCCAGGTTATGATTTCGCCGCCGTGCTTGAGTGGTTTGCCGAGCGCGTGGACCGCATCATCCTCCTGTTCGACGCCCACAAACTGGACATATCTGATGAGTTCTCTGAGGTGATCCGTGCTCTGAAGAACCATGAGGACAAAATGCGTGTGGTTCTGAACAAAGCGGATCAGATCAGCACTCAGCAGCTCATGAGAGTCTACGGAGCACTGATGTGGTCTCTGGGCAAAATCATCAACACACCTGAGGTATATTTATATCACTCATTATATGATATCCTTAATTAGTCAAATGTTCTTCTATTCAGTTGTACATTTTTTCATATTGGAAAATGTTACACACTGAATACTGAACCAATATATCACATACATAGATGCTAAGCATTCTCCATTCTCAAGTTACAGTTGTGGTTTAAAAACATTTTACTGCAGCACTCCCTTTTATAGACAGGACTAATATTGAGCCACAAATTCACACCTATTTTATAGACAGGACTAATATTGAGCCACTTCCACAAATTCACACCTACGGAAAATGTTACACACTGAATACTGAACCAATATATCACATACATTCTCAAGTTACAGTTGTGGTTTAAAAACATTTTACTGCAGCACTCCCTTTTATAGACAGGACTAATATTGAGCCACAAATTCACACCTATTGCTCCAAAACTCCACTTAACAAAACTAGTTTTGTTATTGAACAATGGTTAGTAAAAAAAAACATCTCTACTGTGGCACAAATACAGAAAACAGTGACATTGAAATTAATTTGCTTCGCCGCACCTTCCCTTTTAACTGTTGTGACTGAAAAAGGTTTTGAAATGATGTGATCTATTTGAGGTGTGTGTAACTGCTCACCTTCTCACTCCAGGCTCTGTCCCAAAACTGCTCTGTCAACTTCCGAGTTAACTCTGGCTCCACTCCAGTGACATTCTCTGCCTTCATTTCCTGTACTAGCTCTGTAATAATTGATCAACATAACTGTTGTTGACTGTGATTTTATTGTTGCCAAATCAGAGTATTACATCAAGGTAATGACTACTGTAAGAGTTTCCCAAACTTTGCCAGCCATCAGAGCCAAGTTTAGGTGCAAAGTAAGAAAACAAAGTAAGACGAAAGAGAGTTTATTTTAAGTCTTAAACATAATGGTGTTTACTGATACTCAGTGACTTACCCTGTGTTCTTTTCCTTCTCTGTTGTCATGCTTATGTCTAAACCAGTAATCCCATGGAAGTGACACCTCATTTTGTTTGTACTCAGTAATGAGGAGCTTAAACAGGATCATCAGGAGCTAAGACATTAGAGCAGACTGTAAAAAATTGGAGTTGCCCTACAATAAAGTATTACATGTTCGAAGTGGTCACAGTGGGTTAATGTTTAATTGAAAAAGCTTCCATCTTAAGCCGATGTCTCTTTTATGTACTCCCAAATACTAGACGGTTTCATTAGTCAGTCATTTTTCACCAACATTTTCAAATGGCAAATTTCACAATAGAAAAAAGCATCATAAAGCAATGTGATGAAAGTGAAAGCTGCCGTTTAATCTCTAGGATTCCATGTCCTGTTCGGTATCATGTGACTGAACTCGTCTCATTTTTTTCTCTGGCTGTTGTTAATCTTTGATCCCAGGCCATAGTCATAAACCAATCCCAAAGAAACCTTTGGAGTGTAGACAATAATTCACTGACTTTGACGGTGCACTGAATTGGGAAACACCTTTAAATTGTTTAAAACACACAAAGAAAACTTTAAAGGCTGTTCTATTTCCCTCCGTGCCAACTGTTTGTTTTGTGCCAACACGTTTATTCTGACAGTTCAAATAGTAATTCCTCTTTTGAAGGTGTGGGCAATACAGAACAACCCAGGTGAAAATCACAAACAACAGGGACTAACTTGTGTGAACTTGATTTCAGGTTGTGCGGGTGTACATCGGCTCATTTTGGGCGCAGCCCCTGTTGGTTCCTGACAACAGGAAGTTGTTTGAAGCGGAGGAGCATGACCTGTTCTTAGACATCCAGTCGTTGCCCCGAAACGCCGCTCTGCGCAAACTCAACGACCTCATCAAACGAGCCCGTCTCGCTAAGGTCAGCAGAAATGATTGTCAGGAATGCAAAGTACTAGCTGTCTGAGGCACTGCATTGCTTTGAACTGGAAGTTAAAACATCAACACACCCACATTTACTGTGTTAACATCAGCCAATGAATGTGTTTTTATTTTGGTGCCGGCATTGGCTTATTAGTGTTTAACAGAACATCATTTCTGGTTGTGGAAATACTCACAGAACAAAAAGGAGATCTGGGTTTTACACCTGCTATTAGTACAAATGTGAGCACATGCTCAGTACTACACATGTGATGAAGTAGCCTACATCCTCAGAACAAGCGCAAATTCAACTCATTAATTTACAGTGAACGATAAAGGAAAATAATTGTGCTGTGTTTTTGCATACGGAGCAGATGAAAGGTGTCGTGAAAGCCTGACTTTTCATCAGTTCAAGGTCATATTTGTAGGTCATGTTACTAAGGGGTTGCTTTCATTCATCTGTCCTAGGTTCAGATGAGCCATTGTTTGTGTTTTGTTTTCAGTAAACACCTGTGTTAATTTAGCTGAAATGTCAAATTGTGTTTGGTGATAAGGACAGCAGACACTGGTAAAAAGAAAGGGAAATTGTACATTTTTAAAAAACCTTTCTTTTTTCATATTGATGTGAGGTCAAAATGTAAAAGGTTTCACTTCCCCCGATTTAAAGAAGTCTAATTTTGTCTTTAAAACCTTTTAGTTTTTTTAGTTCTTTCCATTTGGACTACATGTAGCTTTCAATTGAACTTCAAATTACGATCTGAGCAGCATTTTTAAAATCAAAAAGTATCTTTCTTCTCCATTTATCTGTTGAAACCCTGCACATCACCGATGGCCTGCCAAAGTACTTGGTTTACTTACTGTATTACATATTTCACTAGCTTAAGTTGAACTTCCCTTTTCTCTTATGTACTGACAAATCTAAATAGACCAACTCTGACATTTACTTTCAGTCTTGTAGTCAGGTCATGGTTGAGGTTTCACTGTCTCTGAGAGTGCAGGTGTTTCCACCCAGCTTCACACTGGTTCCATTAACTATTGAATTTCCAAAGTTAGTTCTTTAGAGTATGTTCACTATTGGTAACTAGTGCCTTTTTGGCAATAATCTTCCAGTTTCCTACACATTACACAGATTGTGTTACCTAGCAGCTGGCTCATGCAGATTATATTTTATTGTAGCATTCAAAAGACAAAATGTGTATTGTAGTCTAGTAATAATTATTTATTGCTTTTATCTTTTACAGTTACTGATTAAAGTAATAAAATGACAGTAATATATATTTCTGTTTTTTTTTTTGTTGTTACCCAACATTGGTTTTTACTGCCTTACTACTTGCAGCCTCATAAAAGTCCTGTTTTATGCAACTGGTCTGGTTATAATAATTTTGTTCTGCATTCAAAAGAAAGTGTGTAAGAAATTAATGTTATTATGAAACTGTCTATATTTGATACTGATTGTTTTTTTTTTTTGTTGCGGTTTACTTTTTTGGTGACTAGGTGCACGCCTACATTATCAGTTCTCTGAAAAAGGAAATGCCCAGTGTGTTTGGGAAGGAGTCCAAGAAAAAGGAGCTGATTGCCAACCTGGGGGAAATTTACAGTAAGATTGAGAAGGAGCAGCAGATCTCACCTGGGGACTTTCCAAAACTACTGATTGTGCAGGTGAGATTCAAGGGCGAATCACCCCCCCACACACACACACACACACACACTCACTCTTTATTGGATTTAAAACGTTTAAACGTTTTTTGGTAATCTTCTGGCTTCTTTCCAAAAAATAAAACACATCTATGTATTCCACAAAGTCAAAATACAGAAAGGCCAAATTAGACATGTCAAAAACTTCAGATTATGAAACACAGAAGCTGTAGACTCTGATGTAAACTCATAATTAATGCTCTGACAAAGTAGAGACTTTGACTATTTTTGGCTGTGCAAAATAAATTGTCTAAGTCAGAGTCAAACCCTCTTTTGACCTTTGCTTTTTCACATCTTTTCCTTTATTTCCTGCCCTTGCCCACCAGGATGTAGCAAAGCAGCAATGAGATTTATTTTTCCTGGTTTGTCAGGAAATCCTGCTCCTTGCAGGCTCCTCCCATAGGTAGATGATGAAGACTGATCTATTTCTAATATTTATTCATGTATTCTCCCAACCCCCATCACTTCAGGAGCTGCTGAACAATCAAGACTTCTCCAAGTTTGCACCAATAAAGCCCAAGCTGCTGGAGGCAGTGGAGGACATGTTGGCCAATGACATCGCCCGTCTGATGGCAATGGTGCGGCAGGAAGAGGCCTCCATGCCCAGCCAGACGGTCAAAGGTGGAGCCTTTGAAGGAACCCAGACCGGTCCATTTGGTCATGGCTATGGAGAAGGAGCCAGTGAAGGCATCGATGAGATGGAATGGGTGGTGGGTCGTGACAAGCCTTCGTACGATGAGATCTTCTACACCCTGTCACCCATCAATGGAAAAGTGTCTGGCAACGCTGTCAGGAAAGAGATGCTGAAATCTAAGCTGCCCAACTCAGTTCTACGAAAAATCTGGGCACTGGCAGACGTGGATAAAGACGGCTACCTTGATGATGAAGAGTTTGCCCTTGCCAACCATCTCATCAAGGTGATGCTGGAGGGCCACGAGCTGCCGGCCGAGCTGCCTGGTCATCTAGTGCCACCCTCCAAACGTGGGACATTAGAGGATTAGAGGAAGTAAGGGGAGGGGTCAAGGTTTGGAGCTGTCAGCACCTGGTAACATGTTTCAGACTTTCCAGACAAAAATCCACCCACAAGCATTAAAAACCAACATCCTCCATTAAGCTGTGAGTCTCCAGACCTCCTGCCACACCTCGGGGGTGGAAAGATGTTGTGATTCTTTTAAAACCAGAGAGAGACTGGAGGTTTCCTGACAGGGGGTTGGGGAGAGGGAGAAGGTTCTTCATACAGTAGGGAATAAGATTCAGGTCACTGTTAGAAAAGAAAACGTACCACCTGATACGAAGACAAATCTGGATTGTGAACTGAAAGGCAGTGGCAGGTTGCATGATGGGGCTGAAAAATGAATTTTTGGATCCTGTGAAAAAGATGTCTTATAAATAACTACAGTCCATATTATTAATATTATTATTATATGTTGATCCAAAGAAGCTATAGTTTTTTTTTATTTGGAAAGAAAAAGAGGAAATAAATCAAAAACAACTGTTAGAATTGTTTTATCTCTATTTTTGTATTTCCTGACTGTTAAATTTAACTCTTTCCAAATGCTTCCCTTTTTATTATTTTGCCAGATAAATAAAAAGGAGTACTGTACCATCTGACATGTGCTCATGTGCCTTCAGTTCAAATGCTGTTTGAGCTTCAACAGTTGGAGGAAGTTGTAAACTAAACTGTGTTTGAATCATAGTTGGGATCGCTTTAATTTGTACTCATTTGTCATTTAGAGGTCATTCAAACGAACTTTATGTTGAAATGTCATCCACGGTATTTTAAACTTGCTCTACTGCCCTCTGCAGGCTGGGAGTAAAACAATCAGACTTCTCAAGAGGAAACGAGACCATTTGTACCCAACAAACAAGTGGCTGCCAGCAGTGAATCTTTACAGGCATATGGAAAACAGTGATGTGCAGACAGATATTATCCCACAGAACTATAGAAGACACATGGAGACAATTTGGAGAGCTTCAAAATTCAGTCCAGGCCCAGAGAGATGAGTATAAATCAATGAGACAGGAAACTCTCTTGAGACCTGCAGCCAAATATAAAGCTGGCTTCATAACAATTATTCACATCAAAATTTTTAACAATGGCCAGAAATGACCAAATATGTTTTCACTAAATGATCTAGTGAATTAATATGATTCTAGATAAAAAAAAACTAGAATATTTAAGGAATTTATTGATTTTTCTTTTTTTTTTCTTTGTGCTATCTTTTCTTTACAGGTGAGTGTGTATTTATTGTGAACAGCAGAATGGTGAGTGATTTATTGGAAGACTTGGAATGACATCACAACACATTTCCATGTCAGTCATGTCTGGTCATGTGTGACTTTTCTACCTTCAGTTTGTAAACACCTCGTGATTGTCCTGGTTATGATCCTTGAATTCTGGATAAAAGCATAAATCTTTCACTGTCACTTAACACAATAAACATCACGTTTCACCTTCATCAGGACGTGGTGCCTGTTTGTGTTCTGTTCACAGAAGTTCTGTTCACAGAAGTGCTCACTCAGCCTTGTCTCTTCAGAAGGGATTTCCTGTTTGATTAAGTTGGCAGACTTTTTTTCTTGTTTTGTTGACCTAATGCACACATGCTGTTAAGACACTTGGATATTATGGTGACTTCTAACACAATATGTTTCACCTCTGCTGCAGCAGCTGATTTTTTCTCTATAGTCGAATGTGAGTGTTAGCCCTGGAGTCCTTTGGGTTAGGAGAGCAAGCACACCATCAGAATTCAAACTACATTTAAGCCTGAATGAGCTCCTTTACTGTCTGGAGTAACCGTTGTCTGCTGATGTTTTCAACAGGATGAGACTTTGGACTGCCTGCAGGTCAGTGTATTTTTTTTAACATTTCCATAGTGTAGCAGTTAGCACGCCTGCCTCAGAAATAGAGAGCAGGTATTTTGATGGGTTTTATTCCCAGAGGAACCACATACTTAGTGCCTGCAAGGGGCAGCAGATCTACTGTTAATGGAATTTCCCAATTGTGGGATCAATAAAGTTCAATTTTTTATAATTAATGATTTATGCATTTAGCATAGTATAGCATTTTATCCAGAGCAAATTACATGAGGACGGTTAAGTATCTATCAGTGTTTCATCTCTCATCGAAGACAGAAACATGGCCACAATTAGGGAATATATGCACAGTGTTTTTGTTTTGTTTGTTAGTTTGTTTGTTTTTTGTATTTCAAATTAACTCTCTTTTACACAAATACCTGATGTTTTTTTTACAGTATCAGTGAGCATTTTTAATGAAGCAGCAGACCTAAATTATTAAATAACCCCCAAACTCTGGTGGCAGTGTCTATAACAGCAGCTGGACATTATTCGTAACGTGCAGCATAAGCTAAGAACTCATAGATCATGCACATTCAGCAGCATGTTCCACTACTGGCTTAAAGCAACAAATATTTTCCTTAGATTTCTGAATTGATTAAGTGCAGATTGTTAAATGGAGTAAATCTTTCAGGATATAGCACTTTAGTTACTTTACTTTCCTTACAATAATAATAATTGTAATACTCAAATCCATTCACTGGTAATGGAGACAAAGGCAGAATGTCTATGACTTGTTAAATAATATGTCCACTAAGATGTTAACCAACAAATTATATTTTAAATTTAGGATGGCCATAATGAGGAATACATTTTGTGACTGGTGTGAACCTGAGCTTTGTTGTAATTGACTGAATTCTGACAACATGCTGACTGCAACGACTCTCCTTAAACTCAAAATAGATCATTCACATTCTAAAGAATGGCTTCACGTTGTTGTGTTGATGATAATGTATTGACAGAAAGCTGCTGGAATGTTCACAGTGGTGTGAAGTGAGCAGGAGGGTGAGTGAACGTTGTGCCCCTGTGTTTCTGTACACTGTGTTTAGATAGCTGTCATCCCCCTGGATGTATATCTCCACTATACACCGTTTCCCTTTTCCTGTTCTCCTCTGTTCGGATGTTGCTGTTTTACCCCGTCTCACCTTTTCCCCTTCCTTTCTTTTCTTCTCCTGTTTATGGAAAAGGGTTTTCTCTGTTTTTGCTCTTGTGTTCCTTTGTTTTTCTTCTGCATCACCATCATTTCTTACTCCCCCTCCCCGCTTCGCTGTGTGATCGGTCACAATTGTCTCATCGATGCGTAAAAATAACAGGCTGGCCCTCTGACACACTGACCCCGCAGTCACTGGGGTCAGGCTTATGTAACATCATCATGTGGACGGACAGACACTTCTCAGAGGAAGGTGAGGAATGAGGCACCTGCATGTGTAAGTATATCAGGACCTCAAGTGCACGAGGACCTTAGCCACAGCAGGTCCTCATTTACACAATCATTAGATAATACGTCAGTCAATATTTTTTGAACTAATTGATCAAATTCATCTGACACAATGAAAAGAAAACCACACACAATCCATTTATTAAAATGATAGGACTTTTATTGTTTGGAACAGCTGGAAATAACACAGAACAGTGCCAAAAAGAGCCCCAAAAGTCCCTGTGATCATCTGTGAGCATCCAGAAACCAATTTCACATTAATGAGGGAAGACATGGTTGAAGAGACAGTGACAGAAAACAGGGAGCAGAGCAGAATTAAGTGCTTTAACATGAGTGTGCATGGCCATGAAGGTGGTTTTACCCTGAACTGTCAGTGCAATTGTGAAAACATTTTTATTTCTTTGCCCTGAAGCTGTCTTGGTAAATACCATAAAAATAACCTAACCACACATTCTCTCTAATGACTTCAGAGACATTAATAAATCTGTCTACAACGATGTCTTCTTGATTGTTTTCTTCACCCACGTCCGAGTCCATGACTGGTTTGTGGTGATGTGTTGCACTCAAAGCTCCATCAGGCTTCAAGAGGTAGACTGAGTCGCAGCATTGACCGAAGAGGTAGACAAACAAATCAGTCTTGACTTGGCTCAGTTTGTCCCTTTCTTGTGCCCCTCCCCCCCAGTTTGTCAGCAGTGTAACCACCACATGTCTAAAAAGTTCCTTTACTGGATCTGTTCCAGGATCAGCAAGGAGATCTGGCGGCTGCTGGTGGAGGCGCACCGAACATCTCCTGTGAGGCGTAGGTGATGTATAAGAAACCATCTGTGTCTCTGTAGCGGGAGTAAACCTCTCTCATGCTGGAGGACATGCAGGACATGCTCTTCTCTGCCACCAGCAGGAACAGAGCCTGGGTGGAGTCCAAGTCAATCTTATTCCTACGAGACAAAGTGTTGTATGAGTGCAAAGCAGCCTGAAGAATTGTTTTACAGGAAAACCAACAGATCGGTTCCAGTCATTTACCTGAGCAGGCAGAGGAACTGACCCAAGGTGAGCTCAAAGGGAACCAGGAACTTAGTTTTGTCCAATAACGGGAGAGTCTTTTCACGGATGTAACGTTCAACAATCACCTGCCAAGTGCCATAATACACAATAACAAATACATCCTCACATTGGATACATTAAAATAGTAAAAACTGATCACAGGTACTCACGGGCAACTTATTGGGGAATTTAGATCGGATACTGCACACTTCATCTTTTCTTGTTTCTGAAACGAAACAAAGAACATTCAAAGTCTAAAACGTTGCGCTACTTATACAATGAAAAATGTAACTGTTGCAAAAAAAGACTTACCAAGACATTTCCTCTGCTTAAAGGGCATAATCTCCATTGATTTCTCAAAGGGGGCCATAGTTCTTGTTCTTTGCTTTGGGCGGTTTGTGTAGACCAGTGGTGCTGGTGTGGCGTGGTCTCGCCTGGGCTGACGGTGAAGTCCCTTCAGGCTGGAAGTCAGCAAACCCCAGTGAGAGGCTGTGACTGCTGATGTTTTATAGGGGGCAGCACAGGGAGGGGTCCAAATGTGACACCCACAAACATCAACAAATCACTTGTCATCCCCGTGGCCAGTGTGTTCCTGTGGTGATGCAGCAGTCTGTTAATGTGTGTGTGTGTGGGCCACACTCCTTTGTGGTTCGGATCACACATACTGGTTATCCCACTCAGCATTCTCACGTCTACATGACACATTTGTGCTGCTGTCACGTACACACTCAGGCTCAAAGTAGACCAAACGCAGAGACATGAGTGTACCCTGGAGAACATAAACAACACATGACAGGACTCCACAGGAATAGTCAGTATTCTTACATGACTGCTGCTTTCTTTATGGCCACATCTGACACACACGGATTTTACCAGCTCACACCTAGCGGCCACTTGGCCCACCAATCACGGATAATGATAAGAGTGCAGATGCTAACATCTGGTATCCAGGCATCTAAAATGTGGGCCACGTGTTTGCCTAACTCACACCAATTGTTGTCTGCCTCGATTTCTGGCCACAAATTGATTTATTGATTGATGGCTGAAGTTGAAACATGAGACATACTGTAGCATTGTATCTTGATCTGTGACCCACGTCTGGACGATAGACGTGGTAGACTGGACAAGAGCTTGTGGCAAAATTACTTTCATGTAGATTTTTTTTCTTTATTTTTCAACCATGGGAATTGGAACACATTCATTTAGCAGTAATTGACTTCCAAGAAAAATGTCCTGCGACAAGGACTGAAATTGTTTGCTGTATAGAGACTGAGTGAAAAGAGCCACAACACCTTTGGTATGGATGTGGAATGCCGTCTGTGTTTTCCAAGAAGTTTAGGAAGTCCACCTATCCATCTATCTATTATCATCAGAGATAACGATAAATGTCTCCCTGTAATTAACTGTTCAGGTTTCTTATAAGCCTTGTTTGTGTTTTTAGCGCCCTCTGTCGTGCTCACACTTTGGCTCAGCGTCTCTGTCAACAGACGGGCTGAGTTATCCTGAGTTTTATTTGTCCAAGTTGTTTTCGGCATTAGCGCTCGTCATACTTAGAGCCACGTAAGAAGAGTGCAAACTCCATCTGGAGTCGAGCATGTGATACTGCCGCAGGCGCCAAAGAACACAGGGGGAAATGGTTTAGTCAGCTGGAAAATGTAAAAAGTGAAAAGGTTAAAGGTTGTACCCGTATATATCAGTGTCCCCTGTGCACAGTGCCAATTTAAAGAAACGAATCAGAACTCATGGAATAGGTCATCATCACATGGCAAGCTCGTTCTACAGTAGATTATTGGTAACATGTGATAAAGTAAAAAAGTGACAATACTGTTAAAGAGATTAGCTTGACCCTCCCTGACGTATTGTTGTCCATTTTTTTACCCTTTCAGTGAGTTCGACGTGTGGGACCAGTCCTGTCGAACAGGCTTTAGGTGGAGCACAGGCTGGCTAAAAGGTAGGTAAAGAACGCCCTCTGCTGGTAAAATATAACCAGAGACCACTTCACCTGTCATAAAGACCAGTCATCAGAGGCCTGCACAGGACTCGACTTCAAGGTTTCAGCCCAACAAAAGGTCTACTTCTACTGAAGGGACTCCTTCAAATCCGATTGATATTGGAGGAAAACCAGGCACCAGGTAATGAGTTCTGTATAAAATACACACTACTTATTGTACCTTAAAACTTTAAATTAAAACATGAATAAATGTGATATTTAAACTGATTAATAATAAAAAAGATTTTTACATTTACTTTCTATTAAACACAATTTTATAAAATATACAGTAGGGGTCTCTGCTCTGCCTGTCCAATAGACGATAGATACAACTTTATTAATCCCTTGGGAGTTACCTCCGGGAAATTAAGGAAGTCTGAAGGTCCTTGGTCATTAAATAAAATTTGTTCTTAAGTATTATTATTTTTGTTGTTGTTGTGATAGTTAATATTATTTTGACGAAAACTCATGTGTGGAACTGTTTGTCCTCTGGCACCGTGTCATTTACAGTCAAGTTGGATTTTTCTGTGCATCTGTTCGAAAAACTTCACCGACCAATCACAGAGCAGGTTTGAAGCAGTGGCTCCTCCTCCTTCTCCGCCTGACTGCCGCTGCTGTTGCTGCTCCCACATGTAACGTTATCTGCCACCGTCCGTCTGTTGCATTGTCTCGTTGGGGACACAGCTCGCCGAGCTCCATGGCATCTCCAGAGCACCACGGAAGTCAGGAGTGAAATTACAAACAGAGGCCATGTGAACAGGAAATGAAGCCTGGGTTTGACATCATACATGGGACGTTTTATGGTGTGTTAATCTGCACACGCTGGAGCTACTGGTCCTGTAGCAGCAGTCGGTCTGCAGCGGTGCCTCAGACTGGCTGCTCGGCACGTCATATGGTACGCGTAATGATTTCTTCCTTAATGTTGTGTTAATATAGGAGGTTACGATGTTGTCGCGTGTTCAAACGTGATTTACCCAAAGCCGGACCCGAGATCCTTCGTCCCTCTCATCCACTGCACCGGTACCTGAGTGGTGGTCAGTGGTGGTGCGCCCACGTTCTCCAGGAACCAGGATGGCCGGCCGCCGAAGCTGCGTGAACTCGCTCTGGTCCGGCACCGAGCGCGTCCGCATCGGAGAGCGCCTCAAAGCGACGCTGGCCGGGGTTCTGGAGCTGGAGCTGCTCAGGTGCAAACACCTGGAGATGGTGGACACTGCTATGGAGAACCGTGCCCACGTTACTGCCGCCGACGAGGAGCCACAGCAACATGAGGAGGAGGAGGAGGAAGAGGAGAAGCGCGAAGACTCAGAGAGCACCGCCGTGGACACCGAGCAAGGCTCTGCGACATCCCGCCGGCAACAGGTCAGTGAGTCCGTGGGTCTGGCAGCTCATAGTCTGGGTCTGTAGGCTCCATGACGAGATTATTAAATATGGATGCGGGGGATGAGGGTGATCTGCCAACAAAGCAGCCCCTCTGCGGATCAGGAGACAGATTTTATTCATGCCTTCCGGCTCTCGGCCGTGTTGAGAGCTGAATAACCAATTGATGGAGATGGTGCCAGAGAGCATCCGAGCGTGCGGCCCGGTCATTAGACTTAGCAGCAATGTCACACGGAGTAAAATGTCATTGAGGTCACAGTGTGACCAGCTCCTGTCTGTCTGACCCTCAAGGTTATTAATGATGATTATTAACGATGATGATCTGTGTGTACACACAGGTCCTACAATTAAGTCTAAATAATAATACACAAACCAGAAATCAGATACTGCAGCAGTGTTTGGTTCTGGCCTGTGAGCCCATCAGCTGCAAAGGTCACTTTGGCACATTCACATGTGAAGATAGACTCCATCACCTGCAAAAGAACAGGTTTGGTCCCTACCTGTGGGGAAAGCCCCCCAAACTGGGGGAAGAGTTTGGACGTGTGATCTCAGTGTCATGGAGAAAAAGAAAGAAAGAAAGGAAACCTTTACCAAAAGCTGTGTCTTGAAATAGATACGCAGGTCTTTTTGTGATGAGAATGTGGGGAATGTGGGTTGACATGTAATACAGGAGGACAGGATGTGAGCCGGTCTCATCCCAAAGCCTGGAGACTGAGGCCAGAGTTGATCTCATTCATTAACAGGCTGTAGTTATTCAGACCGTTGACTTCTTGGAGATTTGGGCGACCTTACTGCATTACGGCTCAAAAAGGGAAAAACATTTTTGAGGAATTGCACTGTCTTTGTAAAAAAGCGAATAACCTTGTCTACAGTTCTATGTTTGAATGAAATGAGATCTTTTTAAAAATTGCATCACATTGCTGACACAGCTCATGCAGCAGCATCAGCTTAATGTTAATTCAAAGTGAATCAACATCACATTTTGATAAACACTCGTAGGCCTCCTGTGTTCTTTTGATGACTTGTCCCTGTCCCTTATAACGTGACTGGAAAGTACCGTCCCCCCACCCCAATATTTGTAATGAAAACACTGTGGTTGAAAATTACAAAGGCACAAGGGAGGGATGATGGACAGATTTTATGCAATGACATTTTGTAACTTGCAAGATACACACGCAAACAACAGAATTACAACATCCTGGTTCGTCTTTGTTATTAATGAATTAGGGGCAAAACGTTGTTTTGGGTAAATACTGTAGCTCTCACCTCATCTGACCATGTAGTAGAAAACAATAACCTGCTCAGATCATGACAACATATCACTTCAGTAGGAGATTTAGCTCACAATGTATGTTTTTGGACTTAACCTAATCAACAAATATTTTCTTTTCTTTCTTTTGCATGATTCAACATTTCCATGCACTTGCTTTGAAGCTAGTCTTTCTACCACACAAACCGCTAGACAAACATATTTAGCAACTATTTTGATGTCAAACAATTTAAAAAAAACCTTTCGGTATAATTTCTTGAAAAACACTGGATAATTTCCTTGTGCATTTTGGTTTTTCTTTGAACACAACAAGTCTGTAAATTAATTTTAGCCTTTTGACTACACCCAACTCCACAGAGGGCACTGAATGGAGCACCTTTTTAAAGCATGTGTGGGCCTGATGACGACTGTCAATGCGGTTGTTGAGATGCCACCTTAGGACGTGCAGCTTTCCACGACACACTAAAATGCCAGTTTAAACTATTAGTTTTGGAAAAAGAAAGAAATGTTTGAATTAAATAATTTATGTTTCAACAATTCATTTCAGTGTTGGCCTTCTAGACGGTACTGTGAAGAGCTTATTCAAAAACAATGCAGACAGACGCACACTCAGAGTGATGCATGTGTGTTCTTCTGCTCACTGACTGAGTTTATCTAGGATTATCTCTGCAGCACTTTCAGATTTGACAAACCAGTAACAGGTCGGGATCAGGATCTGCTGGGTTTTTTTTTTTTACCTGAACTAGAACATTCATGGCTGTATTATTAATATTTCACTCTCATACATATTCAGTAACTGATACTTTTTCTCACTTTTCACCGTGTGGTGTGGCACTGTGGCGTGAGTCAGCAGCCTGCAGGATAATAAGACATAATTCCGTGCACCGGCAGCGGTCGTTATCTGTGTAAGACAGTGTTTTTCTGTTGCACGATATTGTTAAAATCATGTCCTTGGAAGGTAAGTTAGAATGCTACAGTCTGGCCTTACCAGAAATAGCCGTCCCATTTGGGCAAGGGCATCTGCATGGAGGTGTATGGCTCATTATGTGCCGCCTCGCTCACCGCCCACTGACCAATATCTCCTGTGGTGAGATCCTGTGGAGAGGCTGAGCTGCGTTTCATTTCATTCTCACCTCTGAAACGAGTGTGTGTAGCAGAGCAGGCAGGTTGGCTGTCTGCCCTCTGACTGCACTGGCTGGCCTCCACTGCTACCCACACACACACAAAACAAACAACCAACCAACCATTCAAACAACAGGATCTGCTGCGAAAGAGAAAACATCTGGTTTGGAGCAGATGGTGGCTGAGAAAACAGAGATAATCTTCATCCACAGACCAGTGTCTATTTTGATTTTGACTAAAGTGTGACTTAGTCTGAGTCTCAGTTTGATCAATGAAAGTAATAGAATTGAATTTTAGCTTTAGTCGACGAAAAAGTAGAATTATTTAAACAGACTACATTGAAATTAGATCTAGTCTCAATTGAGCTTCAAAGGCAATCTAATAGGAAACTATGTTTAATGGAACATCTTTCAGTGACACATTTACAACAAAATGTTATTCATCAATGTTTACGAAGACCTACGTTATGGTATAAAAATGTTGACAAGAGGCTGTGACAAATTCTACTTCACAGCTAAGCCACATTAGTTCCTACATGAATGCATCGGTCTGTTTACCTCTGCATGAATCTCAGGCTGACGTGTCTACAGATGTTGCCAAGTTTGTCAACATTTATTCATCAATAAGCGTTATCATCATTTAGCCTAGCATATCTTCCTGTTTTTTGTTCAGTTTGTGGTCAACATAACAATCCAATATATGCTTCCAAAATATTGTTTGTAGGAAGAGAAGACAAATATTAAGTTCCATGCGTGCCTACTTTTAAATAGTGTGAGCATCAGTTTTCACAGTATGTATTTTGAATGTATTGTGTAAAGAAGATGATCCTTGGTGTCTAAGTTTTCAACTCTTACAACTCACTTGGTGAAATCGTCACAGATGCAGCTCTGTGTTGGAGAAACAGAAACAGAAGCTTCTCACACATTAGAGCTGCAACAGTGACACAAGTGACTGACAGAAAATCAATCACTAACTTTTAATGATCTCATTCGCCCCTGTCCTTCCTGGCTCTTAGCTAAATATCCTTATAACAATGAGTGTCTCTGCTGCTGCTGTTACTGAAGTCAGTCTTCCCTGACATTCACCGAGGCATCATCTTACACAACCAGCCATTACTCTGACTCGTGGAGTGACAAAGCTTTTGTTCCTGGTTTTGGCCTCAGGATCCTCCTCATGTCACCGATAAAACCCCTAAAAATTTCCAACATTGACACTTGAACGTCACCCAAAAGCTGCAGTGTGTTGGTCCACTACGTTATAATGCAGCAGACACTCTGCTGGTCCCTTGTGTGGACCATCTCCAGATATAAACACTACATTAATATTTCATGAAATAATTCATACAGTGCAGCATAGAATGGGCAGCCACTCTCACCACCCGCACAATGTCTGAGCCACATATTTGGCCACTACAGAGGCCATGGCTAATCTCTCTCTAATGGAATAATGCTCCTAATTCAATAAGAGGTAAAGTGCTGCTCGTGGAGCCGCCTTAGCTGTTGCATTATTCTCTAATCGACCCATGCTTTTTCTGTATACTGTCACCGAGGGGCTGTGGGGCTCTCTCACATGAAACAGTTTCATGTTTCAGAGCTGCGAGCAGAGCCCCCAACCCACTTGTCTGTCACTCACTAATGATTCCATCACCACTGGTTTCTGTGTAACATTACACCGTGTGATGTGCACAGCTTTATGATGTTGACAGACAGTGTAAGGAGCTGCATGTTCAAGTATAGGAAACAGGAAATGAGGGCTTTTTGTGCACATCTTTACTCATCAAATGGTAAATTTGAGTCAGTGCAGAGGAAAAAATATCAATTGTCCAACTGCAGAATTACAACTGTGTTCATTTTACAGGCAAATTGACCAACGGGTAGTATTCTGACCATCATTTTACCATTTAACTAATCGAATATCTTGCATCTTTTATTTCATTTTTTATTTATGTATAGAATAGCAACAAAACAAAACACAATTAACATCAAAATTAACTGGAATGTGTTATTTGAGAGAACGGACAAAATTGCCATACCACAACTGCCGTGCTGGCATTGGCAAAAAACTGTAAAATGTCCAAGGATTTTTATTGTCAATTGAAAATGTTCCGCCAGTGTAAATACATGTCGGCTTTTATAAAGAATCGATTGATATAAATAGAAAATAGACGGCAGCCTGGATGAATAAAATCTCTCATTATTACTGTTATTAGAGTATTGGCCTATGTTTAGTAGAGAGTAGTTGTTGCTGCATTGGGAAATCCAAGAACATGGCAACAAAACAGACAGTAGAACGCACATGTGAGTGAAAAACACGATGAGCCAGGATTAGTGCAAGTTGGTACAGAGGACAAGTTAAATATTCCAGCAGATCTGTTGTAGTTGTGTGTGGGAGGAAAAGTAAGACTGAGTTGGAGAGTGAGTGGCTGTAGCTATGGTGAGTCGGGGGCAGCTGACTCCAAGATTATTACAGAAGTGGGAGGGGGTGGATTATTTGTCCAGGAGAGTATGGGGGAGGTAGGGGTCCTCCAAGATGCCCTTCTCTCTCACCCAGCAACCGCTCACCCTTCCTCCCTCCCTTCCCTGTCTTCACCGCCCTCACTCCAGCAGTGACTCACTCTCATTTCTGTGTCTTATTTTTTTGGTCCCTCTCTCCCTCATTCGGGTCTCCCACTCAGCAGCCTCTCACTGCAGATCCACCGCAGAAGGAAAAGGAAAATGAAGACAGAGTTTAGGAGAGAGTTGAAGCTCCTTAATCTCCCACAGCTCAGATAAGACGAGGAATAGTCAAAGTCTTTCTAAACTTCTTTCCTGCCCCGTCCTCCCCCTACTCTCCCTATCTCAGCCTTCCCTTCTGTCGCCCCGGCTGCTCTTTGTTACGTCATCTGTTCCCCCTTCTATTATCCTCTCAATCCCCCTCCTCAGCACAGCAGTGAGTCACTACCTGTTTTGTTTCTGCAGCAACAAGAGGATTGATCAGTGCCACTCAGTGTTTCTGTTGTCGGGACTCCATCAGTCTAATGCAGGGGCTCTTGGCTCCTGTCCTAGAGGAGAGGGGGGTTGTCGGAGGGGATTAGAGGATAAATGGATGGGTGGGGGCTGGAGTAGGGGGGTAACTCTTGCAAGCTTTTGCTAATCAGGCAAACTGAGGCACGTTGCTAACTTGAGGGATTGATTGTTGGTATTGTGTTTAGAGGTTGATGTTCCAGTAAAAGTGGAGGCGAGGTCACTTCTCAGAATGATATAATGGACACAGCCTTACAGGTTCTTTTGTATGGGATTAAATTACATTTCTTTAGTTCATGGAGTTCTGATAGAACTGAAAGTAATCAACAAAGTGGAGTGTCTTCAAGGTACTCTCCTTAATACTTCTATTCAGTAGTACTTTCTGCTTTTACTACATTACTCCATTATATTCTTCAGCTATTTACTATGAAAATGAATCATGAAAATGAGGATGTTCCACTAATGGGAATTTGACATCTTCCAGAGTTGAGCCAAGAATCGCTGAAATGTGTGTCACAGCAAACAATATCTGACATCAGATCCTTTAGGATGTAATAGTCACAACTGAATTAGACCAAGTCATCCAGGTCATTTTGTTTATGACACTTTATGGTCAAATGCATACTTTTCTCTCTGAATATTTTGTTACTCATTTTTCAAAGTTAAAAAAAATAGAATTACAGTCTTTACAGTTTACTTTTAAATGCATTTTAAGATGGTCTTTATATGTCAATAAGGTTTAAGACAAATTTCTCCATTCTTTATGAGGCTTTTTTTTCAGGGTTAACGCAGCTCAAAGATATAATGATAAAAGTTGTCAAGGCGTTTTGAAAAAGTACAGAAACAAATGATAATGAATATTGCTGGGTTGCGTAGGTTTGTAGGTCACTTTTGGGTTCATGTTGATGTCAAGACAACCTGTGGAGACTTGAACTCGCAACCATGATACATAAAACAGCATACTGTACAGTACTAGTTAAAAGAAAAGAAAACCTTTTTGTTGGTTTTCCAAATATAAAGTAACTGTTGATGGCTTGTTGCATCACTACACAAAGATTTATACCTGTGGATCACAGTGATAGCAGGGACAAAAGATACATGTTTTCAGTGTAACAAAAGGTTACAGAAAAATTGTGAAACACTGCCCTGATATTCTTAATACATGAATAATCTTGTGCACAGAGAGTTTGTTATTTGTCACAGTCACTCAGTTGTATTTTTACACTTTTTTTTCAGGCTGCCTCCACTTCTGATACGGTTCTATCACCCTACCAGAGCAGCCCTGAGGACTGTGGCGGTCAGTCAGGAGATGGAGCAGTCTGCTCTTCATCAGTCAGAGGGAGTCATTCACGCTGGTCCACTCTGTCCTGGGACGCCCCCTCTGACCTGCTCTCTCCACCCACTCCAGACCCTAGTGGAATGGTCCACCTGGACAGTGACTCCAGACCCAGTTCAGGTGAAAATGTTTGACACTGAGTGATAACAACGCTGACCTGTATGGTTAGCAGCAGCGTTTGTCACCTTTTGTCACCACTGCAGCTCACCTTGTGTAACAGAAGTCCAATTAAACATTAACCACACTATTTACCTCAGCCTTTGTGAGCCAGTCGTTTATCAGTTTTTGTCTCGTTCTCTTCGTTCTCAGGACATTCTTTCCAAACCCTTATCCAGTCTCTCTGTAGCTTTGACTTTAATTTTCATCTTCTCACACAATTTGGACATTTCTTCATTTCTTTCTTTCCTATCAACCTAAGTAGTGTTTAGAAATTTTTTTTTTTTTTTAAAAAAGACCAACCTGACATGATCTGAGGTCAACAACCCTTTTTTTCTATAATCCCCCAGTTGCAGAATTGTTTTTAATATTTCAACCTGTAAATCTCACAAAGTCAACATCCAGTCAGGATTTTGTGATACATTATGGAACGAGTGACATGTTGTTGTTAGTCAAACAGTGGATCCAGCCCTGTGACGTCTTTCTCCTGGAATTTATGTTCCAGTTTCTGTGGGTGATGTCTTGTCTTTGTTTGCTAAGGTTTTACTGACTTCATGTCTCTCTCTCTAGCTTTCTTTCTCTACACCCAAACTAAATACTGTCAATACAAAAACATTCCTCAGAAAAGATTCCACTGAAGGAGTTTCCATGACAATGGAGTCATTGTGACAGTTTATGAAAAATCTGAAAAAATATAAAAATATCTTGTGCTGAAATATTTAGGTGTTTAGTATGGATAATTATGTGTCAAGCAACACAGCAGTGCAGTACATAAGATGCATTAGTCATACCATGTATACATATTACTGTAAACTATACGGTAGATAAAATTGTATCTTCTGTGATTTCCCTGATCAAGGTTTCTACTCCGTGAGTGGGAGCTCTCTCTCAGACTCCTGCTACTCTGTGTCTAGTGAAGCGGCTCAAGGAGGAGGTCCTGTGCCACCAGCTAAACCTCTAAAACTGTGGGAGCAGGCTCTTGTGTCTACCGACAACACTGACATCCTGTGGTCAGAAGGTGTGACACACAAACACCAGCAGGAGCAGCCACTTCTGCAGACGGGCCAAGAGGATGTCCTGCCCACAGAGGAGGCTCCGCTTTCAGGTGAGTTATTGTTTGAGATAAAACCGTGTGTTTTCAATTCTCTAAATTAGTTTGTGTCCTGTTTTGCACCCCTGTTGTAAATTGTCCTTTGCTTCTGAATGAGAGATGTTGAGTTCAGATCTGTCAAGGTCTAATCTGTGAACATTTCCTAATGTGAAGGGTCTGAAAACTCTGTGTTTAACAATTTTTAAACAGTGGCTGGGTTTTAGACAAAAACTCATATAAATAAAGCAGATTCCTAGAATATGGCAAAATGTATTTTAAATGTTGGGTTTTCAATTTTATTTTTAATTTTATATCGAATAAATAAAACTTGACAAAAAATTAATAAAATGCCATTTTAATCATTATACTCTCAACTTAACTTTAATCGTTAACTGTAAGGTCTAACAATGTTATGAATCATCATATGTGCAAAATACATTGATGACAATCTGAAAAAAGGGATAAACAAATCTTTCCTTGTCTCTCACAGGAGCAAAGGACCTGGAAGTGACTGGTCTGAGTTTTCTGTCAGACCTCTGTTCAGGACAAAGAGATTCATTGATTCAGTCCCTGCTTCCACTTCTTGACTCCACTTCCTCTTTGTCAACCCCCTCCCTCCATTCGAAACCCCAACTGGACCCTCGATACTGTACTGACCTAGTTTCTCGTCGGACCAAAGAGGTTTATTCCTACCCCAGTCCGTTGCATGCTGTGGCCCTGCAGAGCCCCCTCTTCACCTCTCAGAGTCAAGAGCAGGCAGTCTCTGTGAATCTGGAAGGACTCCAAAATGATGAACTATCAGAGTCCAAAGCCAAGACATCCGTCCCGCTGCAGCTTCAACAGTCTGTTGCTACATTCTCTGTCACACAGTTGGAGCAGTACATCTCCCGCCTGGCTCATCAGTACCGCAGCAGGGTGACATCTTCCACCACTGATCTGTCCTTAACTTCCATCTCAGCAAGAGGTCTTTGCATGCCTGGAAAAAGTCACGGTTCCACTCAGTCTCTTTCTGCTTTTGAAAGCCGCAGTACAAACTCAGCAATGCCAGGGGGCAGCATCACTCCCTGTAAGTCACTCCTAGGAAACCTGGCCAGAGTCAGTCTTAGCACCTCTGGGAAAAAGGCCACAAGGAACTCAATCAACCTGGGAAACCTTCCTTCAGCAACTGGAGAGGATTTGAATATAAATCTGCATCTCAACCTGAACCTGAACCTGGCTCCAGGATTAAATCCTATCAAAGGAACTGTGGACAATTCCAAAAGTGTCAGTTGTGGATCTTTGAGAAGTGATTTTACTTCCGCTCCTTCTTCCTCCACATCATCAATCCCCTCTGCTCCACCAGTCCCAGCGCTCAGAGCTCGGCCTCGGATTTCAACTTGTCCAAGCAGCTTGAGCCACCGCAGTTCCCTGGAGGTCACGTCAGGATCTGGACCCACTTCTGGATATGGGTCATCATTCTGTCGCTCTTTTGAATTGACCAGTGGGGCGCCACCTGAGGCTGGACCATCAATGTTGGGTGTCAGTGCTGGATCAGCTCCTGGATCCCAGCGGAGCAGTTTGATCCAAGAATCGAGCTCTGGACCCAAGTTAAGAGAAGACTCTCCCATGGTGGGAGAGATCTCCCGCCTGTCAGGGTTGTCCAGGGCTGTTGTGGTTGGACTGATGGAACAAGGGGTGGAGCTTGATATTGACTGCTTCCAGACAGATGCTGCAGGTGAAGTGAAGGGTCACAGTAAATCTCTTCAGACCGCCAAGGCAGACCAATCACATGATTATACCAGACTGAGCAATCTGAATCCTCAGAGACCAATCCAGCTCTCCCTCAGTGTCACCCACTCTCCTCAGTCTCAGACTAGCCTCACCCCTCCTCTCTCACACTCGAGTAGCCCCATACACCCATACCAGTCCATACATAGTCCATCTCCACACTACTCCTCACATTCCCACTATCAGCAGATACCTTCCCCATCTGACATCCCCTCTTCCACGGCCTCCTCGCCTGCTTCACGCCCAAATCCTCGGGGTCGCTCACCCCCCAGGCCACTCCAGCCGTCACCTTTGGGTGCCACTCCACTTTCAGTGTTCCGTAGGGATGCACCATTTCAGTGCTCCCTACCTCACACCAGCACAAGGACTTCATCACTAGAGCATGGTGGCATTCAACATAGAGGTGGATCACTTCGGCAGAGTGGGGGTGGGAGCGGTGGATGGAAGAGGGCAGAGGGAGAAGGCCTTTACAAAGGAAAGCATGCCTCCCATAAGTTGGTCAGGGCAGCTACAGTAAGCTGCAGTGGCAAGAAAGACGACTATAGTTCAGTTTGGGGTGAGGAGGAAATAGAACTCACGGCATCCGCAGCAGCTCACACCCCGAGGAAGAACTCCAACAAACTCTGGAGAGGTTTTGAGGGGCGACTGTGGGGCAAAGAGTCAGAGAAAGAAAAGGAGGAAATGGACAGAGCTGAGTACGGCTACGGGTGGAGGAGGAACAGTGTTGGAAGCTGGAGAAGGGAGAAACCAAGGGTCAAGGCTACATCCAGCAGTAGTGACAAGAGGCCAAAAGTAGAAAACTCACCTCTTTTCTTGAAGGGCAGGGGGAAAGAAGACGGGGAGAGACGTGGCTCCAGCCTCAGGCTTTCCAGAAGAGCTCTGTTCAGGAGTGAGTCTCAAGGTTTGCTGGTGCCTCATAACCACAGTGAGGTCCACGTGAAGCGGGCACACTGGGTCTCCTCTTTAGATGTAGGCCAAGGTGTCATGAGCATCAACAAGGATGAAGGCATCAGACTGCTCAGAACAAAAGAGGGAGACAAACATCTGTCTTCTTCCGCAAGCCTCTTTAACCTGTCTCATTCTCAGAGCCTGGAGGGCAGCTGCCTCTCACTTTCTCCCCTCTCCTCCCCCTCATTCTCTCCATCTCCTCCTCCACGGATGCCTCTCCAGCGCTCTCGGTCACTGAAGGACTTGGGGAGGAGAATGTTTGGCTCAATGAGGTCTCTCAGTCTCAAACGAAAGCCATCAAAGAAGTGATATTTGTACCATAAGTAAATTATTACAGTAGATTTTTACATGTGTAATACTTAAACCATAAGGGTGGATAGCATTAAAGACCATGTATTAAGTAGTGCCATTATTTACAAAACACGTATTCAGAAAAGTTGGTACACTTCTTAAAAACTAACAGGGAATTTTTACAGACGTCCATATTTCTCCTTCCTAAATGGCGTTGATCACATGTTCACATTTGTTACTAATTGTTGAACCAAATTACTAGTATTCCAGTTTTGCAAGTTGAATTTTCAGCCAGGATTTCTGTATTATAAACGTACTCTGTTTTCGATTATACTTTACATGATGCACCAGACATAATGCAGACCTTTCATGTTAGGCTACTGTTTAGAGATGTCACGATGACTCGTTATCACAATTAAGTGTGATATTAAGCGCTATAATTAATCCATCGTAACGTTTCCTGTATATAAAGCAGGAACTATAGTTGAGCACTACACAAACGGAACGAAAACAACGTTACACAACACCGGTGTGTTGCTGCTTTTGTTGCTTTGTTTTTAACTGTGCCATGCCATAGACAATGCAGTGAGTACGAAATACATCCAATAGGCTTCATCACCTGCGAGACAACTACCCGACTGGACGACATCGTTCGCTGAAAGGTAAAGATAAATACACAGTAACTAAAAAAAGACCATACCTTTTTTATCTCTTATTTAATGCTAGTAAATTATCAAACCACAGTTTTGTTACAATTTTCTAGGAAGTGTGCTGACTTTTCTAGAAATATGTATTGTCATTATGGGGTGTAATGGATTTAAAGAAAATACAGATATTGTGAACTGCCACAATATTCATAAAGTATATATAAACATACTGTTTGTATTATTAACACTGTAATACAATTTTATTTTAACCACATATGTCTGTCAAAGCTGCTGATGTTCTTAGTTCAAGTGAATTTTATAAATTAATTGTACAATGAACAGTAAGCCTTCCGAAAAGCTCATAAAATACACGTCATATTGATAAACAGTGACATTTTTTAATGTACAAGCAAGCTTGTTTGTGTTATAAAATATTGATATTATGGGATTCTTTAATCATAAAGTGATCAAAATGATCAACATTTATTTTAATTGAAATCCTGTTTTTGGCTGCTGTATGATTGTATACAGTATATATAAATAGGTTAACACAAGTATGAATGTGTACATGTACAAACTTCTGCATGCTGCTCTGTGACTTGTTCATTACCTTTTGTGTGTAATTTTTCCTCTGAAGTACAATCACATCGGCCAGACAAAAACCAAAACTAAGCAAATACTCTTTTAACTCGATATTATGCTCAGGATTTTCAAATAATTATTAAATGAATAAAACAAAAACACTCATCAGTTTCCTGAGACAAAATGCGGCTTCTCAAAGCTGATTGTTAATAAAAAAGAAACTGTTAATGAACCGGTGTATGTTCTTCAGTCTGTGGTGTAACAAGGAATTTGACTGTAGGCATTTATAGAAAAATATTTTATTTGAAATGTCAGAAAATCCTTATTCACATTGAACACATTGTAGAGGTGCAGTTACATTGTCGATATCAGAAGACTGAGTAGAGTATGAGTCTAATATATGACACAACCCCCCCTTCCCCTCCCCACACACAGAGACTAAATCTGTTTCTATGTTGCTAAGAAACTAAAATTCCCAGTTTCTATTTTCAGCAGTAGCATCTTTACTTTCCTGACTGTGTCGATGTAACTCATTACACACAGACCCAGCATTACTAAGTTCTCCTGATTGACACATAACAGGCACTGGATACTTCAGGTGTTTGTAGAATACATGATCAATCATTCACTGGATTTCTTGTCAGTTCTTGCTTTTTTTTGGTACAGTGAGCTGGCAGACGAAACTCCCTCTCTCTGCAGATCTAGTTAACTTCCTTCTCCAGAGCTGCTTTTCAGACTGGAGGCAAACATTCCTCTGTACATGGCCTTCTCTTTTTGTATCTCCTTGTGCAGTTTCTCCTCTGCCCTTTGCAAATGCTTCCTCACATTAGCATCTGTGGAAGGAGAACAATATATATATTTGTACGATCAAAGAAGTATTGCTATATGTGTTACATGATTTTTTAAATTAGTTTGGATGTTTTCTCAGTTTGGATTGCCACAGTGTATCATCTTCCAACTCAGCTTTTACACCAACTATCTCCGTGTCCTCTTTTGCAACATCCACCTGCTTACCATTCGGCTGCTCTTTGCAAACTTGGATCAGGTATTCTTTAGCAGCTTGTGCATCTCCCATCTCCAGAGTGGCTACCCCTGCTCTGTACAGTGCTTTGGTGTTGCCTGGTTGCAACTGCAGCACTCGCAAGCTGTACTCCTTCACACGTGCATAGTCAACACTCTCTCTCTGCAACAAGCAGGCTAAAAGACAGGAGATATACATTTATTGATTCATATGTTTACCATCTACTCCTCACTAAGACCATGTGAACACGGCAGTGTTAAATTAACTGTTCGACTGTTGAACACAGGCACAATGTTAAAATGAATACATGTATGTTGTCTATCTGTATTAATCAGTCACTGAAAAAAACTTTACACAGACATATTTAATCAGGCAATCAATCAATGATGAAGACTTTGTTCAAAGCTTTACTCCAGGTATCTGTAAATTACTGAAATAACTGTCACTTGTTAAAAAAAAATCCAAGTAATAGGTACATTCATTTACCAGCCAAGTTGTTGTAGCAGTCCACCTGTGTGTTTCTCAGTGCTGCCTCCTGTTCTGCTGTGAGAGGGGGTAACCCATGTCCAAACTCTTTCAGTGATGTCATCACATTCGAATCAAGACCTCGAAGGATCATGAGGGCACGGTGATAACGACCAATGGCTGAGCGGATGTTCTTCTCCCTGTAAAAAGCATTTCCTTCTGCTTTCATTTGGGCAGCATCCTCCAGCAAAGACGAAACAGATTTTGTAGGAGTTTGTGGTTTCCGTGATGCTGCTGCTGCTCCTGGCACATCTGAACCCTCTTCCCTGGTTGAAGCACTCATTTCTTCAGTTGAAATTTTGAGCTGGTAAGATAAATAATTCTTGTCAATACATTTAATCTAGAACTATTGCACAAAATTATCTAAACACCCAATTACTTTTTTTTTTTTTAAAAAAAAGCAAATTATTACCTAAAATGAAAAATGTTATTAGGGAATAAGAAATTGTGAAGAGAAGGTAGAGTGACAAGTTATATGTTACAGTAGCCATTGGCGTAACCACGCCTTACAAAGATTCAAATTCCACAATATTTGGCTCTTTAGAACACGACCAATATTCACACAACAAGCAAATAATTACATCTGAGCAAAATGAGAAGAACGTACAGTGCAAGTGAACACAACACTTTCATCTATTAGTCATTTAATCTTGTCTCTACCAACGCTAACATCCTATCTAAAAAGACATTACAACAACCCCAGCGCACCAAAGGACAATCCACAAACCTGTATTTATTTACAAACCTTTATTCTATCTTGTTTTGTAGCTAGTGCTAACAGAGCTGTGATCGAAGCATGTTTTTACTTCCTTCACCGTACAAACTCTCAGTACACTTCCGAGGCGAGTCAACCGATGATTGCAAAAACAAAGATGTTACCTTGTGAACAACAAAACAAGAAGTTAGCAAGCGACGTTGGTGCACATCTGATGGATAACCATGCTTCTTCTTCTTCTATTTATTTCTGTATTTATTATTAACAATGTTCTTGTTCGCCTATTTTCTTCTCCCCCCTCTTTTTCAATCGCGTATTTAGACGACCTCTACATTACCGCCACCACCTGGTCGTATCAGGTTAGGAAAAGTATAATAACGGAATAAGAAGTGACTCATTACCTTGTCATTTACAGTCAAATAGTCAAACTTATAACGAACAGGTTTCGAGAGCAGTTGTGTTAGTGAAAAATGTAAACAGGTGTTGTCTCATTGATGAATATAGTGTAGTTGATTTACAAAAAATGTCTTAATTTAGTTCTGAGAGAATACTAAATTCTCAAGTGGGTATTTTTAAACTAAACTACTGGAAATTTTAAATTTAAATGCATGCATGCATTATGATTTAATAGGAAAATGAAATATATAAAAAAATACTGATTAAAATCGATGTCATTGGCCTAAATATTGATCCATTTGACAAATATATTTAGCATATTTTTACATAAATATATTTTACTAAATAATATACTTTAGTTACAAAGGGGTATTTGGAGTTGAAAATACATCTTGCGTTTTATGTTTTTACCACTCGAGGGCATTGATGGGCATGACATTCATGCGCATGCTCACTGTAGCTTCACACAACCGCAATAAGCAATCATGGCGGCGGCCGTCGACAGTGTTGTGAAAGTGTAAGTTTATCTTTGTTTGTTGTAAGAGTATAACGATCAAACTGTCGGAGTTGAACGTAATATACGTTAATTGGCGCACTGTTGTCAAATACAAAAGATAATAAATCTCCCTAGATCAAAAACAAATTACAAAAACTGTCCCAAGAGAATAACGTTATCCGTAAAGCTAAGGTTAGCACGTTAGCTTGGGACACTATAAATAAGAACTCATTGTGGGATCCAAGTTTTAGCCTCTGTTGGCGTCAGACTGACACGATATGTTGTTCGAAAGTTATTCGTGCGCAGCATTATATAACTGTTTTTCAACAAACGAACAAGAGACTTATTTATATCATAAACCTTCAGTTTGGCGGGCGCTTTGTTTTGCCGAGAGACGTTCGCTAACGATCAACCTTTTGTTCTGACCATGTCCACCATCAGTACCGCTAATGTAGAACATTTAAAAGTCGTGTCCTTTTATAAATCAAGTGACTTCTTACATGCATGTAATACATGTAAGCGCTACTGCGAAACTAATTATGGGAAAATGCTTATTTGTAACGAATACTCATTATTTGTTTACCCTCACTTAAGATGGCTGCCATATTATTACTGCATTATTACAAGATATGAAAACATAATTTAATTCAGTGTAGTCCTTGCTTTAGTATTAAATCAAATGTTGTTCAATTCGGGTTTTGAGAGTAAGTCATAGTCCAGTAATAAAACTAAAACATTACAAAGACATTTTAAAAAATATATAACACACATAATTGTCGTTCTTTAAAACATTTAGTGTGGCCTCTACACCAACGTTTAAATTAGTCATTAACAAATATTTACATACAAGTAATAATCATAGCATATTTTAAACCTTAAAGTACAACAGTTAACACAGTAAACAAATATTTTTTTACACTCTTAGACACTTAACTATCTGTGGGTCAAAAACCCTCAGTTGAGGATTTGCTTCTCTGGTGATGTTTAAATCAAGAACTACATTAGCCCAGTTATCTTCTAAATGTTTGTTTGAAGTTACGTCTGAAAGCATGCTTCATGTCTACCTGAAAAATTAGCAATTGGATAGCAAAAATACATTTGTTATAAATGACTAGATCCATACCAATGTCTGAGGAGTATGAATGCAACCAATATGTCTTTGTAATGGCCTGTTGCTACACTGTATTTTTAATTTTTTTGTTTGAGACTGCGCTGCATTGTCAATCCAATAATTAAGCCAATTTCAGTTACCCCTTTTTTGGCTGAATATTGCTCTTGCTTGCGAGATAGCTTCCAACAGTCCCATTTAATGTTTTGTAGTTTAAGAGCTTCTTACATTTTTTTTACCTTGTCTCTGATCTTAAACAACTGGTTATATTGACCTTTATCTAAAAAGAACAAAGGGGAAAAAAGAACATTTTAGAAGAATATTCTTTTTCAAGAAACAGCACAATCCAAAGAACTAGTAGGCTTGACGAAATGCATGCTGTCACACCAATCTTTTTTCTCATAGAATCCTATAATTTATAGACCAAGTTTTCAATCAGAAACTAATCAGCTGTGTTGCAACAAATATGAGGTTCAACTTTAGAAGGAAACGACAATTTGCTAAAAAGACACAGGGAACTGTGAGGTATCTGTTGGGCTGCTGTAGAAAACAAGATTATCTAATGATATTGGCCTTTTGTATTTTTCCTGCATTGCTTATTTTGTTGAAAGAGTGGTGTTTTGCCAGCTTTTGGTTATTTGAGCCATTACAAGTAACTCTCATTTCAGGCTGGGAGAGCAGTATTACAGAGATGCAATGGAGCAGTGTCATAGCTACAACGCTCGTTTGTGTGCTGAGCGCAGCATCCTCATGCCTTTCCTGGACTCTCAGACTGGTGTGGCGCAGTCCAACTGTTACATCTGGATGGAGAAGAGACACCGAAGTCCAGGTAAGCAATTGTTTGATGAACTGTCTATTTGTATAAATATAATTAAGTTTGTAAATGTTCCGGTCTGTCTATTTCTGTCACCTGTCCTATGCGTTATAAATTATGAGGCTTTAAAATTATGTACTACCCCTGTGCTACACAGCAGGGTGTGATATTCTCTGGTGTATTATCAAGGCTATAGTAACAGTAACAGGTAGAATTATTATTGTGTCTGTGTGCCAATTCTGAAGCAGTGGCAGCATTAACTAAGTACCATGATTATTAATACTTCACCATCAATTGTTTTTATATATGCAGAAATCAGTTATAATCAGAGTCTAAATTGCCCCAGATCATGTCTCCTTTTTGTGTTTAATTTTCACTCTTGTGTCTTATAATAGGTGCAGCTCCCGGGCAGTTGTACACGTACCCAGCTCGCCGCTGGAGAAAGAAACGGCGATCTCATCCACCCGAAGATCCCCGGTTGGCATTCCCACCTCTCAAAGCAGGTATCAACTCTGAACAACATCTGCTACATCGCTTTCAGATTTGGAACTTTTTCTGTAAAATTCTGTGCATATTTTTTAAAAACATTTTTTGTGTTCATTGTTTTTTGATTTGCTGTTTTCTGTCAATTTCATGTCTTTTCACTTTTTGCTGTTTGGTTTGCAGTAGATCTGGATCTGGGTCTGAAGCGTGATGCTTTGGGGCCTGTAGATGGCAGCAGTTTAGAAGCCCTGTTGAAAGGGGAGCCCGTCGACAGGAGGAGTGGTGTTCCCGACCTCCGTGGTCCAGAAGATGACACACCCAGTGTGGAACCTTCTGCCACATCCACTACCACTCACACATCATCTGGGCGCATACGCAAGGTCAGTCTGAGTGCTTGCTGGATGGTGTTATACGCAAGGTCAGTCTGAGTGCTTGCTCAGTTTCTGCTCTTACCAGTTTCTGGTAATATTTTAAGTTAACTTGGCAGACTGTAGAAACATTGTCTAAGCCAGTCATTCATCCTACAGAGAGTCCTGGATCATGATGATTACCTGGATGACCTGGATGATGAAGACTTTGAGGATGAGACCCCCAAGAGACGAGGCAAGAGCAAGTCTAAGGTGTGTACAAGTTCTGATTTAACAACATTTATTATGAGATTTTCAACATTTAGATTTCTCATAATGAACTCATTATACTCTGCAAAAGTCTTTTTTTAGGTACATGGTTATTATGACTACTATAAAGCCACTGTACAACTACATGACATTTACAGCTTCCATAACAAGGTTATTAATGCATTATTATGCAATTATTTGGCCTTACATGTTATCTAGCCTTGTTAATTAAATCTAGGATCTGTGTCTAAAGTGTATTTAATGTCCTGCTTTGTTCTAATATAGAACCAAAAAACTACAATTTTATTTATTCCATGTTGTCACTTAATTCTTTTTGTACAATGACATAGATTATAATAGAACATATAGCAAAAATAAACAAACAATTTTATTTAAACCCATTTAAGAAATGGCTTTAAGTAACAAAGTTTGCTTCAGAATGTGATTTTGTGAAGGTTAACACATTTAATTATAAAGATAGTTTTACGACAAAATCAATAACAAATTCATGCAATATTGAAGATTTGCTAATGCATATGAAGTAATGTCTGTGTAATGCGATAAAATGGATTTGGTAGGGTCGCAGTGACAAGAACGGGAAGAAGAAAACAGAGGCTGCAGCTGCAGCATTGGAGGAGAGAGACAAGCCCTATGCCTGTGACAGTGAGTAGAGGCTTCATTTTGAAGTCTGTTTTCTGCAGCTGTCATGACTTTACTCTTTTTATTTAAAAAAAAAGCCTTGTGCCGTGCATGGTGTGATCTAAAAAAACCCCAGAAACTAATGTGTGAATTTGTTTTAAAAACTGCGCAACTTTCTTTTTTTGTAAGTAAAATTTTTTTTTTTTTTTTGAGATGCTGCTACTTGTGTGCTGCTGGCCGTAGCGGACTGCAAATGCACACCTCTGCTTTGAGTTAAATAGGTTTAAACATAATTTTTGGAAAAGAAAAAGTTCTGGAGATGAACTTGGTGGTTCCACCATGGGCCTTTTTTGGATGGTAGATGACTTAGCCTCCTTCACTGTAACACTTTTGTGTGTGTGTGTCAGTCTGTGGGAAGCGCTACAAGAACCGTCCTGGCCTGAGCTACCACTATACACACTCTCACCTGGCCGAGGAGGAGGGCGAGGACCGCGAGGAGATCGAGGCACCACCCACTCCTCGGCAGCCTGAGGAGCAGAAGAGTGAGTCACTCTCTATTACAGAGATGGAGAGAGAGAGAGAGAGAGAGGGGAGGGAGCTCTGTTTGCATGCATTGTAGCATGTGTGTGTTTGTGTTCAAAGGGAATCTCTCTTTCTCTCTCTCTCTCACACACTCATTCTTTTTTTTCCTCCCAATTTATTTATTTTTTTGCCATTTGTGGAATCCCCCAATTTGGGGATTTCACTCAGTTTTTTTGTTTTAATCTATTTAAGCATTCCATCCATTTTTTTCATGATTTTTTTATTTTTATTTTATCTCAACCTGTTTATTGTATTAGTTTTATTCCTTAACACTTACACCATGTCACTTCAAAAGTGCCACTGCACTCGTTTTGTTTGTGTTTTTACTTAATTTACACATTTAGTCTGTGCATCATGAGCGAGTTAGAAATTAATGAGGATTTGGTTGTAGATGTGAAATAAAAAGGTTTGTACTTAACTAATATGTGATTTATAATTGATAGCAACTTCCAATGTTGTGTATGTTAATGTGACAGTGTCGGAGATTGCCTCTACTTCTAGTTGTACATTACAAGTGACCTGTGTTGTTTTAGTTTTTTTTTTTACCCATTTCCTCTCCTACTCAGCTTCTAAGAAAGGTCCCAACGGACTGGCGATGCCTAATGATTACTGTGACTTCTGTCTGGGAGATTCCACTCTAAACCAGAAGACTGGCCAATCTGAGGAGCTGGTATCGTGCTCAGACTGTGGACGCTCAGGTATGTCTGTCTCTTGTCCCTAGTAAAATCATCTACAATTGAAATCAGGTTTTTAAAGATGTGGCTCTACCAGTTTTGCTTGTAGTAGAGCTAAAAATAAAAAGTCTGTTCAGGTTAATTGTGGATTGATTCAGGTGAACCAGTTGTTTCACAGCTGAGCTTCTGTTGCCACTGTTGCTCTGCCCTTGGACATGTTTACCTTTTTTTTTAAATTTTGTGTCAGTTTAAAGTAGATCCGCTTTAAACTGAACAGGGTAGTCTTCATTTGTTGAATATGTTTCATTTAATTGGACTTAACATTTAGATGTGAAAGGTAAATAATATTACCCCCTCAATACACTGTAACAGAAGAGAAATGTGGAGGAATGTAGTAAGCATCATATTGATACTGCTTAAGCACTTTGTTGATGGATGGAAGAAAATAAAAATTACCTTTCAATGGAATGTAATCTCAGCTGATCCAGACTCTCTTTTTGTGCTTTGTTTTTTCCATTTCTTTCTTTCATGTTACAGGCCACCCCACGTGCCTGCAGTTCACTCCTGTGATGATGGCAGCAGTGAAGACCTACCGTTGGCAGTGCATTGAGTGCAAGTGCTGCAATGTTTGTGGGACATCAGAGAATGATGTAGGCTCTTTTTATGTATTTTTGTTACATTAAATACATTTGTTAATATTTAATACAACTTTAGTTCAAATACAGGCACAAGGAAATATATGAACAGTCATCAGGGTGCTTTTAAAATTTAATGAATTGACATGAAAGTAGCATTGATACATGAAGCACAAGTATTTACTTAAATTGGTGTTCAATGTGTAACTCCACTCTCACCTTCTCCTGTTGTTGTCATAGGACCAGCTGCTGTTCTGCGATGACTGTGACAGAGGCTACCACATGTACTGTCTAACTCCACCCATGACTGAACCTCCTGAAGGTATGATGTTCATCATTCATTGTGTTATTCTTTTAAAGCATTTGCCACAGACTTCATCCTTCTTATCGCGAGACTCTTTCAGCCTCTAGTCATGTGTTTAAGTGTTGAGTCTTTTCTTCACATGGCAATACAACCTTTAAAATATTTTTACAAAGATAGTCAGTCCTTTAAAAAATACTAGATGGTTTTATTCATATACCTAGGTCCATGTTATAAATGTCAGTTTATTTAATTTGTGGGCTTCTATGTAGGCTTGTGCAGCATTCCCACATGTCCTGGAAAACCTGGTAAATGATTGACCAATTGTGAGCGAATGCAAATGGGTCTCTCACAAATCTCATAGTAGAATATGTTGTTTCGGTGAATTAATGGCATAAAAAGATGCAACATGATTATTTTATGAAAACAATTTAAAGCACAAATTTTTCATCAAGGAGAACATTTTAGGATATAAACTTGCATTTTAGGATGGTGTATTAAACAGTTACGTTAAGATGTTGTTTTAAGTAAACAAAGTTCTTCATCAGAACTTTGTAAAGAAACAAATGCATTAACTTCAGTGACTTAACGTCAGTGAAGCATGAATTCTAAATAAAATACCACTGGAACCATTTTTTCCTTACAGTGATGTTAAAAAGAGTGTGACACTAGGAGACAATAGCAAAAACAAATAGTCACAGTGTTGCCTGATTTATTAATTAATAAGTTCATTAAATTTTTTTTAAAGCAGTTGTTAATTCCTTTCTCATAATGTTCATATATTTCACAGGGAGCTGGAGCTGCCATCTGTGTCTTGCTCTGCTTAAAGAAAAGGCCTCCATATACCAGCAGAACCAGAGCTCCGCCCCAGAGTGACATCACAACTGCAGGTCAGATACTCTCAGTAACAGGACCCCACACCCTCAAAATCAACAATATCCACCTTGGCCTCAATTTTAAAACTCTGAGCTGTGTAAAACTGCAGTTGACACAGATCGCAGATCAGAAGATTCAGAAATCTTTACATAAACAGTGGTAAACGGGGGGGGACTCAGAACCACAACAGACCTCAGATCAGTCAAGATGGGGATCAAAGCGTCACCACCATTTTGCCTACAAAGTCCCTTCAGCTTGGCCTCAAACACACACACACACGGGATACAGAGAACATGGAGTTACCATAGTAACTGCTGTCTCCATGGTAGCTCTGAGGAGCAAACAGATTAGCATCTCGCACTAATGATCTGCACACTGACAGAGTGTGGACGGTACAGAGAAACAGATTTTTCTTTTCTGCCAAATGATCTATTTTTGTTCCCTGAATGTTCAGGGAGAAAAAAAGTCACCACGTGTTGTCAAGGAAAATTATTAATACAGTTATTGTCACAATTATTGTTAATATTGTGTTTGTTCTCGTGGACTTTTGTAGTGGCATTTGTCTGTGGACTTTAGTCTGATCTGTTGCATTGGTTATCTTTGAAGAGTTTTCCTTCTGTGGACTCAGTCAGTGCCAAGGTTTATTAACATAATTTATCCTGTGAAAATCTTTCCCAACCCTTTCTGTTAAAATGTTTAATCTGCAGAAAAGTAATCTACAGCTAGTTTTATCTATGAAAAATTGGGCATTTACAATGGTTATGAAATGGGAGTTTCCTAAAAACAAGTTCAAAAGAACTTACCATTCGAAGACATTGGCTGGATATATGGCTAGTTATTCTAGGATGTCATCTTTCTGTAATCCTGTTTTGTTTTTTATGCTATGGCTAACAAACAAACAGACGCTCCTCTTGTGCAGACATCAAGACGTTAAATGTCAGTGAACAAAACTAACTAGAAAATGAGTTCAAATAGAGCTGAAATATCCCACTTTGTGGACACTTTGGTCTCATGTCCGTCCTAACAGAAGGATTGCTGACTTGCATACCAACAGAAGAACAACATCCTAATCGTCTTTTACATAGTTATACTAAATTTGGAGCACCCTCTGTTAATACTTGGTCTTGGGTGAACTAGAAACATTTTGACTTTCACTCTTTTGTCAAATATTAAACATGGAGTGAAACCTAACAGCCCTAATACAAAAAGGTCACAGGCTACGTCATTTATGTATCTGAGCATGTGCTGTAGGTTAGACCAGGAAGATAATCACATCCAAAATAATGTCATCTTCTAATGTTATTTAACCATCAGTGCTTTCATGCTCTTATTTTGGAAACCGGATGATATTAAAACGGAAACACATAACTTCCTCCTTTACACAAACAGTAGTTAGCAGGCAGTAGCTGCTTGTATCACTGGTCACGCGGAGTCAGACTTGCATGCAGACTGAATCTGTATGAATGCACACACATACTCACATCACACACGTCATTGTCTTATCCTTTGTAATTTTTTTTTTACATTTTCTATTACGTGATAATCCATTGGTATTGGGAGTTTTTCTAGTAGAGTTTTGTAAAGTCTATGCTATCGCAGACACCAAGTATATATAGCTCCGGATGCATTCTACGTACTGTATTGCCTTTTTCTATTTTTGTTATGATGTGACATGTTTGGATTTATTTTATTATTCTTATATGTCAGACTTGCATTATAAGTATTTGTACGATGATGTACTTTGTTGTACTATTTTTATTTTTACATTTATTTGGTATCAAAGCAAATTTAGCCTGACTGAAATAAAATCACTTTGAAATATTGTCTACTTATTGTTTTTATTCACTGCATACTTGTCACTTTAAAACCTTTTTTAAATTGGTGGCATGTTATCAACTATAGCTGTCAGAGTTAACTTGTAAATCAGGTCAGTTAAATTGCAAAATCTATCAGAAGGGCAAGATTGATTATTATTTACACATTAATATGGATTAATTATGAAAACGGGTAAACCACATGTACCTGCTGTTACAGTCTCTCTGTTATAGTAATATACAGAAAGATGTTTTTTTAGAAACACTGATTTTTTTTTTTTATTAACTATTTGTCATTATTTATGATCACAATGAATAGTGATTAGTCCACAGCTACAGTGCCCTGTAATTAATCTGATTACGTTATGTTTAAGCTTTAGTCAACTACTACCTACAGGGGGTGCCACAGCGTACCATCTTCAATCCTCATGTTCTGTCTAACTAACAGCTTTGACTCTTTCTGGTTTCTTCCTACCTTGCAGCTTCTTCTCCAACATTTGTCCATTAAAAACGCCATCTCTCTCCAGCACATGGCAACACCATGTCAACATCGCCTCACCAACCTTATCCACAAACGTCTCGTCAGCTTAAGTTAAACTGGTAGAAAAAATATGTTGATCTGGAGAGAAACATAACAGAACAAAGTGTTTTATTCCACTCCACAAACATACACTGAGGAATTCTCTCCAAACACAGACACTGTGTATACTTTGTAGCAAACAGTAGCCATTGTAAGGAACAAGGCTGAGACAGCGGTGACTTAGTGCATTTGGTTCCAAATGTGATCTTCAGCCATGCGATGGTATTTACAGCTTAACACAGACCTAACTGTAAACTTAACACAAATTAATTTCACTGACTGACAAGCCACTACTGTATATATCTATATAAGCGCTGTTGAAATGAGAGAAACGTAAAGAATTGATTCATCTTGATTAATCATAAGTTATGATTGGGATTAATATTTTTTAAATATGTAAATGCAATAATTTATATTATAAACAGTAAACCTGCACACTTTGGGCTTTGTACAATAATAATGTTGGACAATAAAAATGTAACACTATAAATTTGATTTGAAGTATAGTGCACATCCACTGACTGTCATAAAATCTGGGCTGTAGGTTCTTGGTACAAAACTAATGTAAAACACTTAAACTTTATCAATGTCACTTGAAGCAGCCGAGGTGTCGCACTAATGCAGCCACCATGACGTGAAAATACAACTGTTCTTAGAAGTGTTCAATAAGGGCAGCAGTAAAGGTAGGAACATATATGAACACCTATGAGTTGCAGCATTTGTGGGTTACTTGTTGGACTTGTTGTAATGTATCTTTGTTTCCTCTAAAGCCTCTCAAAGCCAACGGAGCAGAGGAGGAAAACAGCGTAGAGCAGCAAAAGACTGAAGCCGAGTCTACGGTCCAACCTCCAGTGGTTGACATGAACACACAGGACCTGAGCAGAGAGAGTGACAAATGGACAAAAATAAAAGTGAAGGCCATATTCCCTGTTTGACTGTCTGGATTATGGGGAAGTCAAAAGGTAAAAACTTTTCTGGTCATACTATACTATATTCTAACTTTTCAAATTCCCAACTTTTCAAATATTTAAGTTTTGGGGAAAAGAAAAACAAACAAATAGAGCCAGATCAGAAAAAAAAGTATTATTAGGCCTAGGGTTAGGGTTAATGGTTAGGTTGAGGGTTAGGAGGTTACTCTTATCAAAGGTTGATGTACCACAAAAGTACATTTTACAGGAAGTTATTAGTATAGTATGTTGCAGAGGTGTAGACTCAAGTCATGAATTTGATGAGTGACTCGGCTTGTATATTTCATTTGTACTTTTTATCTTTTACTTTCTAATTTTATTTTTATTTTGTTTTATTATTATTTTATATAATTACATTTTTATTATATTATAATATGATTTTAAAATCTTTTTAATTAATTTTTCATTTACATTTTTGTTTGCAGTTAAGTTAAAGGTTATGGTGCAAGTATTGTTTAATATAATTTTTAATTTGATACTTCATTTCTTCTTTCATTTATTCATTTGTAATTTTAGGGTTAAGGAAGTTGGGGGTTATTTTTTTCAATATAATTTTAGTTTTTATTATTTTATTTTTATTTATCAAAATTTGTAATTCTATCATTTTTTATTGTTTATTGTAGTTACTTTTTTCAAATGTTAAATTTCATTTGGAGATTTATTTTTCAATACAATTAGTTTTTATTATTATTTTTTATTTATGTTCATTTTTATTTTCAGATTTTTTATTGTATTTTATTTAAAAGAAAAAAAAACATTTAAATACCTGAATTAAAAAAATGTTAAATTTGACATTTACACCTGGTGATCTACGGAACAATACACCAACTTTAATTACACTCTATCACATAAAAGACAAAGCTAAACTGTTCCCTAATTTACTTTGAGATAACATTCTTTATTTAGGGTGTACTGATCCCAGCTCTAACAATAATATTCTTTTTTCCTGAATTTTAAAGGGACATCACCTCCAGTTTCCCATGTTTTTTTGTTAATAAAACCCTCAGAACCTTAATTGCTAGTTTTTCAAAGAAAACTTATGCATTCTCTACTAAACTGTGGCAGTCAGGCGTGGACAGCTGAGGTACTCACCGTCAGTGTGACTGATGCCAACAGCAGAACCACAGAGTAGACCAGGCCTTTGCTGTTGATTCTCACCTACAACATAAAGTACACAACAACACAAAGATGTTGATAGCGTTTGGGCATACGTTTCATCAAAATACATTGGTCATTGAGTTTGATGGATGGACGTTTAGTGGTGGTAGGTTCTGATAATTTGTCATGAATTTTAAATGAGTTTTGCAGGATGCGTTGCCACACTTTGGGGCCTTAATACATTACTGTAGACAAGTTTGCAGGTTAAAAATCAAACTTGTAGTTTGGTGATATATCTGAATTTTTGTACAAAGTTACAAAGGCTCTTAAGAGTGCATGTCATATATCTAATACTGTTTTCTCCTTTACCACTGATCCATAGCTGACTATGAGAGTCCTCAGCGCCCATGGGAAGCCCAGACCGAGCAGCACATCAAAGATGTTACTGCCAATGGAGTTTGAGACAGCCATGTCTCCCATCCCTGTGGGATTCCACACACAGATGTAAAATATTAAGGTTGATGGAGACCAGAGAACTGAAAGGTGGTGGGTAAAAAACAACACACACACACACACACACACACAGTCGCACGCACACACCTTGTCTTGCGACAATAAGACTAGCCATGCAGTCAGGAACACTGGTGCCCGCAGCCAGAAAAGTGATACCCATGATGACATCTGGGATTCCAAGTGTGTAGCTTATTATGGTCACCTTAAAGAGAAGAGACAATTCAAATGTTTTTTGTTTTACACTGCTGTGAATAAGACATTATCTTAAAGTAGAATGATACATTTCAAAGATAAATATGTGAAAAGAAAGAGTGCATTTTAAATGCATATAAGTTGGTACGCCAACTCTTGACCACAGTAAAATACTATACCAATAAGTTCCTGAACAAATCTCCGAAAATAAAAGTTTCTCAAAAATGACTAAAAATACACTAATTTGCCTTAAAATACTTAGCTATGTCCATTTTTGTGGTTAAAATTCAGAAGAAATATACTTTTTTGGTACGGAATGTTACGAACCTTGTCTGAGGACGTGTCGTGTGATTGTGTTTTATGTGTTTTCTCTCTTCTAACAGTGTATGTGGGTGTGTGGGTTTCTTTTGTTTCTTGCAGGATCAAATGACCTGGAAACTGAGTGGATTGTTTGATAGCATCCATTTAAACCGACTGGCGCCCGCCCTCTTTAGCTTGTTCTCCACGTTATCCTTGAGTTAAGGCCTGCTGACAACCTTGCCGTGTGCTCTGTGTGGTTTACCTTATGTGACCTTTGATTGTTTGTAATTCAGAGGAAAACAGAGGAATGAGAAACCCTTGTTTTTGTTTAAAACTTAAACACATCTCTGAAAAAAAAGTTTCTCAAAATGACCAAAAATACAATTATTTGAGGAAAAAAAGTTGGCACAAGTCAAGGCTATAGTAAGGCATGTTTTGGG